TCCATGTCCTGATTCTAATTGTTCTCTGCACAACCCATAACTAATATATTGTATACAGTAGAGAGAAAGTGAGGGGTTGATTGTTGCCCTGGAAAGTGGAAGAATGAAGCAGTCATTTTCTGAGATAAGAAAATGAGGGGATTGCAGATTTGAGGGTCAATGTCAAGAGCTGTTTGGGTTATGAATAACTTACAGATATCCAAATAAGGATGTTATTTAAGTGTCAGGGTTTGTGTTTGGATGTCTCCTCAATGCCTCATGCACCTTGAGATGGTTTTTTTTTTTTTTTGGAGGCAGTTGAATCTAGGGTGATTGTTTTGTGGTGCAATGCTGGGATTAAGGGTGTGAGTGCTACACATGCCTTAGATTGGATGGCCTGCATACTATATAAGGAACAGAAAGGGGCTTGTCTCCTCTACTTTTGGTGCTTTGCTGTCTTCTGATACCATGAACTGTTGCCCCTTTGCCATATGCCTCCCTTCCTTGAAGCCATCTGGATATGGACTGAAACCTCTACAAACTAAGCTAAATAAAGTTTTCCCTGTTCAACTTTGTATGTCCTGTATTTTGCCTCAACAATGAGAAAAGTAACTAAGACAGAATTTGGTACCAAAGAAGTGGGGTTGTTACTGTGACTATACCTGACCCTGTGGTTCAGGAACCTTTGGGAATGGATTGTGGAAGCTTGGAAAGTTTTGGCAATGCTGGCTAAAAAAGTACAGCTGAAACGCATTAGGCTGCACTTTACGGGAGATTCTGGTCAGAGGTTAGAAGCCCAGAAGGCTGATAGAAATTCTGCCAGTAAAGACCAGGTTCAGAAGGTTTTTGCTTGAAAGAAGGATATTGGTTGTTGCACTCCAGATGATGAGTGTTATGCCTTGGCAAAAAGTTTGTCTTCATTATGCTCATGTTCAGAGACTTTGCCTGAATTTGAGATTAAGGGCTGATTAATTTGGCAGAGGAGATTTCAAGGCATCCTAATGTTGAGGTGGTGGCATGGCTACCATTGGGGGACTTTAGCCAGATTTATGTTGAAAATCAAGAGCAAAAAGTGCATCAGAATGATTTAAGATATTTTGAGTTTGGCCAGAAAGGAAGCTCCAGTCAAACTGTGGATTGTAAAGATTGAGTAGAGGAGGTCTTGATTGCTGAGTAGGAACAAAATCTGAGGGCATCACAAGAACAGCAGGACTCCACCTTCTGCAGCCTCAAAATTGCAAAAGTGAAAGAGTTTGCTTTGAGAAGAAAGCTGCATAGCACCATGCTTCAGAATGGTGATAGCTCAGAGAGAACTTGTTCTTCAGAATTGGATTCAGAGTTCTCAGAAATCCAAACACTCAAACCATACCTCCAAGAGAGGGAAGCCTAGCTACTGCTCTAGCTGGCAGCAGACCTTGGCACCATCCACATGGTACTGGTTTTAAGTGCGTGCAGAATGGAAGAGTTGTGGTGTCAGAAAGGCTTCCACTCATATTTTAGAAGGCCTGGGAGGCCAGGCAGTGTGCCCCTAAGAGGGCAGTGTGTGAAGTTGTGTGAAGCCAAAAGTGCAGTGGAGACTCCAGAAATTTGGAGAAGCCAGGAATATGGATCATCTGAGGAAAATTGCGAGGAGGTAGCAGAGTGGACCCAAAAGAAAACCTGTGTAAGCTACAACCACAAGAAGTGCCCTAGGGTTGGAGCCACCCAAACCCTTTGGAGTTCATATCTTTCCACAGATTGCTTTGGATCATGCACATGAAGGGACAGGCCTTACTGTTTTCCCTGCTGGATTTTGGACTTGCTTTGGTTTCATTCCTTTGTATCTCTCTGTTGTAACTTTTGAAATGAAAATGTCTATCTTGTGCCATTGAATGTTGGAAATGTTTAACTTTCTTTTCTTTTGTAAAGCAGCTCACAGCTAAGAGTTGGCCACAAATTTCAAAGGAGACTTGGAACTTCAATTTTCTGTAATGCTGAAATTGCTAGGGTTTTAGCTACTCTTAGAGATGGGTTAAATGCATTTTTGTGTAAATGAATGTACCTGAGTTTTTGGAAGATCAGGGGAGGAATGTTATGGTTTCTGTTTAGATAGCCCCCCAATGCCTCATGCACTTTTAGACTGGGCTTTTTTGGAGGTAGCTGAATCTATCTTTTGTTGCCCCTCTGCCACGTACCACCTTCCCTTGGAGCCAGTTAATCATGGACTGAAGCCTCCACAAATTGTGAGCTAATTAAACCTTTCCCCCTTTACTTTGAGTGTCAGATTATTTTGTGTCAGTCACGAGAAAAGTTAAGACAGTAAACATTTGGCTATCTAAGGCTGGAGGTGAAAGGCAGAAAGATCTGGGAGTTATCAGTATGGAAATAGCTTACAAAATCATCAGACTAGATGAAATCAACAGGAGAGTATAGTAAAGGAGCTCAAGGACAGAGTCTAGGGGCCCTTTATTGTCTAGTGACTGGGGAGTTGAAGACAACAGGTAAATGAGATTAAGAAAGGGCCAAGAAGGGATGAGAAGAAAACCAACTAAGCATATAAATAATGTGTTATTCATATGTGCTGTTCTAATACTATATCCACTGTGTCCTACTTGTTTTTCTTTTCCGTAATCTGACAGCACCACCACTAGGAGTGTGTGTGTGTGCGTGCGTGTGTGCGTGTGTGTGTGAGTGAACTACAAGGAAAGCACAGTGTTAATTACTTTATGTATATAACAGAATTATGGAAATACTAATTGGTATCTTTTAAAAAATTTTTTATTTGTTTATAGTTAGGTTTAATGTTGACCCTGTTGGAAATTTGATTTAGTTCTCATCTAGTTTGGTTTGTGACTAGAATCATGGAAAGAATTGAGTTTATGGGCTGAGCTACCACTGTACATGTTTGAAATACATGATGATTATATGCATCATGGGGAGCTGGCACAAGTACATACCTATTTTTTTTGTAATACACTCACTTAGGAAAATTTTCCTCTTCTAGTCTCCTCTCTAGAACAGGGAAGCTAAGTATCTGTGTTAATTCTGGGCAACTTTTAGAATCCTCTGACATAGATGGCTCCGTCCAAGGGTGGGAAGGGTTGGAGGTTTATGCTTTGAATGGAATAGGGAAGTAAGCAGCTGGAATCCTGGGAAAAAACTGATTTTTTTCCTTCTCTAACTCTGGAAATGGGTTAAACATTGGATGTTTTAAACAGTAAATATTAGAGACTGGAGTTTAGTTAGCTTGCAGCTCTCTGGTGGCAGCAAGACCTTGGAAGCAGAAAGGTTGCCTGGAGGTGTACAGAGATTAAAGAGTGACTGCCACAAGCTTGACAGCATTCTGTAAGAAATTTGTGTTTGAGAGCATGACTTGGGCGATCTCCATTGTAGAGCCTGACAAAGGCTCAGTGACAGGGAAGGACAATGACACAAAATTACATTGAGGCTGAGCCTCAGGCTAGGATTTAAGGGTTTGCAGGATGGCCTTTGTTATGGTATAATACTTGGCTGATTTGAGAAGTTCCCCAGGACTGAGCCACTCAGGCTTGTTACTAAACTTTGGGGAACAGTGGCTAGTTTACTGTTCACTGAGAGAGATTTAATTCTTGAACCAAAGTAGGGGACACCTACATGCTACAGGCAGGGAAAAGAACCAGCCACGTTATTACCTCAGACTTCTGGATTATGTCATTATAGCAGTAGACAAGAGCATCAATTAAATGGTAGAACTCCAATTTCTCTCCTTTGCATTGGGAAGGAACTTGTTCTCTTGGGTCTAATCTCCAGTTTCTGGGACAATCAAGAACGGTAAGGCCTAAAAAAAGGAGTGACTTAATTTTCTAAATATAAGATCCTTGGGGCTTGAATGGTTCATTGAAAAATGAGCAGTAATAAAAGGCCTCTGAGTTTGTATATTACCATTTATACATTAAAAAGACTTGGGAACCTTCCTAGTTATTCTCTTGTTGCTGGACAAAATGCTTGACACCCTTAAGTTAGATGAGGAAAGGTTTATTTTAGCTCATAGTTTATAGAGCTTTCAGTCCATCATTGGCTGGCTCCAAGCCAAGGCAGCAAGGCAGCAGAGAAACAGTCCATGGCAGGATGGCAAGAGGCAGAAATCAGTGAGCTTTCCTTTCCCCTTTTGTTTTATTCATGCTACAAGCCCAGTGGTTGGTGCTACCCACACACAGGATGGGCTTTCCCATTATTTATACCCAGAAGCATGCTAGACCAATTTGGGGGCCAATCCAATTATCAAATCCATAATCCACTCTTACACACCCATGACTAGCTACCTCATAAAAGCTCCATCTATGAGCAAGCACATGGGGTTCTGGGGGGACATCCTGACATAAGCCATAACAGGAGCTGTTTGCTGAGCAAGAAATCAGATTGTCGTGAACTTTTGTTATTTTCTAATATGATGTTATTAACTCTTGTTCTGTGTAGTTTTGGAGAGTAAGACAGTAAGAACTGTAAGAACTGTAGCAGTGAAAGTACAAATATTCACTACTAAATCCCAGCACATGAATACCACTCAATACATTTTCAATAAATGATTAAATACATGCATGAAAACACAAGTGTAAAACTTAAAGAGGGCAGACTTTTTACTTACTCTTTCCTTTCCTTTCTTTCTTTGTACTGGGGATTGAACTCACGACCTAGCACTTGCCAAGCAGGCACTTGTGGTTCTGAAGTAAATCCCCAGGCCTACTTTATCTTTCTAGTAATTTAATGTATTAAAAAATTAGGGGCTCGGAAGATGCATTAGTGGTAGGGTATTTGCCTAATGTGGTGAAGAAGCGGGATTTAACTGCCAACACCCAACACACACATCCAAATTATATAGGCTATCTTTGAAATTCTTTATCTCTAGAGTGAAACAGGAGCTAAAGAACCATTTTTTGGGAAAGTGATAGGATCTATTCATTAAATAATGGTCAGACCATAAAACCTTCAGTATGATGGCCATACCAGAGGTATATTCATAGGCCTGGAACAAGTCGAAACAATCCTCATCATTCAGAGAGATGTTTTAAGTAACATGTTTCAGTGGCATGTTTATTAAACAAATGCTCAACAGATTTTCACAACAGCAACAAATATTATTTCACAACATCAAATCTCCCTAACTAAGGAAAAAATGACAGTTACAACAAGTTTGATGATTTAGATTGTTTTTCATGTTTCCTGGGGGCAAAACCAGTGTCCTCACTTATTTGCTTCTTTGGTATTTTCAAGTTTTTCTGATTTCATTTTCTTTACCTCTTCTCTGGCCAGGTGTCCCCGGAAGGCTGCTTGGATTTTGACAGCAGCAGCTTCCTCTTTATTTTCCCCCGCAGACTCCTTCATTGAAAGGAAAAAAAGTAAAAGACGTTTTAAACAACCTGTATTTTTGATGCCATTAAAATATATGCATACATTTAATCAATTTAGGGATCTGTTGCTTCCTGCAGAATTTTATATATTGTCACGTTGTACACATACCAAATGGCAAATGCCAAAATAGCAGGCACTTTGTGTGACAGTCTTTAATATATCTCTGCAATAAGATATATATCACTGCTGATTTCCTTTTTGGAGGATCGATCCAAAATAGTTCTTATTTTAAAATTTCCTGAGCAATAACATTTTTCGGGGGCAAGGGGACACGTAAGATTCCTTGAAGCATGGCAAAATGTTAAGATTAGTAAATGAGCCATTTTGAAATAATCATGATGACATACAAAGGATTAAAATGCTAATGTTTTAATTTCTAAATGATTAGCAAATATGAAACATTTCATAGTGGAATGCCAAAGAGAAATCCATTTACTTCAGTAATGTCAGGTTTAACATGGTTGACTGAACTTTGGCATACAGCTTATTCTTTTTTCCTCTCCTAAGAGATAGGTATAATTTACATATAGCAAAATGCATGGATCCTAAACGTATAACTGAACAGATATATAGCTCTTAATATATCTTAACTATAAAAATGTTACACAACTCTGAAAAAGATCTGTCACTTGCAGTGAAAAGTTTTCTCTATCTTTCCAAATCTTGAAGAGGAAATCATCATAGATTGAATGAACATATTCACACACACACAGGCATACAAACACATGTATATGTATATATATCATCCAAAATTTATACTTATACAAATATGAATATTTCAAAGATGAGATCAGTGTTGCGCCGCTCTCTTTTCCAGTATAACAATATCTTGGTTTTCTTTTTCTATGTTATTACCTGTTATATAACTCTGCCCATTCTCTTTTTATGACAACTTGTATTCCACTGTACTGATGTACTTTGATCTATGCACTCAAATCTCCTAATGATGAACTTTTGGATTGTTCAGCCTTCCCCCATCACATCCCTATAGTGATGACAGTCTTAATATGTGGCCACAAACTTAGCTTTTATTTTAAATGCAAACAGGATGGTATAAAATTCTCCAGATCATGCCTTCAATTGACAAGCAGTTGTCCTCAAGTTGGAAATCAATGAAATCCCAACCCAAACTCATGAAAATCTTTATAAGGGTGTCTAAGAAAGATGTAAGCAAATGACATGTTTTTTGTCTTCTTTCATATCATTGTATCCAATGCCAATGTTAGTGTTGATATAATTCTGGAATAACTATAGGAAAAATCTGGGTGGGAAGCAAGTTATTCCTTGAGGAGCATGTGCATTTTAGGAGTCCATCACTGGGGAAGAAACTGGGACATCAGGACATGAAAAGGACTCAGAAGTTTGGCTTCTGGCATTGTAGAGTGTGAGTTCTTTCTTCCTTGGCCTGGTCCTCCCAAGTCTGGACTATGAAGAATGTAGGCAGTAGTTTGCTAGTAAGTGTTTTAATCTTGGGCTCACCAGCAAATCAAACAAAGACAAGGCTGATTTGTCACAGTCTTAATATTTTCAACAAGCTTTTTCATGCCATTAAAATTACATCACTGAATACGGAGTTGGGTAGCATGCACGATCACCTCAATGCTGGCTTTCACACACTACTGAATACAGTTGGGGAGGACTCGAGGGAGGACTCACCCAGGGAGAAGCGTTATTTGCAAAGGGCTGTGGATGGAAGGTGAGTGAGCTACACTGTGTAAAGACATTTCACTTGGCTCTACCAAATTCTCTTTGGTTTTCCTTTTATTACCTTTGAATCTTTGCCATTGTGGTGGTGGTAGGTAACAACTAATGAAAAAATTCCTGAAGTAGAAGATGAATGTGAAAGCTCAAGACCAGGACTGTAAGTTCTGTCTGCTTTTGCCATCCGGAGATTTTCTATCCATTGACAATCTTCAGAAATAAGAGTTTACTTATTTATGTTTTTTGCATTTTACTTTTTTTTCTGGTGATAAGGATTGTGCTCACTAGGCATGCACTGTACAGTGGAATTATATCCCTAATCCTAAGATGTTTTTTAATGGAAAGAATGAGTTTCTGGCTGTAAGTGGCATGGTTGAAAATGATCTACCTGTTAGTTTATTATTGATGTTAACCTAGAAAGCAAAATTATAATTTTAACAATATAAAGAGTAGACTGATTCATATTTGAAATGCAGTTTAAATAGTAATATCACTTTGTAGAAATGCAATAATATATATAAAGTATTACGTTCAGAGATGCCTGGTGCTTTTTTTGCTCAGGTTCATGTTTCTCAGATATTTGTTGGCCCTCGTGGGAGGGCAGAGGGTCAAAAGGCAGTGTTTTATTTTTTACTTTTTTAGGTACTGGGGATTGAACTCATGATCTTATGCTTGCAAGGCAGGTGCGCATGCCACTGAACTAAACCCCAGCCCTAAAAGGCAGTGTTTTAAAGATAGCAAAGGCTAAGATCAAACCGCTCAAGAGTAATGAACAATTAAGTTATTAAGAACTAGGGAGAATTAAATGTCTTTATCTTTTAACAAGAAAAATATGTTGGAAGAAATGAGAAAATACTAAGGGTACTAAGGGTATTAACAAATACCAAAGATGTAGGACTTGCCAAAATGTTGTTTTTCTGCTTTTGGAATGCATATTTTATTTCTTTTAAAAACAGACAATTGTCTCCTACTAAAAGTTGATAAGATGTGGTAATGAATTCTGAAGTATAAAAAAGAGGTACCAGTAATTTCCAAAATAGTAATAAATAGCATCATGTTCCATAGTGTGAAGTTAAGTTGACTTTTTAATGAAGTTTACAGATTAAAAACTGAAGTAAGTTTTGCTGTGGAAATGATTTATATATAAAAAGAGAAACAAGCTCTGCCAGTTCTGATATAGCTAATAAAGTCCTCCAAAATAGAGGCACTGCTAACTCACCACCTATGGGAAGAAATTCTCTAACCCATAAAACAGGAATTTAAGGACGTGCAAGCGAATCATCTAAAGGCTTTAGAATTCAAAATGAGAGAAAAACACCTGAAATTTCTGTTCAACCCAAGGATAGGCTGGGGATACAGCTCAGTGGCACAGTGCCTGCCTGGCACGTGTGAGGCCCTGAGTTTGATTCCTGGAACCAACCCTTCCCCTCAAAACTCCAAACAAACAAAAAACCAAAAAATCAAAGATATAATGTTTTTCAACATTAATCTTTTGATTTCAATAAAACATGAATATTAATAAAACATGAGCACTGAAAATCTAGTAAAATACAAATAGATAGGACACACCCAAATAAGGGGGTACAGACAGATGGAACTTCACTTCTGAACTCAGGGAATAATTAAACACTACTTCTCTAAGATGCTCCCCAGATCTGTTGGAGAACATCAAAATCTGAACACCATTAATTCCTTTTTATTCTAACTAATTAAAAGCTAGTGTCCCATTGGCTGAAGGTATTAACTTGGTTATATAGAACAGTGTTCTCAGTATTATTATCATTTTCTTATTATCGTACTATGTTTGAGACAGGGTCTCAGTGATGTGGTACAGGCTATTCCTGACCCCCTGGTTTTAAGTGATCCTCCTGCTTCAGCCCCCTGAGTAGCTGGAATTATAGATACAAGTCACTATGCACAGCTAGTGTCCTCAAATTTTATTATATCTACAAACTTTTACCATTTGCTAATTCTAGTTTCCCTTTTGTAACACGTCAGTGATAATAATTAGGCTAATAGTGCTCGTTTATTTTTTTGGTACTGGGCATTGAACTCAGTGCCTTCACCCTGAACTACATCCCTAACCCTTTTTATTTTTCTTTGAGACAGGGTCTCCCTAAGTCACCAAATTGCCCAGGCGGGGCTGGAATTTAGGATCCTCCTAGCTCAGTCTCCCCAAAGTGCTGGGCTTATGGGCAAGTGTGACCAGGCCTGGGCACTAATGGTGATTTTAAAATAAAGTATCAAGCACTGATTCATTCAATAAGGTATTTGTTGAGTATCTGTTCTTGCTAAGTACCTGAAAAATAAGACATGGAGCAGTAAGTGATTTTATAACTTTCAAGCACATTCTTATTGATCATCTTTAAACTTAAACTAAGTATCTACACTTGATTAAGATACATTAGAAATGAATTTGTCACCAGAAAAGCATAATTAGAAAGTTTTAACAAGTTATTTGCAATACTTTATACAGTTCTCACAATTTGTGGGAAATTACAGTAATTAACATGTCATAGTTAGGAAAAATAGCCAAATTCAATAACTTCCCAGGACTATACCTTGAATGCATGATTGTTATAGTAGCGGTCGTCTATCTTAGCCCCCCATTCTGCTGGATCAAAGTTGGTTTCTAAATAATAAAAATATAATAATTTCAGACTTATTTGGAACTCATTTTAAAAATAAAGCTAAAGCAGTAACACAAAGTGAGTTTCTTGTTTCATATAACAGGTACTTTATTGACAGGTAACAACAGGATCATATGTCCATCAACAGAAGAATGAGTAAACAAAATGCGGCATTTATATACAACGGAGCACTACTCTGCTTTAAAGAAGGACAAACTTGAGTTTCTGTAGGAAAATGGATGCACCTTGAGATCATTAACATTACATGAAATGATTCAGACACGCATGCTTAAATATCACGTCGTTTCTCTTATATGAGAAACCCTAAGCATAATGATAGTCAAAAAAAATCTTAATGTTACTGTACATAGCTAAGTACTGCAGACAATAACCAGTGATCATTAATATACAATGGCAAACAGACATTAGTGATCCTTGTACTTACAAAACTACACATGATTTCCTCATAGAATTTATAACAAAACAGGAAAGAGAACAACTGAATTTATAACAAAACAGGAAAGAGAACAACTGAACAACCTAAGTAAAGACACAAGAGTTTGTACCAGTAGATTCAAGTGTATACAAACAAGTGCTTTTTCCCTAACTATTTTCTGGAACTTTTCATTATGGAAAATTCCTACCTTAGATAGTAGAGAGTATCAAACCCCTATATTTACACTATGGAGATTCAACAATTGGCAACTCATGATTTATTTTATTTTATCTACCCTCCTTTCTTCTGGTTATTTTCTATTTTTCCTTCTGGTTATTTTCAAGCATCTATTACTATTTCCACAAATATTTATTTCAGCATTTCTAAAATACACTCTTTTAAAATATAACCACAACATCATTATCATACCTAAATATACTAATTCTCTAATATCACCAACTGTCCAATTTCCCCATTGTGTAACACACATAATTTTACTTATTTATAATTTAATTCAAATTAGACCTACCCAAAATGGGAACAGTCTTTAGCTGTTATATGTTTTAAATTGCTTTTAATGGAAAGCCCTCATCCTCCCCTCATTTTTTCTTGCAACATATTTGTTGATAAAGCTGGGTCATTTTTCCTTTGGAATTTTCCACAGTTTACATATTTCTGTTTCCATGATGGCTTTTAAAATGATCCTTTGCCCTTGAATTTCCTATAGCTTGATAGTTAGACCTACAGGTTTGACACGATTCAGTTTTGGTATTTTTTTGGTGGGGGGTAGGGAAGAGTATTTGGTAGTGCTGTGTTATCCTTTCAGGAGATTAATTATTTCATTTTTTCTTATAATTGTATGATAATTTGTGTAGGGGTTGGCTTCATAATGCTAATATTCTAACTTAATCATTATTTGTTTATTTCTGGAGGAAATAATGAAAAAAATGAATGAATAAAGAATAATGAATAATGAATAAAGAAAATAGCCTCATCAATTATGTATTTACCTTGAAATGCCATTCTTGCATTCTTACACCAAACAAAGGTTAAAGTTTTATTTTTTTCTTTTTATTTATCAATTTTTAGAACAATTAGTTGTTTCCCTAGAATCCTCTCAAGGTGATCAATGAGTGGTGAATTTTGTTTGTAGCATTCTGAATTTATGAATATTTAACAAACTGGATAAAATCCAATGCACTGTATTTATTATTATTCTTTTTTGGTTCTGGGGGTTGAACTCAAGACTTTGTGCTTTGTATTTATTATTCTTATTGATGCTCTGTGCGAAATTTTGGCCAGTGGCAGCTTGCTCAGGAGCTCAGATTCTCCTAAGTCCTTAGCAAATAATCCTAGTGATCTTTGAGGATCTTATTTTTTGGTATAACAAAATAGTCAGCCTCACTGTATGATCATGTATATATCTTGGCATTAGCTAATATTACAAGAAGGCCTAGTTCTTGGGAAACAGTATTCAGACATGACAATCTAGTGTTGAGGGGTCCACTGGTATAGGGGTTGATCACTGTTTTGAGGTCTTTTTAATGTATGGAACTAGAAACTACTTTTTTGAGTTTTTGAGAGAAAACATTCTGCGGTCATATGGATGCTTTTTTACATTCAAATTTAGGATTATGGAATTTTAAAACCTCTCTTATTTTGATAATTGTACAATACTTTTCCTGCACCAGAAACCTTATTCTTGATAACACTAGCACAGTTATTCAGTTTATTCTATAATATAAAAGAATAACTCCTAGGATAACTGGGTTCATCAGTTCTGTATTACTGTAAAAAGTACATGAGGTAAATCAATTTAAAAAGGACCAAAGGATTATTTTGACTCATAATTTTGGAGGTTTCAGCCACAGTCAACTGCCTCTTGTTGTTTGGACCTGTGGCTACATAATATATTGTGGCAGAAGAGTATATGGGGAGGCTTATTGATCATGGCTGAATGCAAAAGAGAGAGAGGAAGAGACCTGTGTCCTGCAGGCCCTTTCAAGGGTGCATCTCTAGGGACCCCAAATCTCCCACTAACTCTCTCTCCTAAAGGCTCTGTCGCCTTCCAGTAGCGTCACAAGCTGGGGACTAAGCCTCTAACACCTGGCCTCTGTGGGATGCTCCAGGTCCAAGATATACCACTCCACTATAGAACCTCAGTTTGTAATTTGTTGTATGATTTTGGAAAACATGGCCACGTTTGTGTTTGTGTGGGCAAGACGGTGTGGTCATGTGTGCCACCTGGTGCACAGTTTGCAAGCAAAAACAAAATTCTGCCAAATGATTTTGTTTGTGGACTAAACTGTTTCCAAATCAAAGTATTCATGAACCATTGTACCACTGCATCAACCATAATATTACTGAAAACAAGTTAAGGTGTTTAAAAGCTCCCTTTGCTTCTAGAATATATTCATCGTGGATGCATGGCCAGGTTACTGTTCTAAAGTCACTTAAAATAATTCCTTTTGTGTTTCCATGTTACTCAGTATTAGTTCATGTGTCTCAATTTGCTTTTAAATTTTATGACTTGCCTAATAATTTTTAAATTTAATTTTATAACTATGCCAAACATTAATGAATCCAAGTTCAAGATATATTCTATCCTGTTTCCTCTACCCTGTTTCCTTTTCTCTAAAGAAAAATGATTTTTACAAAGATTCTTAAAGATATGCATTCATATCAACTTTTGTCAAATAAATAGTATACTAAACTTTTCCTTTTTTTTCATTGATTCTTGAAGATCATTCCCTAGCATTATATAGAGACCCTCATTCATTTATACAGCTGTATATTATTTCAATGTGTATAGTCTTAGTTTATTAAGTCAGTTCCCTATTATGGGAATGTAGCTCAGCATTAAAGCAGTTTCCCAGCACCCACGGGGTTCTGGGTTCAATCCTCAGCACTTCAACAATAAACCCCCCCCCCCTTATAGTTATCTGGGTTGTTTCCACAAATAATGATGTAATGGAAGTGTGGAGGATGAACTTCTGTGTCAGGGGTTAAATACACGTGTAATTTGGGTGGATACTGTTGAGTCTTCTTGTACCATTTTCATCTCCACTTGCAGTGTACATGTAGACTTCTTTTCCCCCACTATAGTGAGTATAGTGACAAACTTGGCTTTTTGTCAGTATGGTGGTGGGTGGTTGTTGGCTGCTGGGTGGAGCTTTGATTTGACTTCTATTATGCCTCACTTTGAGTAGATTTTCATATATTAAGGGCCACTTTGTATTTATTTTTGTTTGAATGATATTTGTTCATATCTCTTATCCATTTTTCTATAGGGTTACTATAAGTATATGTGACCCACTGTTTCTCCAGGCAGTCTATTAGGTTTATTAACCCACAGAGGTAGAAACTGCAAATATTTTTTCTCAGCTTGTCATCTGTCATTTTAATTTTCCTTATGGTGCTTTTTGTCATGTAAAAGTTTACTTTTATGTTGTCAATTCTATCAATCTCTTCCCTAATTGCAGCTGGAGTTTTGAAGTAATTCAAGCAATCTAGCTAGCAAATTTTTCGTGTCTTATGTTATAGAGAAATTCATCCATGTTTTCTTCTAGTAGTTGTTTGGTTTCTTTTAAAAAATATTTACATCTTTGATCAATTTGGAATTTATCCTAGTATATGAGATATCGATCCAATTTTATCTTTTGCCATCTTTATCTCCATATAATTTAAGAAGTCTACTTTCCTTTAGTGATTTGATTATCATTTGTATCATAATGTTAGATACTAGATACTGTTTCCTATCACAAAAGATAAAAAATAGTAGTAGTCACCACCTATGAAGAATGATAGCAAGGGAATTCTTGCACCATAGAGAATGGCTTTGAAATCCATAATGATTTTTTTTTTTTTTTGCCTTTTTTGAAAGACTGAATTCTGATTGTTGGCTAATTCATCTTTGGTTGATATGCATGGAAGTGGGTGTAGTGCTTAAAATTTTTTCAAATGGTTTTACCCATTGTTTATTAGTTAGAGAGCTAGCATTCTGAGGCTATTAAACTTAATCATCTATTGCTTTTATTACTGGTAAGAATGACTCAAATATTTCTGTAATGGGATATTTCTGAGTTCTAAAATTAAGCAAATGACTAAAGACTTTTTCCTGCATGGATTTGTAAAATTAATGATATAATAACAAAATTAGTGTGATGACAACTCACCTTTTTTTTCTATGAGATTTATCTTAATAACCTTTTCCTTTTAAGAACTGTTCATCACATGATTTTAGTGGAATTTAAAGTTTCATATTGTACAACAAATATCCAACCTAAATGGATTTGAAAAAGACCAGTGATAGGAAACTGGCAGAGATTTTGCAGTCTGCAGGACAAAGAGGTGGAGCTGGACAGGGTTTATGGGTATTGTTTTAATTCTGGCTTTGGGTTAGGTTTCCTCCCTCTGTGAAACAGTTTATAATTGAATGTCTTTTTGCCTGCAGCTATTTCTAGTTGCCTTTACCACTCTGTTGGAATATCAATCAAAAGAAGTAACAACTGCTCATACAACAATGGGTTTCTAGTCAAGAATAGGTTTTTAGAAACCAATAATTCCCATTTGGATCACTGGGTCAGTATTGATAGTCATAAACTTTCAAGACCTTGGATCTGCAGAATTTAGTAATGGAAGGTGCTTTGCTTTGGCTCTCAACCAAAGAATCACTGTTAGCAAGGATTTTAGTCTCTGTGTAGGGGGGACTTTGAGAGGATAAAGAATATAAATTACCTTCCTAAGCCGGCAGTTCGCTTTTCAAAACAGTTTGTCTCTGTGCCTTTATTGAAGAACAGTTTCATATACCCAAGTGAATACCAATTTATTTAATCTGAGTGTTGAATTATTTTTATAACACTTATAATACTTTCAAATGAGAAGATTTGAAATTTCAAGAAAATGGCAAATTATCTTCTCAGAAAGAATAGACAGTCAACTATTGGGGATGCATAGGAACAATCTGCTAAAAAGAAGAGGGTATACTGTCTGATTCTTTTAGTTCAGTTTTCATTTTAAGAAATAAAATGAAAGTGGTCAGGAGAATAAACCAGTAATATTGAACAATGCAAAATTCATTTAAGAGAAGCTGTCGAAGAGACGCATGTTGTTTTAAATAGCAAGAACTGTTATTTGAAGACACTTTGCTTCCTAAAGGGCTTTTGTAGAAAGGACATGTCTTAAGTTTTGCTATAACCACTTAAGTCTCTTATTTTTAAAAAAATCTTACTCTCTCTTTTCTCAAGAAGGTCCTTAAAATACGCTGCTGCAAAAGCTGGTATATTTTCCGGTTGCTCCCTCAGGATCTCACGTGTGAGCCCTTCAAGAAGGTTCCCAAATCCTTGTGGAATTCGGAGGTAAGTGTTGGAGAATGGATTTGCCATCTTCTTGGGAAGAACTCCCTATGATACCTACAGAATCATTAAAGAGTACTAAGTATATCTAATTTTAATGATATAATCACAATTATGACAACCAATTATTCCTGAGGCCCAAATTCCCTGGACTTAAATTCTTTTTTTCCCCCCCAACAGAACCTGAGTCCATCTGTTTGTTGCAAAACATTTTGAATTCTTCATTGTGAATCAGACTATCACAAATATAGACCCATTCCACTGGCTAAATAATTTTCTAAAAACATAGTGTTCCTTATGACACTTAGAATTTTTTTCTATCTTCTGGTCCTGGAGAGCTGAGGGCAGTTGTTGCTCTCCTATAAGTATCTAGTGTGAATGACTGTTAAAAAGCTAACAGACTGTTAAATTATCAACTGCTCAAAAGACCCTGTTTAAGGTTTGAAATAGGAAATTTAAAAGTAGATACTAGTCCTGGTTCTAGAAATTCTTTTAACTTGTTAAGTTTCAAGATTTTTTTTTTCTCAGCTGCTACTTCTGGAGCATGACCTGTGTGTCTTGAAGCACCTCTGTACTTTGGAATGGGGTTGAGGAGGGGAAGGAGGTCAGGATTTTGAATCCCAGCCTCCAAACTTGTGGAATTCTTCTGTTTTCTGATATGGTCTTGACCAGCCAGGTCTTCTTCTTTGGTCTTGGGCTACAAAGGCTAGATTAAGGGTGAATGTCAAGCAGTAATTTGGGCTACTGACTATGGAAAGAATTCTGAGAAACCTGTTGGGTTTCTATGAAGTGTGTGTCGATGCCCCACCCAGGCGACGCGATGGCCGGCATCCTGGACGGCGTCCAGTGTTTAAAGCGGCCCAGTCTCCCCTTTTCCCTCTCCCCCTTTGTTTTTAGGCACTGAGTCATTTTAAGGGGTGCGAAACAAACTGGCCAGGCCCTAAACAGCCTAGGAGTGAGGGCGGATGGAGGGAGGGGAAGACGAGTTAAAGATTTCAGAATGCCTACGAAAGGACTGCCTTTAGCTCTCAATCCGCTCCAGGGGTTCCAGGTGTGTGAATCTACCTCTTACCTCTTCTTTCTCTCCCAGCTGGTGCCGTGGGTTAGAATTGTTTTTTTTCTTGTTGCTGGGTAACCGTTTTTTTTTTTTTTGTTAAAAACTACGGCGGCCGACAAGAGAGAAAGGCACCTCGCTCTGTAGCGGCAGTTGGTTTCGCAGACTGAGTACGGAAGAGGGCGGGGTCGATGTCCCAGGCCCCGCCCCATACATAGAGACCCCGCCCCAAACACTGCAAGCCCCACCCCTTCAGGCACAGGTCGAAAGCCCCACGCTGCGGATCCTGCAGGGCGCAAGTATGGCGGCCCCTGGGGCTGTGCTTGGGCTGATGCTGTCTGTAATCCTGTGGGCGGATGGAAGTGCAGGTGAGGCAGATCGGCCCTACCGTGCCCCGGCCGCTCAGCCAGTGCCGGCTCCGAAGTCCCGCATCCTCTTCGGGGCCCCACTGGCTTCCCCTTTCAAGGTCGGGGAGGGACTTTCTCTGACCAGGCCTGGTGCGCGCGCGTCTGCAGGGCCGCAGCCCGCGCCTCAGCTTTCTCCTCCTGCTCCCACCCTTGACACGCCGCCTAAGGGGTAGCGGGGAGTTCCGCTGATCCGAGAGGGGAGGTGCAGACCGAGGGCCTCGGGGGAGCTCGGAGGGAAGGGGGCGAAGCTAGTTAGATAATATTTGAAAACAGGTGACTGAGTCATCCAAAACATTTCAAGCAGCTGCCCCCTCAGTGGTGCCCTCGGGGAGGGTTGGCATCAGGCTAGGTTCCTCGCGGGAATTACATTTTACTAGTTTTAAGTGGTTATTAGGGCTAAGAAACACAGCCCCCTCACTAGCTCAGAATAATTTAAGGCTCAGCTTTGATTTCTGGTGCCGTCTGGAGATACTGATGGTGGAGTAATAATGCGTGGCATTGCGGGCGGAGGAGGCTGACGCACACTGGTTATTGTGCAGGTCAGAGGCTGTCACCTGAATACCCTGAGCTGGACACGGTGAGAGAGGAGAGGCCAGAAGAATCAGTCTGTCTGCTAATGCAGAGTAGAGTGTTTGTCCCCCCACACTTTCCTTCAAACCTCTTGAAGGGTGGAATCCAAAGATCCCTGTTAAGAAACAGAAGTGAAGGAGGGAGAATGGCACGACTGCTATTCTACTTAGGCACCTGCAAAATACCCGATTCAGACAAACAGCAGTCCATAAATGTATGTGTCTTCAGCACTTCCCCTCGTTCCTACTCATCGACCTTTGGCGTCTATTACACGAGGTGAAGAGAGAATTAAGAATAGCGTCACAGTTTTATTAGATTTTTCTGTTAACAGGTATTAACTTTAATATCAACATTTTGTCTGCTCCTTCGGGTCATTTCAATCACTTTCATTAATTCTGACTGTATTTTTCATTCATTCTTCCTTGCTCTAAATTTCTCTTCCTCCTTAACTTGGTTGACTACCCTGGCATCTTTTCTTTAAACCACCGGTCCCCCTTTGCCCCTGTTTATCATGTAATATTTGAGGTGTAGAAAACTACATGTAACAATGAGGGCAGTGACCCTTGAGCTCACACCCAGTTTGAGAACTATGACAGTTTTGTTGAGACAGCAGTGGACTATTCAGTGGAGTCTGCCAGGCCCCTGTCCCAATCCAGGTAATCACTTTCCCAGTTTTGTCGGTCCACTTGTAATCTTTCACCTACAGCACTCACTCTTGTATTTCTGTTCCAACCCCAAAGAAGGGAAAAGTTGAAGAACTTAAAAAAAAAGTTCACAATTAATTAATTGTATCTTGTGTTTGACCAAACATCTTGCTCTCTCATCTTGTTTTTCCATTGCTCAATTCCTGGGTGAAGTTCCATTGTCTATCAGGTGGAAATTTGAGCTTTTCTAAAGACAAGGAATATGATTTTTCCTTGACTTGTCATCATTATCTAAGTGGAAGTTAGAATAACTTTAGAATCACGTGACTGGTGTTAGCCCTGCCAGAAATAAGCTTGTGATTTGAGGCCAAAGTCTAGTGTCTCCAGGGTTCCTACCACAATAAAGATCTCTAGAAGAATGTAAATGCCCTGCTGGCAAAATTTTTTATCTTTTATTACTGTTTTTGTTTTTTCTTCTGTCACTTGTTATTTCTCCAGTGCTTAAAATAGTACTTAGCACGTACTACATATCAATAAATATTTGCTGAAATTAATGAATAGGCAAGCTTGGGTCTTAGTGTGTTGATCAATAATATGATCATACTTCTTGATGTAATTGATGTGATCACATCATGATTATAAAGATCCTTTCCATCTCTAAAATTCTTCAGGCCATCATAAAGGCAGCCCCTCTGCTCAGTAAGTGGGTGTTGGTGAGCACAGACTGGCGGGAAACAGTATTTCCCCAGCCTGCGGGCCGCTCTGCACAAATAAGCAACTAGCAGGCAGTTTTTTCTCCCCATCCCTGTACTTTCATCCTCTCTCTGAGGAGCTCTTCTTTATGCCCTATTTTGTTCCTTATGAAGCACCTACCCAAGAAAGGGCCCTCCCACACATGTGCCTCTTCCCCCAGCAGGTTGCCAACCTGCTTATGCAATTCTGACTGTTGTGATCTCTTCCTAGAGTATTTTGCTCATGGTAGTTGTGTATTTCCAGCCCTGTGGGCCTTCTGGATGATGATCTTCAGTTATCATATAGGTTTCATGATGGAACTCATGGGAGAGAGGGAGCTGAACAGTTTTAGGGTCTGGGCTGTTATTCAGAGAACAGTCTAAATATACCACCAAGCTTGTGGAAGAGACCCCATTAGCTCTACTTCCCTGTTAAATATAGTCTCAGGGGCCTGGCCTCATTTGGAGCTTCTAGGGAGGAAAATGTCAGCCTTGTTAATTCTAATTCTCTTTCCTGCCGATCACGTTAGCTTAAAACCCTTAAAAAAAAAAAAAGAAAAAGAAAAAGCATACTTTTGTGAATTTTTTTCTTTTAGGGATTTTTTGGAGGTCTGTTTTATTCATACAAACCTGGACATAAGTTTTATTATTTTTCTTGTTAAGCGTTGATAAGAAGCTCACTGACATGACTTCAATTGATGCTTGTTATTAAAAAATATTTCAGTATAGGCTAGAAGTTAAAAATAGGAATGATCTCGTTAAAATGAGTTCTTACTCAGTCTTGTTAGTGATTCTCTAGAATAGAATGTGGTTTCAAAAAACATTAAAAACCGCACAGTTTTAAGTGTGCTTCCTTTTTTATTTTTGTATAATTTAGCTTATGAAACAGATATAATTGTGATAAAAGATCTTTATTTAAAAGACTTTCGACCAGTCTTTTATTGGCCTTATTCTTGTGTCTGGATTCATCTGAATTTACCTGTGAAGGACATACTCTTGTCAAGGATATTGATAAATGCGGTACATTGGGTCATCAAAAAACCAAAATAAGGGAAATTATTTAGAGGAAATTAGCATTAACAGGATGGAAGGGAGGAGATAAGAGGGGGAAAATATTAGAGTAGCTTTGTTGGGGAGAGGCATAGCTCTTTATTTCCAGCTACTAGGAGTGGGCGTGGTAATGGAAAATCTGGGAGGGAAGTGGTTTATTTTTCACATAAACACCATCTGTGGAGTGCATGCAAGGTGCATTTTAGTGATTCTGGGGGGAGAAAGTCAAGTGCTGGAGCCAAGTTTGAGAACAAGAGATGAGCAGCTCTGTAGAGGGGGCGGGGTGTAGTGAGTGGTACAGTGGTTGTCCTTGGCTGCTGGAATTTTCCTTAGTGATCATCTTGTCCATGAGGCATATTGTTGGAATATGTTCTTATTGTGTCGCTTGTCTGATTAGAAGAAATAAGATCTAGCTTGAGGTTAAAAGGACTGGTTATACTCAGAATTCTTTTGTGTAAAGATTGTATATGTTCCTTGCTGTCCCACCAGTTGAGTTGGTAACAGACCCCTTTTAAACTGCTTCCCTAAATGTTTGTTAATTTTTTTTAGGTATTGGTTTTCGCTTTGCTTCATACATTGATAATTACATGGTGCTGCAGAAGGAACCTGCGGGAGCAGTGATCTGGGGCTTCGGTATACCTGGAGCCACAGTGACGGTGACCTTGTGCCAAGGTCAGCAAGCCATCATGAAGAAAGTGACCAGTGTAAAAGGTAAGGCAGTCCAGTCTCCGTTCAGCTATTGTCTTCTTCTGCCACCTACTGGATTGACTGAAAATGAGTGCTTGTGTTCCAGCTCAGGCCACCTGTCGTCTATCCATCCCTCCAATTGTCTGTCCATCCACTCACCTATCCATCTGTGAAAATTATTTCAGTATTTGCTGTGCAGTAGATGCCAAAGATATGAAGAAAAATAAGGCTCAAAGTCCCTGTGTTCAAGAAGCTCACGGGACGATATGAATAGATACCAAGTCCTGTAGTGTGTGGTCAGGGCTATGATGAAGGTGAATTTGGAATATCATGGAATGCAGAAGAGAAACAGCTAACTTGGTCTGGGTGGAATGGGAAGGTCCCTGCAGAAAGTGACGTTTGAGCTGAATCATACATAAAAGTGAGGTAGCAAGGAGGTGTAGCTAAGAACCTTTGCTCTAGAATTCACTGTCTGAAGTCAGCTCCTCACTCATTTTATGACTGCATAACCTTGGAAATGTTATTATACATGCGGAGATAGTTGGTACGGGATTATTATGAGGGTTAAATAATTTAGCACATTAGAACGGTGCCTAGCACCAGTGAGTACTGAATAAGTTTTAGCAGTCATTAGTGCTGTTATTTAGCCAGTCACTTAAATATTTATTGAGTAGCTGCACCTGCTAGATACTTTGCTATGTACTATTGATGTAGTAAAAAGCAAAACAGATATGGCCCCTCCTTTTATGAAGCTTGTAGGTTAGGGGGAAAGACACAAAAATGATAAGCGGTGTGGTGAAGTGTGATAAATGCCACAATAAGTAAGGACACATTGGGTGTGCTGGTGCGTGCCTGTAATGCCAGCAGTCAGGGAGGCCGAGGCAGAAGGATCAAAAGTCAGAGCCTAGATTGGACAATTTATCAACTTAATAAGACCCCATCTCAAAAAATAAAAAAGGGCTGGAGATATAGCTCAGGCCCTGGGTTTAATCCTCAGTGCTGTAAATAACAAGATTAGAGTGTTATTTTATTTTGTTGTGTTATCATGGGTTGAATCTAGGGCATTTGCCCTGAGCTGCTTCTCAGGGCCTTTTTATTTTTTGATACAGTGTCTCCCTAAGTTGCTAAATTGCCCAGACTGCACTCAAACTTGCAGTCCTCCTGCCTCATCCTCCCGGAGTGCCCAGATCCTAAGCTTCAGATTGTTATTTTAAAAGTTCACATTGGCAGCACTGTGGAAGATGGGTTAGAGATCAATGAGGTAGAGGAGGTGGGACCTGTTAGCAGACTGTTATGAATCCAGGCCATCCATGATGAGAGCTTAACTCAAGAGGGTGACTGTGACGATGAATGTTCAAGAAGGCAAGAATTAGCAGCTTCCTCGAGCAGGGAGATCTAACAAAGGTGCCTCTGTCCAAAGGAATAAGGATGTATAAGACAGTGTGTGTAGGAGGCAAAGCAGGAAGCCCTTGATTCAGGAAGGTGTGCTTAGAGCTGATCTTAGGGTTTGCTCTAAAGCAATGAGATGTGCAGAGAGTGACTCAGGCAGGGAGATTACTCTGGGAGTGGTGGAGTTAACTACAGAGTTGGTGGCTTGAGGAGAAAATTTGTAAATATAGACAGGAAAGCTGGTGGAAATTTTACTGGAAGAATTTCTTTCTTAGTTTTGTCAGTCTATGATACTGATTATCCAGAGCCACCCAGATCCTAGTGATGTGTCTTTATAATTCAGCAGCTTCCATTCAGCAAGCATTTTAAATACCATGCACGAGACACAGTTGCAAGGTAAGCAGTTCTAGCTCTTTATAAGACTTTTTAAGGTAAAAATATTGTTGTTTGAAACTAAGTGGAAACTGTAGTTAAGACATAGATGTCTGTTGGTGTAAATGCTACTGGTGACATGCAGGATGACTGAAAATGAAGACCTCTTGGACTAGCCATGCTTTCTGCTGTGTTCCTCTTAGTAATGAGCAGAACTGTGTGCCAGTAGTGGCCCTCTGAATAAATGGTGTTGGTTTAGATATTCAGAGAACTGCTGTAGTTCAAAAATAAGAATGGGGCTTCATGATGTGCTAATAAGTTACCAGCAAATATTCAGGAGGCAAAGACTATGTAGTGTTGTACTGAGAGAGACAGAAATACAGAAAGCACAGATATTATGTAGCATTTCAGGTTTTAATTTGCTCTCCTGCGTTACTTTTAGTAGTCCACGTGTTTCAGGACCAGTACTTGCAAGGTGGGCTGGGACAAAACAGGATAGTAGGTTGTGATGAGAAAGAATGACAGGTAATCATTAAGAGATGAACTTCCTTTATGGTGAATGTGAGCCTGCTTATTTATCTTCAGTTTAATTTTATAAACATCCATCAAGTGTTTACGTGTATAAAACACTAAGGAAAAAACTTTAGGAAAAGACAGAGGCAGATACAAATGGTGCTCACTCTGCACAAGCTCATTGTTTCATGTTCTTCTTTCTATTTAGTGCTTTAGGCTCACGTAATGCTTTATTTGCTCCACCAAAAAGTGACAAGGCACTTGGAGTTCAAACCAGCAAAACGTAAGGGAATGAACTTATTCGTAGACCATTGATAATTTCCCAGGAAAAGAGGGTGATGGTGTTGGTAGATCTATTTATCTGACTTGCCACATTTACTTACTACAGAACAAAGGTTTTTTAGTTTGTAGAGGTCAGCAAATCTCCTCCAGTAAGACTTTCGTTCTCTCCTATCTGTGAAGCAAAATGGAGAAAGAGTTACTTGGAATATAGAAAGTAGGCATGTAAGAAACTGCATTAAAGCAGACAAGAAAATGTCTCTCAAAAGGGACACTACAGGGGATATTATTGGATGGTTGGTTTCTGTTTTAGATTACAAAGAAGACTTTGGGATTTTTAGCCAGATGACCTCAATTTCCCTTTTTACCTGTGGTGATGTTTAATTTATTACCTATGACATAGAAAATGAGAGCAAAGATTTACCAATGTAAAAGCTTTTGTTCAGCAAACGAACACTTAGGCATTGGGAAGGTTAGAACCTGAAAGACAGTTGCAAACATGGATGGCGTACTGGGTACATTCAAACCATATCGTCAAGTGAAGGAAAACCAGGGAGAACAGGGTGAAGATGTAGGTGACAGAATGAGAGTGTATCTGCCTGTGTCTTACTGAGTGAATAGATTCATTTTTCTAACTTAGAAAAAATGTAGGCCTAAAACCCTCCTGCCTCCCTCTGGTGGCAGTGGAAGCGTGGCTATTGGTGCTTTATCCTACATAACAGGTTACTGCAAACTTAGACACTTATAACAACGTACGTATGTTTATTATCTCGCAGTTTCTGTCAGTCTGAAATTTGGCCATGGTATAGCTGGGTTTTCAGCTCAGGCCTCACCAGGCTGAAGCCAAGTACTGGTCAGGTCATGTTCTCAGCTGGAGCTGTGAGGAGGGTGCTCACACCTGCATCCAGGCTCCCTTAGGTTGCTTGCAGAATTCACTCCCTTGAGGGGTGCACTTCACCGTGGCATCTTTGGTACTTGATGTCTCTAACTTCTAGACCTTCTGCCAAAATCCTTCCCTTATTTGGTCAGCCCTGATAAACTAACCTACCTTTTTATTTGCTGAAAGTAAACAGATGAAGGTCTTTGATCCCGTCTGCAAAAATCTTTTCACCTTTTCCATGGAACATAATGTAGTCATCAGAGTGACATCTCCTCTTCCCCTTTGCCGTTTTTTTTTTTTTTTTTTTTTTTTTCTGTTGAGTGGAAGCCAATCACAATCTGTTTACCCTTGAAGGAGGGAATAACACAAGGCAGTGACTTTGCACATTACCTAGGGTGTGTCTGCCACAGCATACAGCAGTGTAAGTAACTTGACAGAAAAGTATTTTAGTTTTATTTTCTGTTCATTCACATTTGGTAGTGGGAGTGTCTTAGCTACTTCACATATTGCTGGAACACAATACCCACCACCCACAAATTAAAGGAGGGAAGGTTTATTTGGGGTTACTGTTCGTAGAGGTTTCAGTCCATAGTTGACAGACTCCAAGGCAGGGTAGGATGACAAGAGAGGCCTGGTGGAGGAGAAGCACATTCGTAGGACAGCACGGGGGAAGGAGAAAGCCAGGGAGAGGGAGAGAGTCACACTCTTCCAGGCCATGCTCATCTCCTCCCCTTGGGCTTCACCTCCCAACATTGCACTGAACCGTGAGCTTGTCTGTGGACTAATCTGCTGATGAGGATCATGTCCCCAGGACCCAGTCATCGCCCAAAAGCTCTGCGAGGACATTAGGTATAAACCATAACAGGTAGTTTTGAACTTTAGAATCAGTAGATGCAGCAGTAAGGCCTTCATCTTCTGGCCATTTCTAAAACCCACAGAACCACTCTGTAGTTGGTGAAGAGCCGGTGTTCTGTGCAGGGCAGTGAGTATGGCTGCCTGCTTCAGCTGTGTGTTTTTCCTCTTGGGAAGGGAAAGGTCATGGATAATTTTTCTTTTGTTGGCATCTGAGATTTTGGCACATTAACCTGCAAAAATAATTAACATCTGATGTGAATAGCATGAAGAAAAAAGCAGGTTATGACTAATCGTGTCTGGAGACAAGATTACTTTCATTTATTCCTTTTGATTTTCTGTTTTTGAGGTTGGAATCAGTTGGGGGAGATGGAGAGAAAATGGAGATACAACTTTTTTTTTTCGCTTATATCCTTGGCTGGAATGCGAAGAACAATAATCAGAAATAGGCCGTCAGATACACTGCTGTGCATGAAAACATAAAGCCCTAGTCAATTTGCATGGCTTTTTCATCAGTGTAACCAGGGTTGGGGCTTATTTTCTGTTATTCACTTGATGGAGTGCCTGGCACACAGTAAGCACTCTTAAGTCACTCTGTAATGAAGGCAGGAAATTAATCTTTCTAGATGGCAGACAAAAGAGTGCCAGAGAATAGAGATCTGAATTCAGTGAAAATGAGAATTTACAGAAGCCTGGGCCTGAATTGGTAAAAGATTACAAGGTAGCGAGTGATTAGGGTCCAGAAGAAGGTGCAAGTGCAGTGTTGCTCAGAAAGCTTCTCAGGATCAGCAGAAAGCCAGTTGGATGATGGTGAACCCTTTTGTGGTTAGTGGCTCAAGTTTATTATTTGGACTCAACAGAGGTGATCAACATAGTTTCTTAAAGCTATTAATTGGAATTCACTGCCTGTGGCAAGCTCCCCTTCGACAAGCCAGTCCTGAATTGACAAGCCAAGGACAAATCATTTCTTCTTATGGAACATGGGGTTGTAGTCAGGGCTTATATGGGAAAAGATTTAATATAGGACACATTATTTATAGGATTATTTAATAATGTTCACCCAAAGAGTCAAATGCAAAAGAGTACGGGACATCTGTCCACACACTAGAGACACAAAGAATCCAGCTGAGGGCCTGGATCCCATGGCAATGTCTTGTATGAGTCCAACTGAAGACCTAAAGCCTGTGTCGGTGTCCTCCACAAGTCCAGCTGGAGGACATGAGCCCACTGCAATGTCTCATGCAAGTCTGTATCAAGGATCTGCACCGGGAAGGCCCAAAGGTCAGTGGTGGAAGCTAGAAAGTCTGTGCCAGTGGGGTGAAGGATCTGTGCCAGTAGGCAGAGGATCTGCAGTGGAGCCAGGAAGCAATGCTCAAGGCAAGGATCAGAGCTCCCCAAAGAGAACCATAGTATTCCCAGCAGTAGCCAGGACCTGTGCTATTCCAACAGTCAGAACAGCCAAGTTCGTGTTGGGAAAAGCAGCATGACAAGCTTCTCCAGGAGAATCAAGAGCACGCTGTCTTCCCCTTCAGTTCTGTTTTTATACCGTTGGCCACGATCCATTGGTGGGCCTTCCACACCCAGCACCTTGCTGCTTCAGGTCAGCTGGGTGGTGCACGTTGACCATTAATGCACCACAGTGGCTTTTGTCTTCATATTGTCATTTCGTGCCTTTGGTCTGAGGATCATTTTTATAAGTGCTGCTCTCCCTCATGTACAGTATTTACTCAGGCACAAATGCCTTTCTGTAGAGTACCGATTTCCCTGCTTCAATAAGAAGTTAACTTCACACAGTCATCCTTGTGTCAGGGCTTCTTTTTCTGTCATCAAATGGGAGAGGTAAAGAGCTAGCTATCAGAAGAACTCAAGGATTAACCAGCACAGAAGGAGGTTCACCAAGGGCTTTGAGGAAGTTGAAAACAGATTTCTCTAGGGGAAAATTCTTGGGAAGAAGACTCAAGTCTTGATTCCTACTGACTTTCAGGCTTTAGGCCCTCCTGGTACCACCTCATTCTCTAGTTGTAGTAGGGTGGTGTGGATTTGTTTTACCCCAGATTTCCTGTGTTTTTATTACTGGGCAGCAAATCTTTCTGGAAGTTCTGGTGAGGGTAGTTTTCTTCAGTGGCCGTGCAGCTTGATTGAGTCTGAGGGTAAATGCCTGATTAACAGCAGTAGCTAGGAATACACTGCATTAGCAGGAGAAGCCTAAGAAACAGTGCTGTGAAAGTCTTCAGGGGTCTGACCTCAGCACTATGAATGCTCAGCAGTATTAGCCTCAGGACAGAGCTGAAGCAGGATGTGTCAGTGCAGGAAGCCTGGAGAGACCTTGGCAAGACTGTATTAGCACAGATTGGAGCGTCTGCCTGCTCAGAAGCGTGAGCCAGATGGAGCATGTCACACCTGTGCGATACAGTCTGTACTAGCTGCCCACTGTTTCCAAAACAGTGATTTTCCTGGTTTAGGTGAATTATATAGTTAATATGTGGATGTCTGGCTATTGGTGATAGAAAACCAATGGTCAACTTTTGACTCTGGCTTATTGGACCTCTTAGAGATGGCAGTAGCAAGCTCAATTGATTATGCTGTGGGAGGACCCTTTCACTGATGCCTTGGGGATTTTGGACCTTTCCTCCAAACTCTAAGCAATTCCTTTTGGTTTAAGCTCTTACCAGTGTTCTAAAATCAGTGTAGATACCGCATGCTTCTTTTTTAGTTTTTGCCTATTTAGAACTTGACACAGTATCTAGCTCCTAGTAGAGTCTTGGGTGGTGTTTTTATACTTATTATTTCTCACAAGTTGGGTTAATAACTTCAGAATGCTGTGTTTCCAGTGGTTACCATTATTTCCCTTTGAGTTTGTTGATTTGGTAGGCACAAGCTATAAATCAGTTCATAGTCTTTGAAAGATATTTTAAAATATCAACTCCTCTGTTTTTTCTATTTTCCCACTCTCATTTCTTTAATTTTATGCATGTTGCTTAGCTCTCTTAGGTGTACTTTTGCTGAGCTGACGGTATTTTCTTTAAAATCTCTGACTACAGTCTTGGCAGCAGTCATAGAAAGATGGCAGGGATGCTTCCAAAAGAATAAGCTATGAGTTTCTGAAAGGGGGTCTTGAATAGCTTCTCATTTCCCTAATTGAGCCCCCAAACCTTAAGTATTATAAATAACTCTGAAGTTAATTGGGAAAATAAAAATACATTTTTCATAGATTGATTCTGTGCTTCCCTCGCTTTTTGATGTGTCAGTTTCTCTGTGCATGTTTGCTTAGTAGTAGAACCCAGAGCTGCTGGAGTAAATATACTGATCCTTGTTAGCAATATGGGGAGATTTGGGAGTTGGTGATGAAGGTGATCCAGCCTCCTAGGGGAAAGTTTAAGGTTATGAACAGTTTTCTCTAACCTGTGTCACATTTGATTGGATAATTACGGATTAGCTTGGGGTGCTGTGTAAATTGGAAAAATTGGATTATGTTAATATTGACAGATAGTATAACAAGTTCTATTTTCTGTTTTTTACTAAACTCCCTTGAATTTTAATCCGTGCATATTTTTGTCTGTCCTTATTTAGGATTATAACTGAGTAACTTATTTTTCCTATAAATGGTTCAGTTAAAAATAAAGATTGGGACAGATTAAGGATAAAAATGCTGTTGCTCTTGTCAGTTTCGTCCTCTTGTCTGAAATTTGGCCAATCTTTAGCTGCGAATATGGTTCAGCTCCTCACAGAGGCTGGGAATAGCCACAAATGGGTATGATTTGGCCTTCATTTCATTTTAAGTGATTGATTAATTCCTTGGAGGCCCCTTGTTATTTCAGCACACACCAACACCTGGATGGTGGTACTGGATCCTATGAAGCCCGGCGGACCCTATGAAGTGATGGCACAACAGAGTTTGTGGTCCAGGAACTTTACCGTGCAAGTGCATGATGTATTATTTGGAGATGTCTGGCTTTGCAGTGGGCAAAGTAACATGCAGATGACTGTTTTACAGGTAATTTGCAGAGTCTAAGCAATAATAAATTATACTGATAATAATGAAGAAACAAAGGATGAGTTGGGAATAAGGAGGAGAAGAAAGGCTGTTTATTAAGTACTTATCATGTGCCAAGATCTGTTCCAGTTGCTTTCACATTTTAATTAATTTGATTTAATGATCTTAAGAGATTAGTGATTAAATTGACAGTTACTGATTGATACACATGTGTTTGTATACTTGGATTTATATCTTTAATAGGTTAATAGCTTGGATGGATTACTGTTTTCCCTGTTTTTTTATTTTTTTCAAAACTGAATTTATTTTGTAGTTGAGATTTATTTTCTTGCCTTTCTTCATCTATAAGAAACATTTGGATTTGAAGTCTTAAGAATTTCTACATCCAGATTCATGATTCACTTCAGTTCTTTTTTAAAAAATTTATACAATGAAGTACTTTCACATAATTTAGAATTTCTTGTTTTACTTGTATAGTTTTTCCCCCCCTATAGTTCCTTCTCTCTGTCTCTCTGTTTTTTTTTTTTTTTTTTGGTAGCAGGAGGAACTCAGACCTTGTGCTTGCCAAGCAAGCACTTGCACTGCTGAGCTAAACCCCTGGCCCAGTTTCTTATTTTTTAAAGTTAATACCAAATAATGCTAGTAAAAAATCTCACTCTGGACATATGTGCTTTCATAGTTAATTTTCTAATTCAGACTCTAAATTCTTGTGTTTGTATATTCCTAACCAATATTTTATTTACTCTTTCTGCCTTTATTACACATATGGAAGCTTTTAAATTAAAATGCTTATTAAACTGGACTTTGATTGGACTCTTAGCCTAAGTGGATGCAAAATTAAAATTTTATCTCTTGATGGAAAAGATGGTTTTGTGTAGAAGTGGAATCGTTGACTCATTTAAGGAAACAGTACTTTGCTTACTGCTTTAATTACACTTCCATGTTTGCATAGAAAAGCATGGACCAGATCTGTTTGTATCTATAGAGTCATTTTCTCAATAGCAGTCTATGCCAAGGGATCCCATCCCATTTTCTGTCAAGCTAAATGAGATCGTGATTGTTAAGAGTAAACACATTCTTTCTGTCTGGAATTTACTCCTAGGCATCTTCTGTGTTGAGCTGGGGCTGTGAGCTCTGAAATATAAGGGAACAGAGAAACAGATTCCATCTGAAACATCTTAAGTGTTAATTTTTAATTTTGTGTTTCAAACCATGCACTTAGCATGCAAGATAGCATTTTAGGTGCTAATAGTACCAACAGCCGTGCTTTTTGGTGTCTTAGCAGTCTGTGGAGCCTTATTTTTTGATCAGAAGGATGTACTTTATGACACCCGCTCTGATTTCTGCTGCTGCTTTCCCTTTGCAGGCTCCCCATACACACTCACGCGTGTGAGCCCTGGTCCCCACCCCCTTCCCCCCAAGGATCTTTCCTTTTTCTTCCTCCCTCCCTGTAGCTTTTCTGAGGAGGTAAGATTCTCACTATAACCTACCACTCTTCACATTCAAAGAAGGAAATGGCAGATTGTATGCCCATCTTGTTGTTAGGGTAAAGTGGAATTTTAACATTGAGTGTTATTTATAATGCCGAGTGAGATGTTTATAAATGGAGAAAAATCTAAATGTTCATCTGTTGCCTCCCAAGTCAGGATAGGTCTAAAGACTTGGCTATTTCTAGGTAAGTTTAGAAAAAGATGGCCAATGTCAGACAGGAAACCCATTTTTCAATATTTTGGCACCCCCTACATTCTTACTTGCCAAGCCGAAAAATTAAAATCCAGAGAGAAGGGCTGTTACCACATCCCAATAAAGAGTCTTAGGAGTTATGCTGGCTAGCTTATTTATAGCTGTTACCTCAGCCTTAAGACTGTGGGTATTCTATAGTACAAGATAGAATAACTTTCAGTCTCTCAAAATTCTTTAAGTCAGTACTTAAGTTTCTCTGTGTCTTTACCACATTTGTGCATGAGTGCACACATGCATTCACGTAAACATTTACATGTCCGCCTTGCAGGCCCCATACCAATATTCTCTGAGGAAATAGATTCTTGATGTGTCTTCATTAATTCAAGAATGTTGTATAAAGGTTACAAAATGAACACCGGCGAGCAGCTGCTTTGATGGAGAGTGGTCTGGTCCCTGGGGAGGCAGCGGTGCACTCCCGCAGCCTCAGCAGTGTTAATGACTTCAAATACCTTGGTATTCATTTACATCCTCATTTAAATACTTGGTAGAAAAATAATTACACTGAGGTGTTTGATGAGATGAAATCTGATCTCAGCAGATGGAGTAAGGCTTCCCCTTTCATCAGCAGGGAAACCAAGTGTCATTTAAATGAAAATCTTCCTGAAATCTCTTTATTCCTAAATTTGCAGCCAAAATCCCCTAGGAAATGCCTCCACGAAAAAGGCCTAGAGCTCTTGGGAAGGGTTACCAGTCTGACAAGTAATTGTCATCAGGTACAGCAGGAACTTTCCCCACCCCCATTTTTGTTAACAATTTCTCTGACTTTCAAATTCTGGCTTGAAATAATTCACAAATGTGAATTTGAAAATGGAAGTTTTCCAGGCAGTGTTTTTTGGACCCCGTTCCCTGTGTTGGTAACAGTACAGGAGAATACCAAACACCCTGACTCTATTGCCCTGGCAGTACTCTGCAGAGTTAGCAACCAGTTTAAAAGACAAGTGGCATGTTCTCCCCAGCTGCCTCCCCAAGCTGGCATCACATTGCCAGGAGGCGCTTGAGTTCCCAGGCAGTGCGGAAGCTTGTGTGGGTGGGAACGAAAGCAGTTCCATCCACTGTTTCCATGGGAGCGACACAGGATCCTTCGTGCTTAGTGCAGAACTGAATTTCAAGGGAGGCAACTTTTTTACAGGTACTTGCTGCTGAAAAATAATTTCCCTGCCAGAATATACTGTGAGTGCATTAGCCTGTTCTTATTCTTCAGTGTTTATTTTACAATAAACTTGCCAGGCTGGACCCTAAAGGGAAAGGCCTGAATTTCCTGTGGAGTTTTCCTGATACCACGTGTCATCTCTGTTCCGAAAGCTGGAGGACCAGTAACCTTCATGGCCCTGAGCTGCTGCTACGCAGGAGGCAGGCATTCAGACTGTGGCTCCCATTGTGACCCAAAGAGCCATGCCATTTGCATCTGCCCCATCTCATTGACCACAGCGGAAGGCTATTCAGTTGCAGCATATTTCAATAAAATGCTCTGTGGGGGCACACTGGATGCTCCATCTCTCGCCTCTGCTGTGGGCTGGAAGGCCAGCTGTGTTCTCTGTGGTGGGTGGGAGGGAAAGCGAGCCAGCTGCACACTTGGTGGATGGCAGCCAATGGAAAGTGTCCCAGCCTCCTGTGCCTCTTGCAGTGGTGGCCCAGACTCAGCTGGAGTACCTATTCCCTGAGGCGGATGGTAACTGGGCTTCCTGATGCTTCCCTTTGCCCTTTGTTTGGGGAGAAGCTGGAGTAGCTCAGGGGAATAGAGAGGACTCAAGAGGAAATATACCCCCCCCCCCACACACACTTGCACAAAACCAAGATATCGCTGGTCTAGTCTTTTGAACACAAAAATATAACTAAGAGATCAAGATTAAAGGAGATGGCACTTGTGTCTAAACTCCTAGAAGAATGAGGCTTAATTGGACTAATGAATAGACCACTCAAGAGAGTGCCTACTTTCTTGTCCGGAAAAGTCCTAACCCACTCCTGCCGTCTCGGCAACTGATGATGTTTGGACAGATCCTCTTTGTTTAATTCTTTGGGAAAGTTCTGAACTATTACCCTGAACCCTACCTTTCATGCCTTCTATGTCTTTTGAGGGGGGGGGACTTCCCAGGTCCCAGAGGAGAGTATAAGCATTGTGACAGTCACTCCAGTGTGTTTATTTCAACTCTCGCTTTTCGGGGGTGTTTCGTTTGAATAATTTCTCTTATGTGTTGTGGATCACATAAATCTATTTCTGCATGGACTCTATAACTCCATATTGGTTCATTTCTAAGCACTATTTTTTTTAAAGAAGCTAATTGACATAAATTTCCAACATCTGTCTCTTTTTTGTATTTTTTTTCAAGATAGTTCAGTGGTCTGAGTGATAGCATTCTTCACCTTAAACCACTGCACATCTTCCATCTGCCTAAAGTCACAGGTTTCATTATATTTGTGCCTCTTTGGGAAAATGCTATGTCGTGGTCAAAGTAAATTATGTTGGTTGAGGATACAGCTCAGTGGGACAGCGCCTGCCTGGCAAGTGCAAGGTGCTGAGTTCAATTCCTGGTACCAAAGTGAATTATATGATTCAGTCCAGGCCCTTACAGGTTTTGGTTGTTGTTCATTTGCTCTTGGTCTGTTGAAGGCTTAGAAGGAGCTCACTGGGCTAGAAGCCTGACAGGCCAGTTCACCGCCCACTAGATGAAATGACATTTCAAATTCTCTTCTAGATATTTAATGCTGTAAGGGAGCTGTCCGACACTGCTGCCTACCAGTCTGTCCGCCTTCTCTCTGTCTCTCTCACTGAGGCAGAGGAGGAACTGCAGGATCTCAATGCAGTTGACTTGCAGTGGTCGAAGCCCACCAAAGGTACGTGAGTGCCTCAACCTGCGTTATGTCTCAGGTAATACCCTGGTGCCCTAAGCGGGCTCTCTAAGCCTGGATTTGGTTCTTACTGTCAACTTCTGTTGCTGAACTATCTTTTTATTCATTTCCTACTTACTCTTCGTGCATTCCTGATGGTCACTATTCCATGTATTGCTTCCCAAGCCTCCACCAAGGAATCCTTCCCCCTGTGATGAAGAAATGACTCTTCCTTCATTTTCAGTGACAATAGAGGTGTTCAGCATGAGCTGTTCCAGACTTCCTGCGTCTATAAGGACGTGTGATTGGGTTACACTCACCCTGATGAGCCAAACCACTCTCCCTGTCTCACGCTCCTGATCCTAGTGCTATATAGAGCATCCTTCAGTCATTGGCAGTCGTGTCTTCACAGCTCCCAGGGGTCAGGGTGTGCACGTCTCTGTGTGTGTGTGTGTGTGTGTGTGTGTGTGTGTGTGTGTGTGTATGTGTGTGTAGTCTGATCTTTTGCCTACTACACATTCTCATTCAATCATTTTAAAGTTGGTTTCCGTTTTTTTTTTTTTTTTACACAAAATGTGGCTCCAGCCTTCTCTCCAGTCTTCCATTTATCTTTTTTCTAGTCTCTGCTCCAGCCAACTACTTTCAGAGTATTTCCTATGTGATATGCAACACCTATTCATTGATTCTGTTATGTCCTGGACATTGGGAATGCAGACAGGAGGATGATGAATTCCCTGCCTTTAGGTAGCTAATGGTGTCGTGGTAAGGAAAAGGCTACACAGGTTACTGTAGTGAGGTGTGGCAACATAGCCCTGCCCAGAGGACTGTGGAAACACGTGAAGTGGTGTCAGTATTTATGATCTGCTTCTCACTGGCTGTTTCCTGCGGTGCTAAAACTTCATACTTTTGTATCTCTTGAGGCACTTACCATATTTTGCCATGCATTTTATCTATTTATTTATTTTTAACTACAAAAGCTTTTATTTGTTCAAAGAACCCAGTGCTATAGATGCAAACCCAATAACTCTCCCAAATACTACTTTTAAAACCAACATATTAAACTTGATTTTTCACTACAATACTGTTTTTTTTTCACACTAACAAATCAAAACCAAGACACATATTATCCATGTTTTATATATATATAAATGATGTAAATTATTGAGCTTCCTCTTCTGGACAAGAATGCCACTGTTGTCGCTCTTCATAAAAAGCGATTGCAGTTCGAGGACATTTCCTGTTTGCCTCTTGCCCGCACCCAGTCAGCCACACCTGAATCTTCCCGTTTCGTGAGGAACCTCAGTTCCCCGCCGCTGTCTGTGGCACCAGTTATTTGTTCAGGGTCAAGATCTCCAGCAAAGCCTCTGGGTTTGTCAGCAGCAGCTCTTTTTTCTTTGATTTGCTATCATCAGATTCACTGTCAGACACAGATTTTCTTTTTGTATTGTTTTTTTCTTTACCAGCTTTTGGAGAATTAAGAAATGCTTCCATTAACTCTGGACAGTCTCAGTTTCCTTCGGGTTCCCGTGTGCTGTCAGCATCTGTTAATCCCTTCACTGCAGGAAAGATTCCACACGTCACTCCGGTACTTCTACTACAGATTCTTCAGGCTCTGCTTCCTCCACTTTTTTACTTTCCTCATTTTGTTTCTTTCCCGTTTTTTGCAGTTTTGTAGTTTTATTGGGCACCATTTTTTACTGCAGACTTGAAGGGCTGTTGTTCACTGCCCTGGAGGCTCGGTTGCAGTTGCGCAGTGTCTCAGCCTGCGCACCTGAAGCCCATCTTGCTGTGCACTTTATAGAAAAATATTTATCCCATAAACCGCATGGCCTATGGAGTCAGGCTCAGGTTTTTGTACCTTTCATTGTTGTATCCCTGTCATCCAGTAGTTCTGGCACATAGTAGGTTCTAACTGCAGTTTAATTTATTGAAATTGATTGGAATTTACACTTTTTTCCTATTGACTCTTTTTTTAAAGTTTATTTTAAAAAGGATAAACCAATAAAACCAATCAAAACAAACTGGTATAAGAGATACACGACTTCAGAACATTATGAAATCAACAGCAGTTACCATAATACCTTTTGATGTCTTCAAAATAGCTGCAGATAACTTCAGACATAGTCAAAATCAAGCAGAACACAATAGAATAGAAAAAATAAAAACAAAATAATGAGTGCAATAAAGAATTTCAAAACAAGATAGTGGTAAATCCAAAATGGCTACCATAATGTATCTTGCTATCCTTGAAATAGCTGTTTCTGCCATCTGATTTAACATAGTCAAACAAAACAAAAGAGAATAAAACCCAACCCACCAAAACAATGGAAACCCAACCCAACAAAACAATGGAAATGACATAGGACCTCAGAAAAAGACCATACAGAATCAACAATGGCTGCAACCCTCAGAAGGAGATCGCCCCCTAGATGTCACACTGCGTACTGATATCCTGTGAACCCATGATCAGACCACTGGCCCTAGACCTGCAATGTTAGTGAAACACAAAGCACTACAGGCATCCAATTGCATTTCACCATCATAGCTATCATCACAGCTGTGTTTCTCTGGATAAGCTGGTTGTTTATGGTGTATGTGTGTGTGAGGGGGGAGTGGTATTTCTGGTTTGCCAGCCCGTACCCTGGAAGGGGCTGTGGTCTGGCCATTCCCAGTCTGGCGGTGGCCCACACATGGTGACGGTTTCGACTGGCCTTGTTTGCTGGTGCGGCCATTCTCTGTCCCCAGTCTGCGAGTGGCCTGCCCTATCAACTCTTAGAGTGCTAGAGTTATACAGCACTGAGTTTGAGTCTTTTGCAGTACCAAACCAGTGACGTATGTATAATAAATAGGTCTTTAAAAAGTATTGAGGTGAATGGACTCTGCCAGCGCTATGGGTATGCATGTTCCTCTCTTCTTCAGCTTTCCTTTAACATGGAAATTGCTCGCTTTGACACATGTTGATTACTGGGCAATATCGACAAAGGAGACTGCTGAAAATTTAATAATTTGTTTTGGTTTCTGTTCTCTCTTTTTGCCAGACTTCTTATAACTTAGATGTCTATGTCCTCATTATGATAATTATAATGTAAGGTCTAAAAAAAACCCAGAAAAAAGTGCACTTCTTCCCTACCTCCTGTCCGCTTGCTTTTTCTGTTAGTAGAGCTAAGTGGGAATGAATGGCTGGTAAGAGGAAAGCCGGCGAGGAGGGCAGTGCAGGGACATGGCGGCTTGTGCCAGTTATTACGGGGAAAGATGCATTAGTGTTCCTAGATTGTGAGGAACGTACAGGGAGCCTGCTTGCCAGGCTAGGGACGTTTGGCTCTGGGTTATGTAAGTAATTATGTGCTCTCACATTGAGAGCCATGAGTTATTATTTCCTCTGTGCCGGGATGGGAGCCTTATTTCTTCATGAAGAGAATACACATTTTGAGCAACTGACAAAGCTGGAGATGGATAAAAGGAAACTACTGCTGAGGTTATAGCTTTCTCCTTTGAAGAAGATTCTCCTTCGTGAAGGCTTGAAGCGATGCTTGGGGTTGGTGTTACTTTCTCACTGCCTCTCATCATAGCCCACTTTTGAAGATCCAGAAAGGTTTAGAAGGGGTGGCCCCTACCCAACCGCTTCACGTAGACCGACCTAGTAGCTTCAGTTCATATCCATCTGCTTTGCTCCTGACTCTTTCCCTTTAACTGTTTCTCTGCACAGAAAACTTAGGCAATGGCGACTTTACGTACATGTCAGCAGTGTGCTGGCTCTTCGGGCGCTACCTCTATGACACTCTACAGTATCCCATTGGGCTGATCTCCTCCTGCTGGGGTGGGACACCCATTGAAGCCTGGTCATCGGAAAGGTCCCTGAAAGCCTGTGGAGTCCCTACAAAAGGGTAAGAGAGCCATCTGCAGTATGGGTGAAAGCCCAGCAGGGATGATGTAAGACAGGGTCACCCTGGTCTCCTCTGGGGAGTTAAGTATAGGTCCAGTGTCCAAGCATATATTGAATTTATAGGATTTACTCATGCCTGGGTAAGATGTTCTTTTCATTGTTACCACCGTTGCAATCATCTGAGAATAGTCGAGAAGGAATTACGATCCTCTCCCTTATAAAACGCAATCACAAATGCTTACTGAAAGTGTTCTGTATTCCAGACGCTATTCTAAATCCTTCATATGTATTAGCTTTTTAGTACTCGCAGCAACTTCTTGAAGTGAAGATACTATTCCAGGGATAAAGACACTTGTTTCCCAGAGCTTTAGTGAGTTGCTCAGAGACAGGGCTAGGAAGGGGCAAGGCTGGTGTTCTTGCTCCTAACCACTCTGTTCTCTTTCCCAAAGGATAAATAGTCTCTCAAGAAGAATAAATATATAAACATGTCCTCAAGAATATATGAATAAATTGCTTATGAAAGCCCAAGCCTACCTAGGAAAAGTTGGATCAGGAAGGTGTGTAGAGGAAGAAAGGGCCATCATGGTACCTCGGTTCATGAACTTAATTCCACAGTTCTGGAAAAGATGGCCATGTTCGTTTTTGTGCAGGAATGATGGCTCATAGGTCACGTTTGTCATCCAATGCAGTTTGCAAACAAAAGCAAAATTTTGCCAGCTGCTTCTGTCTGAAAGCCAAACTGTTCACAAACAAAAGTATTCGTGAACCCAGGTACCCCTGTAGTTAGTAGAAGTCCCTAATACTACCATGAAAGTTTTTTTTCCCTGACACTAACACCAACATAGAGATGAGCAGAATATGCCCTGCTGCCCTGGACATTGTCACAGTCACCCTGGGAGGAGGATGGACTCTGTTGTGGTATAGTTGGGACAGTTTGGGTAACGGCCTGTGAACTGTGACAAGGGACAGGAGAGGCAGGCTCTTGTAGGGCAGGGGGGAGCGTCAGACCTAGTGTACGGGGGTGGTGGGTGGTCTACAGCCAGGTGTCCCAGACCTATGCAGTTGCGGATAGGGAGAGACCAAGGACAAGGAGCAGTGGGTGTTCTCATGCCCAGCTGCTGAAGATAAATTCAAATATCCATTTCCATAGAGAAATGTGGGATCATGTCCAAAGCTTTTAAAAAAATGTAGTTTTTAACTCAGCAATTTTATTTCCTGGAATTTATCTTAAGGAAATAACTAAGGATGTATGCAGTGATTAGCTGTAATCATGGCATTCTTTATAAAAGCAAAGAGGTAGCTGGGAATTGTGGCACAGGTCTGTAATGTCAGTACTCTTGGAGGCTGAAGCAGGAGGACTGCAGATTTGAGCCCAGCCTGGGCAACTTAGCAAGATCCAGTCTCAAAATAAAAAATAAAAAGAGAACTGAGACTGTAGCTCAGTGTGAAGGCCTGAGTTTAGTCCCCAGTACAAAAAAAAAGAAAGAAAAGAAAAACTTTTAAGTCAATCTAAGAGTCCATCTCTTGAATAGTAACATAAATTTATTGCCCGTGTGAAAAACTCACAATAAATCAGTCCTCCCATTTTGAACTCACAGAAGGCTCAGGGTCACAGTTATCTCAGGAAGAACCTGGAGGTGAAATTCAGAGACTAATCACATTGAAATGGGGCAGATCCGTTTACTTCTGTGTTACTTTCATCAGAAGTCTGTCCAGTGAAAGCAGATAGATGCCCGGTGTAGGACTCATGATGTGATCACTCACTAGCTTTCTTTCCATTGACACTCTGTGTCTGTCTGATTGCAGGTCTCTTCTATCGGATTCTGTGAGTGGTCCCAGCCAGAACTCTATTCTCTGGAACGCTATGATCCATCCACTACAGAATATGACTTTGAAAGGGGTGTTATGGTACCAGGGTGAGTGTTCACTTTGCTCTCTCTCCACTGTTATCAGTTAGCTTCTGCTGCATAACAAGCCAGCCCCCAAATGAGTGCTTTAAAACAATGATAACTATATAATTTTAGCATTATTGGCTTATGGTGTAGTTCTTCTATTTGGGCTGCTTCAGCTAATTTCAGCGAGGAACTCTTCCGTGTCTCTGACCTGTCAGATTGTTGGTTGGAGGACATAGGGTGGCTTCTCCCTCTAATCCATTTGCTCCGTGGTCCTCAGGTGGTCTCTCTTCCTTTAGCAAGTTGCTTCACACTCATTTGTCACCAGAATAGTCTCGGGGCTCAGGTGTATCAAGAGAGAGCTAAGCCCAAAGCTGAGACCTTTTTTGGGGTTCTGTTTCTGTCATACGGGTGGGTGGCTCATTGGCCAGGTCACATCCCAGGCCAGTCCTAAGCAAAGGCAGGAAGACCACCCTTAAGGGCATGGACAGAGGGAGCTGGGGGCGATGCATGCTGTTTTCGAAGTCACCTCCAAGCTTATCTCACCGTCTTGACTGTTTAAGGGGAGTCCAATGTTAACTATAACAAGGACCTGTACAACTGCACCTTCCCTGCACTCATTGAGGACTGGCGCCAGACCTTCCACAGCGGTTCCCAGGGGCAGACAGAGCGAGTCTTTCCATTTGGATTCGTCCAGGTACGTGTCGAAAGGAGGGAGGTTTCTGGGCACTGGTGCGAGAGCTACTGTTTATTTTTCCTGGAATTCGTACTCTTGTTTCTGCCCTGCCAGGGTGCTTGTCTAGAACTGAATGTAAGATTTAATCCATGTGAGTTTCCCAGTGAGACGAATCTTCTTTTAAAAAAATTGATAAGAAATTAACATTTATTTTTATAAAAAAAGCACTCCAAGTTGACTGAGGGAACTATTAAAAAGGTAAGCAAAAATAAGAAAGAAAGCTAAAACCATCGTGGATTCTACAATCTAAGAATAAGTGGACCTTTCTGCTCATCTGTATTTATAATAGAACCCACACCATAATACTGTACCATATCTTTTGCTCTTAATGTTATACTGTGATTATTTTTTCATGTTGATAAATACTAATCTTTAGCATAACTTGTAGTCATTGTAAAGTATTCTGAAATATGGTTGTATTGTGAAATATTTAATAAGAGTTTGTATAGATGAGTACTCAGGGTATTTGATTTTATAAGTGCTGACACGTTTATTTTACTTGTAGTGAATTCTTTGTGGCCTAAATCCTTCCGTAAGATAAATGTCTAGAAATGAAATTGCAGGTTAAAAGATCTATCTTTGAAGACTTTATTCAGTGTTCTTATTTCAATGCAGAAATTTATGAGTTTGTGCAAAGTTATACTTTCAGCAGCTGTCTGTGAAAACATGCACCCCACACGTCTCCCTGATTGCTGCCTTCTGCCCCTGCAGGTCCCCTGCTTTCAAGGTCAGGCATTGTATTTGCCCCTGCCTGGCACAGTGTCTCCTGTCCGTTAGGTCTCAGCCTGGATATTAGGTAGGAAACTTCTGACTATTCAAAGCGTGGGTTAGATCCCACTGCCCCCCAAAATATATATATTTTAGCACATTGTAATCCTTTTTTACTGGCACGAAAGTTGAGCACATGCCTATATTTTCCTAGCTCACATTTATATTTCTAACTCTTGGTTGGCGCTCATTAAGGAAAGGCTTATCACACGAAATGACAGGTGTCTCAAGAGAAAATTCACTTTCACTTGGAGGTAACTAGTGAGAAAGATTCTGCTTGCAGCTGTGTATAAATGGAATAAACATACTTGGCCAAGTTCATAACTGTCTTGCCTCACCAGTCCATGTGACTATTTAAGACCTAAACTCTTTGGGTGGTACTTCTGGCTTTTATGGAGCACAGGAAATTAAACAGATACGATGTTATGAAAATCAAGTCCCAGCCACAGTGCAGCAGTTGCGCAGGCTGTCCTGTCTGAGTGGGGTACACAGAGCTCCAACATCGGCTTCCATGAATCCCAGAGGTGCTTTCTCCCCCACGTCCCCCCATCTCCACCCTGTTCTGTCTCACCATATATCTACCCCTTGTCTTGAGTAGACATTTTTAAGAGTTTCTTACCATTTAAGATACTTTTATATTATCTTTTCTAATATTTGTTTTGACTTCGAAATAAGATTATTTTGCTCATTGTTTTCAAAGTAGATTCTGCCACCAGTTCCATATCATTATATGTTTTTCTTCTGTTGGTGAATAGTGATTTAAATATGACTTTAGCTAATGCTACCCAAGAGTGTGCCCTGCATACAGATATGCTGTGAACTGTGGGGTGCTAGAGATACAGGCTGGTCCTTTCTCTTATGCTTAGCAGAAGTCCTTTGAGCTCTGAGCTTTAACTTGAGCTATGTGATTTTGAACAAGATGGCAAAAATTTTTGTTATTTTAAGTGTTAAACAACTCAATCCATATGAAGATTGGCACATGCTAGATAATGTTAGTGTTTATTCTTCTTGAGAGAAATCAGAATGTCTTAGAGGGACGTGTGGTCTATTAGGAAGGATGAATTGGCTTTGTAGAAATGTTGTTTGCAGTACTTAAAAATATAGGACCTGAGCTCTGTAGAGTGAGGCCAGACATGCAGCCAAGAGTTATTGGTAGAGTGGATCAGAAACAAGGGAGCGAGAAAGAACAGGCAGCTGGAGACTGGAGTCCCTGGGAGTGTGGTTTTTTAAAGAAGTTTGGGCGAATGGCTGCAGATTGCATGTTACTTGTAAAATTTTCTGACTGTGGCCAGTTTTATATTATTTGGCTGGTTATATGCCTTCGTGAGCCATCGTATTCTGCTAATCCCTGCGGACTGAACAGTGCCCTGCCATAACTTGGGTTTAGAATACACCAATTTCCTTTGTGGTGGGGTGTGTGGGTGCCCCCTTGTGGCTAGTGGGTGGTAGTGCATTCTGTGGAACAGAGTGGGCAAACTGGAAGCACTCTCCCCACACAAACTGCCATTTGGAGAAAAGGTCTTTATCTTAAGGGGTGCCGTCTTGCTGCTGACTCCAGGCTGGTACGCACCGGGGTTCCTGTGACTCTCACTGTGAAGCTCGTGATGGCATTGGCTGGTTAATGTCATTCCACTGTCAGTCTTTGGGTGTTGTGTGGAAACAGGGCGACTCAAATCTTTATTCCTGTTTTTTAGTTTTCATGAGGTTCTTTTGTGAAGCTTTAGTATTTTTTATAATTTCACGTTAAAAAAAATTTTTTTTGAGACAGGGTCTTGCAAAGTCCACAAGGGCCTTGAACTCACTCTGTAGCCCCAGCTGGTCTTTAGCTTGCCCTCATCCTCCTGCTTCAGCCTCCTGAGTCTTGGAGTCTAGCCATGCATCCCTGTGCTTGGTTTATCATTTGCTATGTTAAACTGATTTGCATAGAATTTTAGCAAGAGAATCAAGGTGTTCACTTAGTTCCATGTCATCGCCAGGGCTCCTCCTTGCTACTATTGAAGCTTTTTATTTTTTCCTGTTGGTTTTCTAGTCTTTCTGCAGCTGCTCAGGAAGCAAATAACATCCTCTGTTCAGAGTGTCATCTGGCCACATACACAATGTCAGGCATTTCCTGGGCGTGTGAGTAACAAGCCTGGGTGGAACGGTCTGCTGTGCAGCTCCTGTGATGGGAAGCGGAGTCATAAGACAGTGTGGGTGCTGCGAGGCTGCTCCCCACCTTGTGTGTAATATCAGAAGGCTCCAGTGGCCCTGTGAGACTGAGGCCAACAAGGCCAGGCTGTGCACGCTCTGCTCACATCACCCTGTGCTTCACCGCGTGATTCTGTGTACTGCACAGCTCCACCGGACATACTGCTGCTCCTGGCTGCCTTTTCCCTTCCTTTTGACCGGGAAGTTTATCCTCCACTGTGTTAATTTTCCATTATGTGACACATGTGACCACCAGTTTACTGTAGCAGCTTAAAACAATACAAAACACATTTATTATCCCACGGTTTCTATAGGTGAGGGGCTTGGTCATGCATAGCACAACTGGGCCCTCTGCTCAGGGCTTCAGGAAATGGTCAGACACAAGGTCTTATCCAAGGCTTGGCGTTCCCTGCCAAATTCATGTGGTTGTCACAGAACTCGTTTCCTCAAAGCTGTGGACCTCATTGTCACTTTCTTGAAGGCCAGCAGCAGAGTTTGACTCTTTTGAAGGGTTTCCCTGACTAGGTCAGGCTCTTCTGTATGGGTGATCTCAAAGTCACCTGATTCCCTTACTTACATGTGAAAAATCTCTTCACGTTTGCTATACAACGGAACGAAGCATGGGAGTAAAATTCGATTATCTTTGCCAGTCTGTTGGTTAGAAGAAAGTTACAGACATTCACCATACAGCACAGGGTATTGTGTCAGGAGATGGGGTCATCGTGGCTCACATTAGAATTCCGCCTGGCATACTCAGACATCATGATGACTCCTCTGTCACCCTGTCCTTATCTTTATCCAAACTTGCCTCTCACTCTTCTTTGAACTTTTATTTCAATATACTTACCACTTTCTTACTGATGTAGAATTGTTTGTTGGTGATCTTTCCTTACTGGAATATAGGGATGGGAAGGAATTCTTGTGTTTTGCTTACTGCCAATATTAGTGCCTGACGCTGCGTAGGTGCTCAGTAAACATTTCCTGAGGGCTCCATGATACTACACGAGCTTTAATTCTCCAGGAGCTCTTTCTGGAACAATATTAGTTCCCATTATTCTCCTTGGTAAGATTCCCTGTATGCCAAGCAGCTAATTCAGATGTTATAGATTCTAAGCAGTAGATTCAAGCCTTTCTTTTATTCCGCCATATCCAGATGGTCACCCAGTTCTGTTTGTCCTATTTCTGAATGAACATTTCCTCTAAGTTAGATATATTTTTTGATTTGAAAGAGTGTTAGTTCATTTTCCATTGCTGTAACAAATACCTGAGATAAACTTATAAGGAGAAAAGTTTTATTTGATCTTAAGGTTTTGGTCCCCATGTTGCTTGGTCCTGTTGCCATAGTACGTCATGGCGGGAGTGTGTGAGGCAGGAGGCCTGTTCGTGGCGGATGGGAAGCAACGAGGGAGACAGGCAGGGGCTGAGGTACTGTTAGCTACTTCAGTAAATCCAGTGACTCAGCTTCTTTCTGCCAGGCCCCATTTCCTGAGGGTCCAGCCTTCCCCGCAGCATCACAGGCTGCGACCGAATCCTTAGTACATGGATCTTTGGGGACTGCAGCATCTAAAGTAGAGCAAATGTAGGAGCTTCTTGATTAATCTGTCTCTCTCATATACTCACCGCATCACTTTTGTAAAACAGTCCTTTATCATATCAGTGATTTCAGCGACTAATCTGAAATTCAACCTAAGATTAATCCTTTTCAAGAGGGAACATTTTAGTACATTCCCCATGTTGAGCAGGCGTCACCACCTACTGCTGCAGGATGAAGCAGCACTTCCGGCCACACCTTGGCCGAGCTGTCTTTGCGGCCCTGTCTGTCATGAATACCCTCATCCAGCTCGGCCCTGCCTTCTTCCTTCCTCTGCCCCTTACTAGGTTCTAAATCGTAAAGTCTGAGCAGGGCTAGTTGTAGTGGCTTCTCATATTTTCTTTGCCCATCTAAAATATTTTTCAAACAGATTCTGAGGCCCTATTTTCCTATAGTTACAATTTTTGTCTGTTCAAGGTATATACTTGAATTGCTCAGCCACTATTTTAGCATTTAACTTATACTATATTATACCATTGTGCATTAACTTTTTTTTTAACTTTAAAAATTTTTTGGTACTTGGGCTCAAACTTACAACTGTGTGCTTGCAGGGCAGGTGCTTATGCTACTAAGCTAAATCCCTGGCCCTGTGTATTAACATTTCTTACATTTTTTGTTTTTTCTGTTCAAGTCTGTATCCTTTAGAAAACCTGTAAAGTACTTGTACCAGCTAGCTATTGCTTTGTACAAATCATCTCCAAACTCCATGGCTTAGTATAATCTTTATTATTATAGCTCACATATCTGGGGAGCTGGTGTTGGTTGACCTTGCTTGAGCTCTTTGGGCTCTTTCAGCTCCTGGGCCTCACCGGGGGCCTCTGCTTTAGTTGGGGGTGGCTGCAGCGTTTACAGGGACAGCTGTGTTCCACAGCTCTCTCCTTTCTCCAGAGAGCAATAGGCCGGCCAGCCATGTGCCTCTCCTGGTGATGAGAGATCAGGAGCAGGGGAGGGCAGGGCTGCAGCTCAGAAACACAGCACTGCCTGGCAAGTGCAAAGTGTGAATTCTTCCCTGTACAAAAAAAAAAAAAAAAAGCCAGTGGAGGCAGGCAAATCTCTTGAAGCCTAGGCTAGGAACTGACACATTGTACCTTCTGAGGCATCTGCTGGTGGAAGCTACTGCTTGGCCGAGCTCAGAATCAAGGGCGAGGGAGTACAGACGTTTTTCTAGAGGAAGGAGAGGTAAGTGCACATGACAAGGTGTAGAGGAAGGAGCAAAGAAATAGGTTCTTTGGTACACAAGGGCGTTTTTTTCTCTTTCCTTGGATCGCCCAGCCCTGTGTGAATACAGACATATCAGTTACCTATTACTTTGTAACAAGCTACCCCTAACTTTAAAAAAAAAAATCTAAGAGCTTAAAATGTCACCCATCTTATTCACCTCACCCCATGGGCTGGGCAGGCGGCTCGGCTGGGATGACTCCTTTGCCTTACCTGATATCTGCGGGGCTGACTCACGTAGAATTCACACGATCGGCCCTGTCTGCTGAACTGCTAGAGTGCTGGAGCCTCCTTTTTATGATCTTTCAGTTTCAAAGGTCACCCTCTCTCTTCAGTATATCAGATGAGCTGTCCCTCTGTGGCCAGCACAGGGTCTCAAGAGAATGAACCCCAGGCGTCTTAGAGGCAGACTCAGGAGCTGTGTGCCAGTACTTCTGCATTCTGTTGGTGAGAACAAAACACAGGGCTGGCCCAGATTCAGTGAGGGGAGAAATGTGTCAGACTCTTGATGAGAAGTGTGACAAGGTGCTTTGCAGAAAGGCCCCTGAGATACGAGGGAATGGTTGCATCTGTTTCTGGATAGACAATGCTATGACAGAAGCTACTGAACACTTTTAGAATGAGTGAAGGAGAAGCAGAATCTAGTACAGGACTCTGAAGCAAGAAAAGTAATGATATCTGTACTTTCTAGTTATCTTCGTATTTGTCTACGGCGGATGACCCACCTGTTGGAGTTCCTCAGATCCGCTGGCATCAAACGGCAGATTTGGGCTTTGTCCCCAACCGAAGGATGCCCAACACTTTCATGGCCGTGGCTCTGGATCTGTGTGACAGGACCTCGCCTTTTGGCAGGTATGGGCTTTGCCTGACCAGGGTGTGGTATTTGCCGATAGTCCTCTACTCTGATGTTCACTGATGCGGGGGTGGATTCCAGGGAGCGAGGACTTTTTAGAGCTTAGGTGCACTATGTACCAGTCATCTGTGCTGGGATGCTACAGTAACAACAGAAACAACAACCACCACCTCTCAACGCTGCGGTGCTTTGGTGCAAGAAACTTTATTTCATTCTCACACTCTGACCAAAGAAAGTCAACAGAAACTGGCTGAAGTCATGCACAAAGCAAAGCAATGGAGACTCCAAGTTGATCTGTTCTTCCACTGTCACCTTTTAGTTTCATATTGGCAAGCAAGTGCTTCCATGTGGAAGCAATTTGAGTCCGTACTGCATCAGCAGAACCTGGTACAGAGCCGTGGTCAGCTTCAGTGACGGCAGGTCGTGGAGTTCTAGCATGGCCCAGAGGAGAGAGGAATCTCTGGGACCAGCTCCAGTGGATACTGGACACTAGCTGCAGGGTACAGGGGGATTTCAGCTATGAAATGGAGCCCCCAACACAAAGTCTGGCCTGTGGTAGGAACTCGATTGATGTTTATTTAATGAACAAATGAAAGCTGGAGGGGACTAATTTAGATGAAACACGGCTTTTAGTGGTCTGAATATATCACCTGTCCTGAGTTAGCTCCAGAGGCTTTGCTCTCGACCTCTCTTTGTTTATTCCTTCCTTCAAAGCCATTGATTACATCAGTGTTTCCAAACTCATAAAGGTCCAGAGGTCCACCTGTGTTTACCATGCACCATTTCTCTTGAGGCGACTTCAGTGAGTGAGCAGGGAATTCAAGCACCTTTCCTCTTACACTCTTAAAGGGTGCTTTGTGTAATCTTTTTAAAAAATATGCTTATTGTTAAGCTCAAACTGATTCTCTACTTGTTCTTCATCCTGTAGCATCCATCCCAGGGACAAACAGACTGTGGCTTATCGGCTGCACCTGGGGGCCCGGGCAGTGGCTTACGGTGAGAAAAACTTGACCTTTCAAGGACCACTGCCTGAGAAGATAGAACTTCTGTCCACAGACGGGCTGCTCAACCTTACGTATCACCAGAGCATCCAGGTGCTGAGGCAGGATCTGCAGATATTTGAGGTGAGCACAGCAGGAAGTGGAGGACGTCCCACCTGTGCTAAGAGTCAAGGTGTCCTTCTGCTGGGATGTTGTTATTTCTCATTACACTGTGATGATGCCTCATACTGTGATGCTCATGAGGCAGATGTAGTTGGCTGGGGGTGGAGTTGAATTATCTTAGAGGGATAAGGAAACAGCTGTTAATGTATTAGCTTAGAGGCAGTTTTGATAGGCAGGATAGATAAGGGAAGGAAAATAAGCCTCTAAGAAATGATACTCCTGTTGTAGTGTCCCTCCCAGAGTAACCATCTTTACTGAGGGAAGGGCCTGCAGCCTTCTTTATAAGTTACCTATGGAAAGAGCATTCCTCCAGAATTTCCCCTCATCCGTGGGTGACATTTTTTTTTTTCTTGTTACACTGTCCTAAATTCTGAGACTTTTGGAATTTAGTGTCTCCTTTGAAAAGCTTAAGCTTGGTGCTTTATAACTTAGTATCAGTTAATATAATGCACCTGCTTCCTTCTAATACCTAGAAGGGATCATTATTTAGAGATCTTCCATAGCGTTGAGGTGGGTGGTGGAGGTATTCCTGGATGGAAGGTTTAAATGAATGATTTGGGATTCTTAAGACCATTAGGCTGGGAGGAGGTATGGGAAAAACAGCATGAGAGATGAGAGAATATTAACACAAACTTCAGCTAGGAGTTTATCTAGGGTTGGCTGCTGCTTTGGGGTCCTGAGTATAGAGTGTCTACCAGCCTCCAATGCCTGGTCAGTGCTTGTCCTACTTCTTCCCAGACTCGTTTTTAGGTGAATTGAGATTCCCATAAGGCTGTGCATTCTGAGTCCCTTCAGTTGCTGGCAGTTTGCCTGTTACCTAGTGCGAGTCAGCTGGGTTCAGGAGAGAGTGTAACCTTTGGTCCTGGAAATCTGTGTCCCCTTTTCTGAACTGCCTTCTGACTCGTGAGGTGTGGTATCCACAGCTCTTTTGGGAGCACCAGGGAGCAGTGGCAGCAGCCGGTGGCTGGGCTCACTTCCGTTCCTGCCTGCTTTGCCCTCTGGTGGAAGGACCACTGAAGCCTGTCCAGGGGAGCCTCCCTAGTGCTTTATATATGACTGTGCTGCTTTGTCTCCCTGAGTTAATGTTTTGTTTATTAATGTAACTCATTGAATCACATGAACATTTATTTTGGTGTTGGAGTGTGAAGCCAGAGCCTTGTGCATTGTGAGCATGACCTATCCAGCCCACATGAATATGTGTTACCGATTTGTGCCCTTCGCAATCAGACCCAACTTATTCTAGATACTGTAGGAGATGGGTCTTTGGCCAGGAGTGGGTCCTTTCCTCCTTTCTAGTCTGTCTGACAGTGCAGTTCTCGGTTTCTTGGAATACCCTGACTTGACCGCTTGTATTCTGACTCTCTTATTAGATCTCATGTTGCAGTGACCGCCAATGCAAGTGGCTTCCAGCTCCAATGAACACTTTCACCTCCCAGACCCTGACCTTGAGTATCCGCTCTTGTCGTGGCACTGTGGCTGCTGTTCGCTACGCCTGGACCCCATGGCCTTGTGAATACAAGCAGTGTCCCCTCTACCACCCCAGCAGTGCCCTGCCAGCTCCTCCCTTTCTTGCTTTCATTACGGACCAGGCTTCCAGACATTAAAGCTGCTGTGTGGTCAGATCTGGGTCCACGGGAGGCACATTTTGCCCCTGAGGAGTTTAAAATGATGACAGCTATTGCTTTTAAGGGAAATTTATAGAAAGCCTCGCCGCACAGCTCCCAGCCAGCACGCGGCTGTGTATGCTGAGATAAGGTGGGGCTGGGAGACGATTTGAAATACCTGCCTTTGTCCCCTCATTAGTGTAAGCCACGAAACTGGGCTAATTCTGAGCTCTAAGCAAACTGGACCCAACATCATACACTGCCCTCATATAATGGGAATGAGATGTCTAACACTTGTGCTGCTTTTCCTCTGGAACTGTGGAATCTCAGTCAGAAGAGGTTTTAAAGACCAGAGAAACTGACTAGTGTTTCCTGTGTCCTTTGCAAGTTTTTTCACAAGTGATTATTGACTCTCTGGAACAAGTTTCCAAAGGTTTTTCTTCATGTGGAAATCTGAAAATCTGAAATCTTTCATGAAATTTTATTACATGTGCCTTTCAGCTAATTGAAGAAAGACCTATTTGTATTAAGTCCCAAACAATTATATTCCTTCAGTCTAAATAATGACTGTTTAAAACAAACCAACCAGGCTCATGCGGGCATATTGGGAGGGGCCGGGGGTCTGCCTTACGGAATGAAGAGGAAGGGCGGGGTGGGGGTGGCAGCATTGAGGGATGGGCGTGGCGATGGCTCACAGGTTTAAGAAAATATGACAGAAGTAGCTAAGGAAAACTGTCATTAGTGTTATTAAGTTTCAGGCTCTTTACAGCCAAAGACAAAGATAATCCACATTGAAGAAAAAAGGCTGAAAGTAAAGCAGCACAATAAGCTTATAAAGTAGTGCAGATGAGACAAATGTGGAAGGAGCTTTTGTCTTTACTAATTAAGAATCATAATGCAGCTTAGTAGTTGCCTAAAAACAGCTGATGACCCTTGAAAACAGTATTAGAAGCTGGAAATAAAAGCATTATGATTTATGATGTTTACATATTTATGTCATCAAAGCTCTGTCAGGGCTTTACAGTGTATGGAGGGAGCACGGGGAATGAGGATGCTCCCCATTCGTGGCTTTTATCCCTTGAATGTGAAGAATGAGAGCTAGCAATAAGCATCACTCTCAGGGGTTCTGGTGCAGTGCCAAACAGCAGAATAGCTTTGTTTTTATTTAGTAAAAAAATCAGGAAACAAACTTTGTGCCCTGCCAGGAACTTTGGCTCCTTCAGGAACTGTCTAGTGTACAGTTAACCCGAATGAGTACACTTCTACCTCTTTATGAATCTGGCCTCACGGGAATCGTGAACCTAGTGCAGTTTCCTGAGCAAAAGTAAGTACCTGTCCACCCCTCTCCCAGCCCTTCTACACATACACCCAGGGGCTGTTCTAATTTGGAGGCAGCTACAAGTAGCCAAGCCCAAGTTCCTGTATCACTTATTTCTAGATGCTCCCCCAAAGGCTTAGGCATTCACAGGTGGGGCTTTTGGGGGAGGGGTGACCAGATATGCGGGTGTGATATTCATCAGATTACTCTACTAATGAGTTTAGAGCTAAATGTGATATTGGGAGGTGAAGCCTGATCTGGGTGTCTCACCGGGGTGTGGCCTGGAAGGGTTCCTGCCTGCCATGCTATGAGCTGCTTCCCCTCTGCGATGTTGCCCTGTGCTGGAGCCAGCTGATTATGGGCTGAAACCTCTCAAACTGTAAGCCAAATAAACCTTTCCTCCTTTAAAATAGGTGTTGAGTATTTTATTCCAGCATCAAACAAAGTAACAAAGACAACCAGCCAGTAAACTAGTACACAGTGTAATACATTTAGTTTAGGTAATAGATATATTTATCTACACACATCAAGTTATGTGTGAATTTATTTTCAGTGACTGATTTAAAATACAGTGGAAATTCAGTATATTTCCCCAAATGGAAATGAATTTCTGCTGCTTAAAAATGACACCATAGAAAATGGACTCTAATGAAAAGTCTAAATCATCAGAGAAACTATTCTGGTCAACACTCACTTGATTTGGGTTATACAGTAGTATATACTAGATAGTACATTATTTTGTAATCTGTTTGTTGACATTCTACCAAAATAATCCTCTTTTTTTTTTGAGACAGGGTTTTGCTGTGTAGCCCAGTCTAGCCTCAAACTCACAGCAATCCCTTTTACCTCAGACTCCCAAATGCTGGGATTACAGCTGTGCACCACCATGCCTGGCTCAAAATAATTTTCTTATGTAAATAGATTTATAGAGTGTTTCAGTTTGTGGAAGCCCCATTTTGTATTCAGCTAATTTACTATTAATGGACATACTGGTTTTTTTTTTAACCAAATTTAAACTAATATTAAGATGAGTTTTACACACAACATATTTCACTTACTCAGTTATTTCTTAGGGTCATTAACATGGACTAACAGGTTAAAAATCAACATATATTTATTTAGTTTGGTACCGGGGATTGAACTTATGCTTATGCCACTGAGCTAAATCCCTGATCCATCAACCTGTATTTAAAATGTTGACCTCTCCAGTTTAATTCTAACAAAGTAGTAAAAGAATTTACATTTCTATTATTTCTCCATCTTGCTACTTTTAGCACATCTTTCATAATTTGATTCATGAGAAGATTCTAAGAATTGGACAGTGTTTTTCAAGTTTTTAAGAATTCATGATCCATAGTAACATTTGGTATTATTTCACACAGACACACACACACACACACACACAAAAGTGAAAACAAAGTTTCAATTTTTCTCCATGTGATGTATTCCAGTACATTGTAATTGTTGTATTTCAGAGATGTAGGTGTTGACTCTCTAAGCATAGGAACCAATAGGCTGAGATCTGTGGCTTGTAAACACTGCATCTTCTGGCCGCCCCCCTGCTGTGAAAGGCTAATTCCATCTGTGGTGTTTGCAGTTGGCAGTCATGAATTATAAAACAGGGCAGTTCATTGATTTTTTTTTTTTGTCTTTTTGAGACAAGATTTCACTGTGCTGTTCAGGCAGGCCTTGACCTCACTTTGTAGCCCAGGCTGGCCTGGAGCTCACGAGTCCTCTTGCCTCAGCCTTCCAAGTGCTTGGATTACAGGTGTGTGCACCACACCTGGCTGAACAGTTCATTCTTACCCATTCCTTCCTTATTCTACTCTGGTCCTTTGGTCCAACCCTTGCCCACCCTGCAGGCAGCCCTGGGCACCTGGCCGATAGAAACCAAGGCATCTCACAAGGTAATGTGGATTGTGGTGTAGGGATTGGCTGAAGTAGGATCACTCCACTCTAATGCTGTTGGCAGGTCCATGGATTTAATTGTGTAGGATGTGGAGTTGTTATATAGCTAAAATGAAGTGACGGGTAAGTCTGTTGTGGAAGATTGGAACTAATCCCCAGTTATGTTGTATTTGAGCTTATATTAATATGTGATTTCAACACACTGAGCTAAAAGCACATTCTCCAAAAAAGAGCTAAGGACATCTGATCCCCTTCAAGGAGGTGCAAAATCTAAAACAAGATTCACAGTATACCTTTCACTGGACTTTCCAGCTTGGGTATAAGCAAAGGATTTTTTTTTTCCTTTTGTGATGACGCTGAGATAAAAACAAAACAGGAATCTAGGTTGCCAGGGCTAGGTTGATATTCTTTGGACTAGGATCAGAATAAAAAGTGGACGGTTGTTAGAATCTGTCTCCCTTAAAAATTAGCAGCTGCCATGGCCTCAAAAGTTTGTGTTAAATAGTAAGCTCCAACCATGGCATTAGGAGCTAGGGTCTGAGGGAGGTGAGTAACCATACAAGCTCTGATGGCATGAGTGCCCTGATAGAAGGGACTCCAGAGAGCTATTTTGCTGCTTCTACCCTGTGAGGTTATAGCAAGACAACTATGTATAAACCAAGGAAATGGGCCTCCCCAGATACTGACTCTGCTGGCACTTCCATTAGACGTGCCAGCTTCTATAACTGTGAGAAAGATTTATTTTTTATTTAAGTAATGCGAATCAGACCCAGGGGATTGTGCATGCTAAGCTGCACTAGTATTATGCTCACTAAGTTGTCTAGGTTGCCTTGAATTTGTATTTTCCTGCCTCAGCCTGCTAGGCAGCTGGGATAATGGGTGTGTATCCCCATATCCAAAAAGAAATCAGTCTGTTGTTTGTAAGACAATCAATCTACGGTCTTTTCTTATAGCAGTCCGAAAAGACTCATACAGCAGCTCTTGTACTTAGGCAGAGTGAAGCAAACAATATATCCTGATTACGAGAAGATAAAAATAAGCAGAACTGTCAAGATAAATTTATTACTAAAAATAAAGCAAGTGAAGTTTTTCTCAGGGTATGCTGTCGCTACGGGAACCTCTGTGATGAAATATATTATCTTCTTTCTGTCCAAACTGCTGCCTTCTTCCGTATATTCCAAGTTAAAAACATTCCACATGATGAAGACGCAGAGGCTGAGCCCTCCTCCTGCTTAGTCTGAAGACTGGACTGGGCTACAGTGTGGTGGAGACTCGAGGTGCTGTAGATGTGTCTCTACCAAGGGTTCCTGGGTAAGGAACTCAGGCTCGTAAGAAGCCACAAAGGCTGCAGGCTGCAGCTCAGGGAGGTCCAAGGATCCTGGAGAAAACAATTCCTTAAGTTCCAGTGCTGCCCATGAACCTCAGCAGTGTTTTGTCAAGATACACACATGGGACCCTGTAATTCTTTAACAACCTTGCATCTGTCAGCCCAGTGTTGCCCTTGGTTGGTAAATTAGGACATTCACCTTTGCAATGAAGAAAACTGAAATAGATGAAGTATTTGCCTGTGGTCCCAGAGCACACTTCACCTCACAGGCCTCCAGTGCTGGCTCCGGATTGCTCTACCCAGCTGTGGAAAGCAGCCTGTGTCAATGCCACGCCCTGAGACTTTGAGCTTCCCTTGAAACGCTGTTCCTGACAGAATCCATGCACCCCTCCCTCCAGTGCTGAGCTTTTTTCTGGATCAGGGAAGGTTTCCGCCACTTACTGCCCAGCTATTTGGAGTACCCAGCAATGTGTGAAGGAGGCACAGTATTTTCAAAGCAGTGGGGTAAAGTTAAAAGATACCTGGTAGGATGGGATCATGCTGCTCTTCATCGAAGGTCGGTCTCTGAAAAGCTGCAAAGCTGACAGCTGCATCATTCTCTGGTTGCCCCTGAGATAGCTGCTCCTCTTCAGGGTTGCAAACATCAAATTTCACCCAATGGTAACTGCAAGATCAAAAGAAAACATTCTGGAGGTTGTCTGCTAGCCTGTAATAAAGCATCCCTACCTCCAAAGGGATCAGGTTTTTCTTAGTCGTCTTCCATATACATCTAGAAAACATATTAGTTAAGGAAAAAAAAAAAAAAAAAAGAAAATAGGCATGCCTTTTCCATGACACATTATCCTGCTGATCTGTCAACTCTTTTGCTGTTACAGCACACAAACAAGATAATACAAGTGAAGCATCCATACTCCGAAAATCCAAAATTCAAAATGCTCCAAAATCTGACTATTTTCACCTAAAGCCACAAGTGGAAAATGACATACTTCATAAGACAGGTCACAGTCCCAATGCAGGTGCACTGCAGTACTGTGTAAAATTACCTTCAAGTTATGTGTATAATAAAGGTGTGTTTATACTTGGGTCTCCTCCCCAAGATACCTCATTTACACAAATATTCAAAACCTGAAATACTTCGGGTCCCAGGCATTTTGGTAAAGGGTACCCAACCTATACTAACTGCAGCACAGTGGGGTCCTGGCTCCTGCTCATCCATCTAGAGTTATATTAAGATATATTTGTTGAGAAACCAACATGCCTTCAAAATAGCTGTTCAATAAATGTATGAATGAAAGCAGTGACTGTCAGTTTAGGACTCTGGTTGGCTGATCACTGGACCTCTTTCAATGGAATGGGTTTGACTGTACTTACTTGACACACTTTTGAGCTCCTGGACAACTCTGTATCAGGTTGAGGATGGTTGGATGAGAAAACCCAAAAAAGTCAGCTCCTGATGGAAGCAGGTCAGGCATCAGTTTCCCCCTAGGGAGGCGAGGGAGCGTATGAGCTGAGAGCTTAGAGGGAGATGAAGATGAGTTTAAGAGTGGAATGGAGGTCTGAATACACAGGCTAAGCTTTCTTGACTTAGACACTCTGGAGACTCTAGCTGCTAAGGTGTCTAAAAGATTCAGGATGGGTCTCTGTAGCCAAGGATCTCTACTCACTAACAATGAGCGGAAAGGCCCACGTCAATCTTTCAGCCTGCTGTAAGCTGCTGGTCACTTACACACTGGCACTGATGATCCTGAGCAGTTCTTCATGACAGCCGTCTGCAGAAGAGCTGACGATAGCATTCTGGGGGTCGTCTTCAGGGACAATTTCAAACTAAGCACAAAAGAACAATGAGATCCGTTTGCCAGGAGGAAGAAGCAGAGTCACATAACTCCTAAAACGTTTCTTCACTCTAAGATGATCCTGAAGCTGCTATATACACTAGAATCTGGGCACAATTCCTTGTCAAATCCAAACAAGTAAACAGAGAAAGGCCTCTATTTCTGTTTTACACCTTTAGGGTAACTGTTCTGTTCCATACCCTTTCTTATCCATTTACCTGTATCATCAAGTTCAGATACAAATCCTACTATGAAAATAAATGGGAGCACCCTCCATGTCTAATGGGATTTTTGTTCCCATTTGCACGTTTCTCTTAAGAAATACAAAATTACCTTGAAGTACAGCATTCTGGGTCAAAGGATATATTTCTTAAAATTGTTGAAATTACCAAATTGCTCAAGCAATGTTCATGCTAACATGTACTTGTTTTCCTATACCTTGCTCAAGATATCATCAAGCTGATACTTGCCTATGGGAAAAATTAAGGTCTAATTTTTGTTTTATCTTACTCTCTAGGCACACTTATCTGAATATTAATTCCTTGCCATATATTTTCTTCCTATTGGGTGTTACCTCTGATTGTAATGTTGTCATTCAGAAGTGTTTAAATTTTTAGTAGTCAAATCTGTCATTTTCCTTTATGGGTTCAGAGTTTCATGTATTGCTAAAGCAAACCTTTTCATCTTACCTTAAGATTTTAAAAAGTTCTACATTTTCTTTTAATATTTATAGCGTTAAAACATTTTATAAAAAAGTGATTCACATTGACACTCAGACAAATCAATGAAATAGAATCATCTGAGGACAGATCCAAACATTACATGTTTAATTTATATATTAAAGTCAGCTGATGTTAGGAAAAAATTAAAGCTAAATGCCTAGTTCAGAAAATACCTACAAATATTGTTTAGTTAGGTTAATTATCTAAACATAAAACCTGAAAACCTTACAGATTCTTTTTCAAAAATGTTTTACGATTTTGTCTTTCAGAGGAAATTAAGAATCGGCTTATCCATTTTCATTAAAATTCAATTGGGATTTTAATTAGATTTGCACTGCATTTACGGATTGGTCATGAATGTGACAAAGACGCTTACCAATAGCCTTTCTGTCTGAGTGCTCTCCCAAGAGAACTGCTGCCAGCCCCAGTCACGGGTGCTCAGCTCTGCCTAAAGTGCTGTCACTGACATGGGAGGGCAGTGCCGCCCAGGTGTGCCAGGCAGGCTCAGTGTTCTCTGTACAATGGTTCCTTACTGGGCATTTACCGATTCCCACCTAATCTGTAACTTCATTAGTGAAGTCAGGAACACAGAAAATTTCTAATTTTTCCTAAGGATCAAGAGGTCGGTGGGAAATGAAATGTGTAGTGTTTTACACTGAGAAAGATGAAGAAAGGATTTGGGACTCCCAGGTCCTTAAGCGTATGCACAGCCTCTTCTGAGTATGTAGTCTCTCTCCTACCTCTGCTCTGGTCCAACCTGAAGTGGCGGTGCATCAAACTAATCTTCCCTGAGCCTGTACTTAATCTAGCCTCAGGCAGACAGAATGTGGACAGGAGAAGCAGCACAGTTCTGAGAATTAGACAAATGTGGATTTGGATCTCAGGGGAAGGAAGGTGTTACTTGGGCTAGCTGCCTTTTCTGCATCCGGGATTCCCAAATGGTAACTACCAGTGCATCAGAACAGGTGACACATAGTAAGTGACTGGTGGCTAGAACAGATAAAGTTCTCAAAAAAAAAAAAAAAAAAAAAAAGGAGTTATGTTCCAGTGGGTACCTGAGGCTGCACACCTCCATCCTTGATCCGGCAGTTGTACAGACACATCTGGTCTGGGTACTTCATGCTGGCATACACTCGAGTACTGCTGTAGCCCACAGGGTAGATGGCATGCTCATCATGGAAGCCAGGTCGGTCGGTGATGATCTATAAGAAAAGATCCCCAGCCTGAGACTGAGGGACTGAAGGCTTTACAAGCCCAGTTTACTGTGGTAGCCTTTAGAACCACTGTGGGGCTGCAAAGAGTGAAAGCACCAAGAAGTGTCTGCTATGCAGCAGACAAAACTGACCTGGCTTCGTGGGGACTGGACTCTTTCTGGGCTTGGCATGGATCGGCAGGGGCTGTTGCTAGTAGGAACAGGGAGGGAAGGCTCAACCCCATTACCATGCTTCTCTGCCTCTCCTCTCTGCAGTCGCTGGTCTCACTCACCTCCCCCAGGCTATACACTGTTAGACCCCCTAGTCCGATGGGAAACACAGGCCGTCCAGAGGGATCCAGGGCAATGGGCTGGACCAGCTTGCGAGCACCTCCCTCCAGTTTCTTTTTCTTGGATGTTTTCTTCAGAACTGAAACGCAAATCTGGGGTCACCCACTTTAGCCCCCTCTCAATGCTGAGGGGAAGGGAAAGATTTACATGTGAATGCTAAGTGCAGTAAGCCAATCATGGTTTCATACACAGATGGTCTTCAATTTACAGGGTTGCTAGGGATTGATAAACCCATCCTAGCTGAAAATCCTATACACTGAAAATGCAACAATGTACCAAACATCATAGCTGGCAACAGTGTTTCCCTTTGTGGTCCTGTGGCTGAGTGGGAACTTGGCTCACTCTAGCAGTGTGACAAAGTATCACTCTGCAGATCAATATTCCAGGAAAAGATCAACACTCTAAAATAGTTTCTGGTGAATGCCTATCACCTTCACCCTATTGTGAAGATAAAAAATCATTAAGTGGAACCATTGTAAGTTGGGGACCATCTGTATTCACTTAAAAGGCATATGGGCTTCTCCCAGAAGCCCTGAATATCTCTGTAACCTGCCTACAGGCAGTAACTAATTCCAGTGTTAGCAGTGGGAGCTAAAAATCTGACATTTTTAAATCCTCTGTACTTGTATGATCAACTTCCCAAGCTAGTAGTGTGCTCAAGAGGTCACCTAGCCCATTTCCCTGCCTCTAGAAAACACTGATGTGACTACCACCCAGACATACTGGCGGAAGAGGGAGAGAGGAAGCCTCAGCCTGCTCTCTTTGCAGTTAACCAGATCTGACTAAACTCTGTCCACCCAAAGGGACTCTCATAAGACATCAGCCTGAGGATTATGAGATGGAAATGTGCATGAGGCCACAAGTGGCTAACAGTATTACATCTCAGTCATTGTAGTTGAGTCACTGGGACACTGATATACTGTCTCCCCAAAGTACCTTCCAGTTTGTTGTTCTCTTTGCCTTTTTCCTTTTTCTCCTTTTTGGATTTCTTCCCAAATGGCTCCTCAGCCCCAGTGCTGGGCCCAGACATGGGCCCGGCTCCCTGTACAGTTCCCACAGAGCTGGCCACACCATAAGTCAGGGGCAAAGTGGAGCTGTGGGAAGGAGCTGCAGCCTGCACGTCCCCTTCAGTTAGAGCCTGAAGTTGGAGGAGCTTCTTTAGCAAGTACCTGGGTTCAGGAAGGAAAGGCAGCACGAGTATGAAATTCTGTTCTGTTGCAATTCAGTATTCTCAAGTACTGAGAAAAGCCAAAGATTATCGTACTCATAAGAATAAGAGCTCCTGTTGAATCTTGGGAAAATGAAGAAGTTAATCAATACTGAAGTTCAAGAAGCCTCTCTTGAATCTAGAAGGGTCCTCTAGGTCATGAGGTGTTAGGCACTGAGAGGCATATATTATGAATTAGATGTTTATGATCCCACTGTGCTTTGCATTGAGTAGTGCAGACTAAATACTCACAACATGAGTATTTCTTTTATCCTTGGCCTTTTAGTAAGATTATTTATTAGATGTCATAAGAAGGCTTTGTCAGACAGATGAGAAGCGCAGCTGTCTCATCATCCTGGTCCAACATGAATTGGATACATGTGAATTTATCCCAAAGGTTGTGAGTTTCATTTTACTTGAACCCAAAATGAAGCCAGCTCACCTTCTTTCTTCTTTTGCTTTAAGGAATTTTTCCTCAAGACGAGCAATTTCATCACAAATAGCAGCATTTTCCTTTAAGAACAATTTGCAACACAATCACACAAAATGAATAGAAGATCAAGGTACTGAATTGGGAGGACCCATATTTGAAACCAAGAAAGTCTATGTCACTGGAGAAGAAGAAGGGCTATGCTACCTTGCAGACAAACCATAAATAGATCTACACGAAAGGCAATCATTCTATTACAGGCAAGTTAACTGTACTTTATGATCTAATCTGTGACACCTGTTAGTGAAGAGGGCACTATCATGGCTTATGCCAGAACATTCTAGTAAGATAGGCCTGTCCTGGATGAATACAGGTACCCTGATTAGGGTGGCCTTTGATAGAGAAAAAAACACACTACCTAAATTCATACTAGTGTCTAACTATGAGGGTTGTTCAAGTGTAAGTGCCTTGAGTTTTGAGAAACAAAAAAGCTAACCCAAAGCAACTCATATAATAGTATTTTAGGGAGAAAACCTAGATGGAACAAAATAAAATCTAATGTGTAAAATTCTTAAGCTTGTAAGCTTATTTGTAAACGTTCCAGTATTTTTTTTCCCCCTGAACTATTCCTAAGTGCCAGTTCTGAAGGAAATGCTCTGTTTTGGATGCTTAAAGCGAATGGAAGTCAAACAGATGGAACCCGGATGTTCAAAACAACATCCCTTTTCTTCACATACTTGAAGGAATCAACACCATTGTTATTTAAATACAGCCTCCAAGCTTTAGGTACCTTTGACATGTAGCCGGTAAAAGAAAGGGAACAGTCAAAGGTCAAGCCCTCTTAGTTCCACTTGTTTTCCTCCAGTGCACACACCGCGTGGTGAATAAATGCTTTTGGAATGAGTATTCTAATTTCCAAAACCTTCCATAAACTTCAAACATGCGTAGGAAGAAAAGGAAAACTAGATTCAGATTTAAAAGGACACCACGGGAATCCGTCTGTATTTCTAAGCAGCGAGACATGTTTGAGCAACCCAGAACACTGTGACCCAAAGTTATGGTTGGCAAGAGAGTTTGTTCATTTGATAAATACGAGGCCCCTCCAGTAAAAGAAAGGAAGGGGCTGGGAGTGTAGTTCAGTAGTTAATGTCCTCCCTAGCATGCTCGAGGTTCTGTGTTTGATTCCCAGTGAGGTCGAAACTAAACAAAACAAACACTTGGAAGATTCAACGGTCTTATCAAGAAGAAATTACAGAAAGGTTGCAGGAACGTTGTTTAGGGCAAGTAGTTAAGGGGGCGTGGAAAACTTGGAAAATAAAATGTGTGCTGGAAATACGTAATAAACTGGAACCTGAGTATCTAAGTTGACGTCAGGACAGAGCGCCCTAAAACAAATCACACACCTGCTATTTTTTAAAACGGTGCCTTAGTCTCAGGTTATCTCGAAAACCAATGCATTTCTGAGAATTCTCAATAACGATAATGACCCAAACGTACTGACAGATCTAAGTAACGAGGTCTTTATTTTTATCATTTAGTCGTCTGCAAGATAGTTGCTAGCTCCATTTACAGACGAGGAAACAAAATTAGGTAAATTAACTCGTCCAAGGACCCAGGGCTAACAAGTAGTAAAGTACATCGAAAAGCTAACACTGGATTTATACTGTCCCTCCGGGGCGGGTGACAATTTAGGGAAAGACTTTGTTAGAAAGCAGTCTCGCGGCGGAGACTGGCTGAGCGACCAGCAAACTCACAAACACCGTGGCCTTTGCTGCTTTGCGCAGCCGCAGGTACTTAAGCCGGTACTTCTCGTTTTGGCTCTTCTTCGGAAGCTTTTTCATCCTGGCCTTGCTGGACTGTAGCGGGGCTCGCGGCGAGGAGGCGGCGCTGCCCAGCTGGCTCATAGTCCGGCCCCAAGGCGGGGGCTCCTGGACGCTGCCCGCATTGGCTCTGAAGCCGAGGGGGGTGGAAGCAGCGGTTCTGTTTTCTATGGATTGGCAGAACCTGGCCCTAAGAAGCTAGCTCTCCAGGAAGCCCCCGAGGCGGACGGTAAGAGCAGAATCCCCGCAACCGAATGGGCTACCGGCGCTCCCCAGCACTTCCGTGTCTGTCCCGGAAGTGAATCTCACCGGAAGTTACGTAAGGACACAGACCGCGGGCAACTTCCGGGCTTGGAAAGCCTGCAGGTTGCTGCGCCGTGGATCCGGGGGAAGAAACCGTGGGGGCGCGGAGACCGGAGAGTGGCGGCGGGATGAGAGTCCCGCACGTCTGTGCACTTCGTGGAGGATGATCGTTGCCCCAAGACCGCAGTAAATAAAACCTGACCAACACTAGCTCTTGTTCGCGCTCTTACGGGGCCCTGCATTTCAACATCGACCTCGGATTGTAGGAAACGCTCGAACCCAAGTGCGGGGACTCTGCTTCTGTCCTTTGTGCTGCTTGCGCAGATATTTGTTATGTGGTGATCGTCCTCGGAACTGGGTCGACCGTGGTGAATAGGAAAAGAGGCCTTGGCTCTTTGACCGGTTAGAAGCCAGTAGGGACGGTGGAAGACCTGACGAGCAGTCTAACCAAGTGTATTTCTGTACCTAAACCTGTGTTTTTATAATTCTAACTTCACAACCAAGGACTTCATTGGACTTTTTTTTTTTTTACAATTATAAAACTTTTCTTGCAACTTTTAGAAATTTAGAAAATATAGAAAGCAGATTTAAAAAAATTTTTTCTCAGGGCTGGCACTGCAGCTCAGTAGTAGAGCACTTTCCCTGGGTTTGATACCCAGCACTGATAAATAAAGAAGGAGAGATAGAAATTATGGAAGTCAAGTCACATTTCAATAAAAATTTTTATTCCCAGCAGAACAAAACAAAACTTCCCCAAACCCAGAACAACCCCCACCCCCAAGTGAGCCCCCTAAAACTTGGCACAAACCATTGTTAATATGTTAGTGGGTGTTTATATTTTTATGCACTTTTATGCAGGCCAAACTACTGAATACGTTGCTGGTTTGTTTTCCATTTTCATTTGTCATTATCATTTTAAAGTGTTAAGACCTTGTAAGCATAATTAAAATGGCTGGTTAATATTCTGGTTATAACTTTTCTAGTTTGCATAATTATTACCATGTTGCTTGAATTTTGATCAGTTGCTGTGAGTGTTTGTGTATGAAGCATTTTCCATGTCGGACTGTTAGGAGGCTGGGACTAGTGCTCCAAAGACTGTGATGCTACTGACTGATTCATTCTTTTGCTAATTTGTATAGAAGAATATTCACTTGGTGCTTATGGTCGCACAATCTTTAGGAAACCATTCAAGAGGGAACAACAGACAAGTAAACTGGAAATATTAATACAGTGTATGTTTATTTCAGAGGTAGGTTTTACTTGCTATGGGAGAACCCAGTTAGGGGGGGAGGGAGGAAATGAAGGAAATAGACCTCAATATGCTTGCCAGAAGAAGTAGTGATTGAGCCAGAGGAGAGCATTCTGGGTAGAGGAGACAGCCTAGGCATGAGAACTGCAAGGCAATGAAAGTGAAAGCTGTGCGTGGAGGGAAGCAAGAGGTGAGACAAGTTTTGAGCAGGGCATGGGTCATGAAAGGGTTTGTGTCCCAGATGATGACTTGGACTCTTATTGACAATAGAAGTAATTAATGAACATAGACATATCAGCTTATTGCTTGTTTTAGGCAAATATCTGAATTTGACAGAAACAACATGGCTTTTCAACTAATTTATATCTAGAGGGATTTAAATGGCCTATGCAAAGGATACTCCCTAGAATTGCATAATTCTGGCAGTTTTAAAGAGAAATATTACATGTAAAGCAGCATGGTGTTGTGGGCTGACTGTGGTCTTTTGGAATCACATCAGTGCTCCAGGCACAGGGTTGGGAGTTAGCTGCAAGAAGAGGTGATAGCTGGGCATGGTGGGCTCATGCCCTGTAACCCAGCACTCGGGAGGCTGAGGCAGGAGGATCCTTGCGAGTTCGAGACCAGCCTGGGCTACAATGTGAGCTCAAGGCCAGCCTGAACTGCATAGTGAGACGCTGTCTCAAAAAGATACACACACACACACACACACACACACACACACAAAAGAATGAGGTTTTAAGTGAGGGGAGAGACTGAAGGCTGAAGGATGGGGCTCACTGGCACTTACGGAGTACTTTTTTTGTGTATTACTTTCTGTTTTAGTTCTAAGTGATTGCTACTCAGTGATTAGCTATGAATAAAGGTTTAGCATTCCCTGAGGTATTCAAACATTCTTGGGCTCATTAAAAGTTATGAAGGAGCCCATGGCCCATAATCCCAACTTTCAGTGAAGTGAATCTTAGGTTTCGATGATGAGAAGTATACCTGGATATCTCAAGGCTTCACCGATAACAATGCAGGTCACTTGCCTCTGTTTTTAAACCCCAAGAGCAGATTACAAGTAGATGCCATCAGTATCTCCTGGTTCATTTGGCAGATAACCCAGAGCATGGCAAGACTGATGACTTCCACAAAGTAAAATTGGACAAATTCTTAGGATTTCAGTCCACATCAAAGAGTTCCCAGGGTTTTGACATCTGTTAATTCTTACCATGTTGCTCACTTGCTCTTTGAGGTAAGCCAAGTATACACCCTAGAAGGGCCATGGGTTGAATATAGTGAGAACCTACCTCCATAAATAGCCTTTAGAACTCTCTTACAGAATTTCTAGGTTTTACTTCTGTTTATTTTTACTATCCTCATAGAATGTTCGAGACCTAATAGTTTAGTTCTTTGACTTGTGTTGCAGGTTTCATATTTATTTCCATATCTTAGTTATAGCTTCTTACAAATATGGGATATATAACTCATCTAAATCCAAGTTTAGCAATTCTGAGGTGGGTATTCTTTGTGTATTACTATGCGTGGCTTGTGAAGATGGTGAGCGACTTTACACAAAATTTTCTTACTCCATAGTTTTTGCTTAACTATGGGTGTTCATCACATACCCGTTTGGTGAGATGTTTAGGTTTTGAGGGTTCTAAGCCAGCCAGTAAAGTCATGAAGTCAACCACTGTGTCAATGTTATGCTTCTCCGTGGTTGTGTCCTTCAGCACACACAAGACACTCAGCCAGCTAAAAGAGATGAGCTCAGAGATGTTGGCTCGGAGGAAAAGAAGGATCACGTTGAGGTCATTGATGGGGCATCCGAGCATTTTTCTGCTGAGGAGATCAAAAGCTGGGAGCATCTCATAGATGGATAGGAGTCGTTTGTCCCACCGACATAGTCGTGTGAGGTTGTATATTATCACTGGAACCAAGAGGGTATATATTGCTGCACTAGAGAGGCTGATAATCTGGAAAACAGACAAGGAGGTCAGCCTGCATGTGATCAGGTCGGGGACGTGGGTCGCATCATGCAGCATCCCTGTCTTGATGGAACAGCTGAATTCTTCTTGAAAGAAGATACTCAGGTGGAAATGACCAAGGTACAGGTAAATGGCCGCCGTGAAGAGGAGCAGGAGGGAGTTCTTTAGGAGGTAGGCGGCCACTAGTGAATGTGAGCGCTGCTTACATGCCAGGTACCGCTCTAGCAAGGGAAATTCAAAGTATCGTTCTTTCCGGGCCCTGGGCAGGGGGAGAAAGGAGGCACAGTTAGGAAGAGCAGTTTAGGATGTCACCCTGTGTGTCATGTGGGAAAGTAACATATGAATATTCAACAGGGTGTTCTTGGTGCATATGGAAATCTGCCATCGCTTCACGTGATTTTCCCTCCGAAACAGCTGTGCAAGGATACCTTGACTCTCCTCGTAATGAGTGCAGTCTGATAAACTCGGAGATGATCAGTGAGTTGTGAATGGTCACAGAATACTTAGGCCAACAAGGCAGACTGAGGGTCTAAGCTGAAGGAGTCTTGTCTGTGTTACCTTTAGACAATGTTAGCATCCTGTGTGTGGCTACAGCTTTGTTGCTCCAACCTGTCTCCAGACACATACACTAATGTATCTGAAGCATCCAGGTGTCAAATGAATGAATGACTAGAAAGATAAATGATTTCAGGGAAAGAGGAGGCGGTGGAATAGCAGCTTTCTGTCACCTGGTGTACGTTGAATATTCCCTTTCCCAAATGCTTTGGGCCAGAAGTGTTTCAGATTTTGAAGTTTTGTTTTTTGTTTTGGATTTTGGCATATTTACATAGAATTCACCAAGGATGCAAAAAAATTTTGGATTTTGGGTGATTCAGTTAGGGACACTCAACCTATAGTTAGAATTTTGAAGGAACTAGGGAGAGAGGTCGTGCATGCCTGTGATCCCAGCACTCGTAAGGCTGAGGCAGGAGGATTGCCATGTGTTTGAGATCAGCCTGAGTTACATAGTTTAAGGCCAGCCTGCACTACAAAGTGCAGACCCTCTTTCAAGATGCAAAAACAAAAACAAATACAAAAAATAGTTTGAAAAATGTAGTTGGTGACTATGTTGAGGCCTTGGGCAAAAATTTGGGAGAATTCATATGTTTTTGATAGGCCTGGGGTGGGGGGTGCTCAAGGCTTCTGAGCAGGAGAATAGGGTACACAGGTGGTACTTTAGAGAGATAAATCCTTTTGTGGCTCAGTGTGATTATATGTAAACTACAGGTAGAGCCCTTTCCCTTTTAGAGGAACTACAGAAAATTCACGACGTTACATGCAAACACTTTAGGATGAGCAAGGATGATCTAAAGATTGCTCTGCATGGACACCATCTCAATGCTCAAACAAACGCCTTAGAAAAGGTGGAGAAGCAGCTCACTTGTCCAGCTCATCCCAGAAGACATGGGGGTCGGAGCTCTTCTGCCGGATCTTCAGCATGTGCTGCACCAGGCGGATGGAGCGATTGTAGGATTTGTCCAGCTCGCTGATGATGAACAGCAGGTCCGAGCTGAGGGCCGGCACGGCCGCACACTGCCACAGCAGCACTGGCAGGTACATGGCAACAGCCAGGCCCATTAGGGAGTAGGGTAGCGCCTGCAGGGTGAGAGCTGGCTGAGGAGGGAGTCTGGGGTGCTGAGCCTTGAGGGACAGCACTGAGTGAGGGGCTCACTTCTCCCCTGTTCCTGCCTCAGGGGGAAAGATGGCATTCGGAATGGGCCCAGACTCTCTTGATGGGGAAGAGTATGATAAGACCTGGTAGAGAAGGAATTGTAGGTCTTTTTTCCTTCACAGATCTGTGATCTATATAGTCTTTTTTGATCTATGGGCTGAATAGAGAACCAAAGAGAGGAGAAAGGGCAAAGATGAGAGAGAGAGAGACAGAGAGACAGACAGTGGGATGTAGGAGAGTGGGGAAGAGACACAGCAGTTGAGAGATCTCCCATGCCTGTGTGTCAGGCTGGGTAGCCAGCCTGAGGTCCTGGCCAACAGTGGCCATGCATACCAGAGGACAGAGAAATCCCATTTTTTCCGTTTAGCTTTCCTTGGCTTCTCAGATGTACACTGTCTCCCCCCGCCCCATTCATCCTTGGATTCTTGCTGATGTTGAACAATGACCCTATTTTGAAATTCTTAGAAAGTTCCCTCATGTATATAGATACATAAATTGACTTTTAGTTAGGAGTGCATAAACCTTGTCTCTTCAGCTATGTTGTTAGCATCTCTAGATAAGGAATTGAGATGACTTGAATTGTGTTTGTAGTTTCTATCCTATTCCAAATATGTGGGTGCTTTAATCCTTAGTATCTCAGAATGAAACCATATTTGGAAATGATTTGTAGATATAATTAGTTACTTTGAAACGATGTAATATTAAGAATGGAGTGGGCTCCTAATCCAGTATAACTGTTGTCTTGAAACACACAGACACACAGAGACACACAGGCACGTGGAATATATCATCCTACAGTTAAGTGTTGGTTCTTCTAAGGGTTGTGAGAGACAGATCTTCTAGACCCTTCCCTTTGGCTGGCAGGTGCAGTACCCTGAGTTTTCTTCCTGTGTGCACATCTACCTCCTGATATGTGTGTGTGTGTGTGTGTGTGTGTGTGTGTGTGTGTGTGTGCTTTTCCTAAACAAAGTGCTTCAAGAGAAAATAGAACCTTTTCACTTCTATTCAAGAAATGGCACTCCTTGAAAAATCAGCCTTCCATCCTACAGAGGGTTTTTTTAGGTTTGAAGTAGAGTTTGGGTTTAGAAAGCTGCTTAGAGGTTTTGATGATCAGGTATTTTGACTCTACTAACATGTCAATCCGCTTGTTAATATCTTGAATTTTTGTCTATCCAGGGCTTGCTTGAACTGCCAGTGACGGAGACTTCCTGGGCTTTCTCCATTAACTCCCTGGTTTTATTGGAATCCTAGAACTGTAACATTTTGAGGCCTAGTAAGTGATTTGTACCCAGAAAACACTGTGAGTGACTTCTCACTAACACTGAACTGAAAATAATTCTATCCCTATTCCCTCATGACCCCCACCAAGATGACAGTCGAGGATAAAAAGACGTACTCTTCCAAAGACAGTGAAATCAGGGGAGGTAACGAGAGCAACAAAACGGTAAAGCTGGAAAGGAGCTGTGTGATAGAGGACATCACTGCACAGACCAGATGGGGAGCTGGGACAGGGGCAAGCAAGCTATTTGGGACTCAGGGCCAGAAAGCCTCTAGTTTGGGTGAAAACCTTACCAAATGAAAGGGTAGTTAGAGCTGAAAATAGGGAAGTTGAAAAGTCTGTGTGAAGAACAGCTTGGCAGCTGTTTTCTGTAAGGTGATATACTCTGGCAACCACTCCTTCCTTCCCCTATCCAGAGGCTTGAGGTTTGCTCTGCGGAGACAAAAGCAGATTAAACTCTGCATCTGAGTCCTCTGAGGGCAGAGGAACCGTGATGAGCAGCTGGGTGAACACTGGCACACCCTGTGGCCAAGTTCCCAGAGCGGGGCAGCCAGGCTTAATACCAGCTGCACCCTGGCCTGCCCCACAGATGAAGGACTGAGTGGTTTGCTCTTAGACAAAACTGACCACCCCAGAGAAAAGACTATTGTATTACTGTTTGTCTCTTCGAGGTTTTTTCCTAATGAAGTAGATCAAAGAAGCCACCTTTAACTAAGGCTGTCTGTTGTCAAGCTTCTCCCACAGGCACAGAGCTTCTGATGAGATAGAAACAGTCAGCCAAGGGTCAGTGCGCATTTGAAGAATGTTTGAAACATGCAAGTAAGCGGAGCAAGGGTAGGGAAAGAGCAGTGTGAGTCCAGGCTGAGCCCTTCCGCTCAGCTGGCCTGACGGAGAGTTGGGTCTGCTTTACCTTGTGGGGCCAGAGGGATTTTGTCTTGTACTTGCCGGCCTCGTCCTGTTCATGGTGAACCAGTGAGTCCCAACAGGAACTGTCCACGTAAGCAGCCTGCTGCACGCTGAAGTTACTGGGAGCGAAGCAGCTCATTGGAGACCCTGGAACAGGGTTAGAGCTTTGAGATGGCCCTGAGGTGGAGTGGGGTCATCATCTAAGAGTTTGTAAGGGGCTACCTCCACAGTTGTTGGTCAACTTTTGTGTCTGGTAAGCACATAAGACGGCATCTTCCCATGCCTTCTTTCCAAACCCAGTTTTCTGGGTTTGGCACTGCTCTGTCACAGGAAGACAGGGAATGACTAGAGCCAGCACTGCCATTTGCCCCTTGCCTTCCAGTGCTCTGACAGCATGTTAGGTATGGCAGTGCTTGTTTCTCAGGGCGGCCCCAGGCAGGCAGCCAGTGGTGGCCCCTACACTCCTGCTGTTTGGCACCACAGGGCTTGTGGCTTGATGGTGATGTCTCCTTGCTGAACAACTGGTATCTTGTGGATTCTAAAATGTACAGAAGTAATTGCCTGGACTTCGGAGCCCAACTCATGCAAACCGGCATGTGAGTGGTGCTGAAGGAAAGCAGGATTGGAGGAAGGTCTCTGACATTTTTGTTTTTCCATCATTCTCCGAAAAGAGGCACAGTGGGGAACCAATACCTTTCTGTCTCTTGCGGATGAATGTAGAGGCAGCAGCAAGCTGGCATATCTCACTGGGAAATGCACCGTGCTAACAAGGAAGAAGACCAAAAGATGGAGGGAGCAGGTGAGAGAGGCAGATTACCTTCTCATACCACAAGGAGTGTAATCATGATGTATTATGAACATTACTAGTGAAAAAACAGAAACTAAGGGGGGAAAAAAGCAAACCAGAGGTCCCATTTCTTAGGAAGTTCATATTCTCTTTAATAGAGGTAGTGGATTTGCTAAGTTATCCAGCACCTGACACTGTGTATTTGTGTATGTTAATGTGTGCGGCAGGAGTTTGTGGAGAGAAAGCAGTAGATTTATCCAGCTTTCATGAATAACGCAGTGTTAGGTACTTCACATATGTTCTCAAATTAGCAGCCTTGGAGGTGGAGGTGGAAAGAAGGCTCAGAGAAAACAAGAGACTTATTAACAATGTGGCTAAGACAAGGATATCTCAGGCCCAGAAAAGATGCTAGGGCCTCACCTTAGGAAAACCTATAGGAAAACCAGAGTGAAAGACTCATTATTGAAATGACACAAAATACATGAAACTGCCTTTGCAGCTCTTTATTTTTATTGCACGATTTTGGAGGTAATTTAAAACCATCTGGGCATCTCTGCTTTGCTGATGCCTAGACTCCTACCATGGGCTGCTCCTTGATCTGGCCCAGTATTGTGAAACCTTGCTATATGGGAACTGTCTCACTTCTGAGTTCGTGTAAGCAGTGCAATAAAGTGAGGTCTTAAAAGCAACTTACCGGAGGAGAACTCCTGGGCGAACGCCAGGGACATCAGCAACAAGGGAAAGCCTACAGCGACGAACTTGACCATCCTGTCCAGGGGCAGCTCCAGGCGCAGACCTTTGAGGTGGGAGCCTCTGCGGTCGGGCAGCAGGGCATCAGAGAGCATGTACTCTGCAGCGGTGTGTGCCAGCGACATGATGCTGCCGAACTTCGGGCCACAGAGGTGGCAAGAGGTGTCCTGGGATGGTAGGGTGAGACGAGCGCTTCAGGCAGACGGTGCTGTAGCCACAGCCTCACGGACATCTGTGCTAGGGGTAGGCAGTGGGTCTCTAAATACCTGCCGGGAACCTGAGCCAGGCACCCCGGTAATTAGTGGGTCCTGGCTGAGGAGGGTCGGGCTTCATGTGTGGCTGGTGCCAGGCTGCTCGCTTTGGATCGATGAAATCCATGGCTTTATGCTGCCCTCTCATTAATAAAGTATTTTCAGCAGGGTGGTGCAGAGGAGGAGGGCTGTGGGGTCAGGCTCCCCATGTAATTGATGTGGAATTTGGGTGGGGATTGCTTAAATGTGTTGAAGCCCTTCATTTTGTGGTTTGGGGTGGGAACGGACTCAGCCCAGGTTGCTTACTCTACAGAGGAGTTTTTGTTCAGTCTCTTTCCCAGAAACTGTTCTGTACTTGATGTTAAATTTTCTGTCCTGATCCTGGTTTTCTTCTCAAACATTTCAGCATATTTATAATTTCCATTTTCTTTTTTAGCCCCATCGGTTCCCTAGAAATCTGGGGGCTGTGCTCACTCTGTAATTGTATGATTTCAGTAGAGTTGCTTTGTCTCATTTTTCTCATCTCTCGAGCGGTGGTATGTTAGGATGCTAAGGATTGTGGGGATCAAGAGTGCTGTATGTGAAAGTGCTCTGTGAGCTGGAAAGTGAGCAGAGCAAGTGCTGTCGTTTAGATAAGTGTCCCCTAAAAGGCCCTATGTGGCAGGCTTGGTCCCCCATCTAGGGTGCAATTGGGAGATGGCAGAATCTAGTGGAAGGAAGTTAGTTCACTTGGGAGCACTGCGTTTTGAACCCAGGACTTTTGCTCTAATCTGCAACCCAAGCCCTTTTTTATTTTTAGTCAGGGCCTTGCTGAGTTGCCTAAGCCGGGCTCAAAGTTGTGACCTTCCTGCTTCATGCTCCATTGTCTTTCTCTTTGGTGTCCTGATGGCCATGAATGGGCAGCTTCTTCTGCCGTTGTGTTGGCACCATGATGAACTGTGCTGCCACAGGCCCGAAGCAATAGGGCCAAGTGATCAGGCAGTGAAACCACGGGCCAAAATAAGTATTTTCTCTCATTAAGTTGATCACATCTGGTGTTTTGTCACAGTGATGGAAAGTGTGATGCAAATATCTGCTCTTCAAATTGGGGTGTTGGATGAGAGAATAGGGTATTCTTGTCACTGGTGTCTTCACATTTGTTTTTAGATGCCCTTGACAGGCCTACATGCTAGTTCTTTTTGGCTGTATCCTTCCCCTAAGTCAAAGAGTCCATTGGTCTAAGGAGTTGCCTGTTTTATACCTACACAGGTCCTATGCAGCACGAGTTCACTCTTGTAGCACAGTAGACTGTGGAATTCCTGCCCTAATGGTTTCAGCTTGCTGCTTCTGGGACCTGTGTGGCCTTTTTCCTCAAGTGCATTCTCAAGATTGTGGTACTGGGTGCACATTCAGGCTTTAGGGTGCTTGGATGTGGGGGTTTGGATGGAATTTAGAAGTCCTGGGGTGTCCACTTGTGAAATTGTGAGATTGTGTTTGCTGATTACAACTTAGCTGGGTTTAGAAGAAAAGGCTGTTGGACTGAGGACGTGGTAAAATAGAAAGAGTCTAAATTTGAATGTAGCATTCCTGATCATTATGGTGTATGTATGTGTGTGTGTGCGTGTGCGTATAGGCAGATAGAACATATTTTTTTAAACTGTCCATTAGCTGGGTTTATAACATTTCATATTTAGAGACATGGTATGTGGGTCTCTGTGTTGGAATTTTTTTAAATGGGCCCACACACTTGGCCTGGATCTGCTTCTCATTCTACAAGACAAGACACCTCTGACTCACATCTGCCTCGTGTGTACTATCTGGACTAACCCAGGCATGGGAACATCAGAACAGATTATTTATTTCTGTTTTCCATTTCCCTCTCCACACTCTCATTTTGCTATCTTTTAATTATGTGTGTTTCCCCCAAATGCTTATTTTGGGCTTGAATGCATATATATTCTTTTGCTTCTCAAAAATATTTATGTATTTTTGGAACCTAATACACATTAAAATGCACATATGTATACAGGTCTATAGATTTTTTACCTCATCAGGAAGCAGAGCCCAGAAACCACCTCTGTGCTTCTTTCTAATAATTTTTACTTCCCAAAAGGTGATCATTATCCTAACTTTAAATAGCATAAATTAGTTTTGCATTTTTAATACATTGTATAAGTGGAATCATCTATATATAGTCTTTTGTGGCTTCTTTTACTCTATTTATGAGGATGATTAATTTTGCTGCCTGATTTTTGTACTTTATACACATGGAATTATATGTACTTTTGGTATCTGGATTCTCTGTTAAAAAAAATTTTTTTTTCCTTTGGTACCAGGGATTGAACTCATGACCTCACACTTACCAAGCAAGCGCTTGAACTGCTGAGCTAAATTCCCAGCTCTGTTAAAATATTTTTGAGATTTATTCTTTCTGTTATATGTGTTCAAAATCGATTACATAAAAAATTGTATAGAAAGTTAGGGCTTAACACAATAGCAAAACCAGTACTCATTCCAGAGAGTCTATAGTTTGGAAATTTAGGAACAATTTAGCTGAGTTGCTCTGGCTCAGGGCCCATTAAGGCTGCAGACATCCACAAGTATGGATGGACTATGGTATCTACCTGCAGACTCACTTGGTGGATATTGGCTGGGAGCCTCATTTCTTTTTTTTTTTTTTTTTTTCTTATCGGTACCAGGGATCGAACTCACGACTGCCTGCTTGCAAGGCAGGTGCTTATGCCGCTGAGCTAAATCCCCAGCCCCTAAATCTTAATTGCTTTTTTTTTTTTTTTGTCTTTTTCATTTTTATCGGTACCGGGGATTGAACTCACGACTGCCTGCTTGCAAGGCAGGTGCTTATGCCGCTGAGCTAAATCCCCAGCCCCGGGAGCCTCATTTCTAACTGAGTGCTTGGGGTTGACCACCTTCTTCTCTAATTAGTCTCTTACAGGACAACGCGACATGTGGTTTTCCCAGAACAAATGATCTAAGGGAAACCACAGTGCCTTTTATGATCTAAGCTTTGAAGTTGGAACTGCTATTTCTGATTTTTATAATTCACTAGAAGACAGTCAGTAAGTTTAACCTGCATCCAAAGGAGGTAAATTAGGTTGTATAATAATTTTGAAGGAATGTCAAGTAATGTAATGTACTATTTTAATTTGCTATATTGCATGAATTATTTGAGGACATTCTCCATTATTAAATCCAAATGTCAAATTTATTAACATGTTACTCATAATATCTTTATATAGTAATATTTTATTATGTAATCTAAAATATATGGCACAGTTGAATTTTACCTACAGAGAATACCTATGGTCTTTAATTCCGTCATTAGCATTTTACAGAACTTGCTTTTTAATTGATGAATCTATCTATCCCTTCCTCCACCCACCAATCTTTTTAAAAAGTGCATTTCAAAGTAAATCACAGACACTAATATTCTTTTCCCTAAGAAGTTTAGAATGTACATCATTAATTATACTGTATTTCAAGATGTATTGAATTTTTTTTCTCTACAAGGTAAAATTCACATAAAGTCAACTGCACAAAGTTTTATGTGTACACATGGAGTCTGACAAATACATATACCCATGTAATTCATACACCTTAAAGGTTAGAACATTGTCATCATTCCAGAAAATTACATTCAATACTTTTTTGGACATGCTGGTCTTGTTGGTGAAAATCTTCATGCTTTGATCTAATTCACACATCTTTTACTTTCTTAATAACATTACTCAAAGTTCTTTTAAAATTCCTATCACTAACTCCATAATCGGAGAAATTTATGCATCATTTTTGCTGTCTGCTTTTTGCCTTCATTGTTGCTCATTGCTATAATTCATATCTGGCCTATCTCCCAAAGCCCACTGTGTTAAAAGTCTTGGTCCCTGGCCTCCAGCTATTAAGAGAAACTTTAAGAGAAGGGGCCTAGCCGTAATCCTAGCTATCTGGAGGTTGAAGCAGGAGGACAGCAGATTTAAGCCTGTTGTTGGTATTGTAGTGAGACCTTGTCATGATACATGTCAATGGCCCCCAAGCTTCATGAATTATGGACTTGACCAAATCTAACGTTTGTGATTGGTTCGTTGTCTAGCGCTTGGATTGGTGGTGTGAGTGCTACAACCCGCCTACGGGTGGAGCCAGCATAAAGTGTATTGGCAGCAAGATGGCGTCTCTCTCTCTCCCTGTTGCTAGTTCTTGTCTTACTGTTTTGCAGCCGGCCATGAACAACAGCCCAGCCATAACACCCTGCCGCTCGGAGCCAGCTGAGTATGGACTGAAACCTCCGAGAACTGTAAGAAATAAACCTTTCCTTCCCTAACTTTGGGCGTCAGACTAGTAAAAAGTAACCAAGACAGCCCTTATCTCAAAATGAGAATTATAAAGGGCTAGTGATATAGCTAGGGATTCCCTGGGACCAATCCCCAGTGAGTACCATGGGGGAGGGGGAAGATGGGGCCGTATAGGAGATCTTGGGTGACTGGAGGTATTCCTTTGAAAGGGATAATGGGAATTGAATCCATATCTCTACCCCATTTTTGCTTTCAGGTTCAATGAGATAAGTTTTTCTCTGTCACAAGTTTGTCCCTTGATGCTCTGCCTCACCCCAGGTCGAAAGCAATGTCGCCAACCGAGCATGAATTGAGACCTCCAATATGAAGCTTTTTTTGGTCTTTTTCCTTTTTATTGGTACCAGGGATCGAACTCATGACTGCCTGCTTTCAAGGCAGGCGCTTATGCTGCTGAGGTAAACCCCCAGCTGCCCCCCCCCCCTTTTTATGAGTCGATTATTCTAAATTTTTGTTCTAGTACTAAAAACTGTCATAAACCCTTTCACTTTGCATTTTTAGTGATTTTTCACTATATGTTGAATAGTGTATAAAAACCCCATGAGAACCAGATGCTGTAAGTAAAGCTATCTTTTAACAAAAGTGGTTCTTGTTTCTGTTTCTAGACCTTTAGGATGAGGCATTGGTTGCATTGTAATGTCCAGTCAGAGTTAAGCCTGGTGAGGGTTATCTTGGAGTTTTATTAAGATTTGGTCTACATTTAGCTTTTCTCATTCTGAAGTCTGATCTTTCCAGGTTTTGGTTAAAAGCCCATTAGGTCTCTGTTTTGTAACCTGTGAAAGACTGTGAGAGGTTCTGTTTTTCTCCTCAGAGGATGTTTGTTTAATTATTTAGTGTCTTACTGCAGGTAGCTTCAAAATATGGCAGATGTTTTGAAGGGGAGGCAGGCTCTGTGAGGTTAATACTGGGTCCTACTTCTGGAATGTCTTTAGTCCCTAAGCACCACAGGGTAGAGGAAATTTCACTTTGTGTGTTAGAAGATTTGTGCTAGTTCTCAGTCCACTTAACTTCAGAACAAAACAAAATAGCTGTATGTCTGAAGTGCCTTGAGTTCCCAGCTGTCACTCCACCCAGGTATCAGCCATGGGAAACTTCGTGAGCTCAGTTTCCCCCAGTGGAAGCTGGCTGCTTGGATCAAGGCCAATGGCAAGTTGGTGCCCAGAGCAGAAGAGTTTTCTAGGGCAACAACTGGAGATTGTTACCTTTTATCATAATGATTCTTTTTTCCCCAGACTTCATTTTATCATATCCTTATTTGTTCAGTAGCTTTCTGATAGTCAGAGGACAGTGTTTATAATTAATATAGCCTTTTCTGTTTGTTGCCATGGGAGCATTCGTCTGTGACAGTGTATTACACTTTACTCAGAAGCCTCCATTATGATTTTAACATACCTAAGTGATGTTCTATTTTATATCTCATCCCTTTTCATACTTAAAAAATCTCTTAGCCTTGTCCCTCTAAAGTCAATCCGTGTTGCTCAGGCCCATTTGCTCATTACTCCCAGACTGACCATGGGAGATTATGTTTGGTGCAAAGGAAAGGCTTTACTTAAACCTAGCTCGAGGAGATGAGCTCATATTGACAGAAACTGCCATCTTATGCTATCTAGGTGTGCAAAGGCTTTTTTTTTTTTTTTTTTTTTAATAAGAAACAGAGGGGCAAAGGAGTATGGTAAGATGATAGACAGCCCCAGTTCCCCTTTCTCTTCCTGGCCACCTTCTCCTCCCTCCCTTCCTTACAACCATTCACCTGGGCTGAGGAGAGAAGAGTGCGGCCATTACGCCCTCAGCTGGATAAAGTCTGGAAGTATGGCTTGTCTCCAAAGGAATAACTGTAACTGTTAAAGATTTATTTTGCCCTTCTGGTTTCATTGTGATGTCCACAGCTCCTACTGCTACAACAGATTTTGGTTTACCTGCTCACTTTTCTATTGATGAATACTCATTTTGCTTCTACTGCGTGTGCCACAAGCATCATCCATTTTCCTCATGGTCTCACAAGAGAATTCAGTGGGGCTTTGTATCCCACTGATTAGAATATCTAGATCTTATAGGGCTACCAGTGTTTTGTTATTTTAATTTGTATTTCTATTGCTAATACATTTGAGTGTATGGGCTTCAACTATTTCTGTGTAACAAACTGCTTTAAAACTTAACGGCTTTAGACAGTGAACATTTATTACTTCCCAGTTTCTATAGGTCAGGAGTTCGGTGGGCACTTAGCTGGTTTGTACTGGCTCCATGCTGCTCACTAGGTCACGTCCAAGAGACTGGCTGTTCATCTGAGGGCCTGACTGGGGCTGGAAAATTCACATCCCTCATGTCTGCCTTGCATGGCTCTTGGCAGAAGATCTTCGTATGACGGAAGGTCTTTCTGCCTCATGGCTCTTCAGTTGTGGCTGACTGAGTGCTCTCACTATATGGCTCTGACTTTCTGGTGGGCAGTTCAGAGAGAACAGGGCAGAGACATGAATGCATCAGATGCATAGAAAAATCCCACAGTTGCTGCTGACGTCTTTGGGGCTGTCCTTTGTGAAGTTGTTGGGGAGGATACTAGATGGAAAAAGGGAGATGAAGCAAGTCTAGTGACTGCAAAATGGGATTAAGCCAAGAAGAACATCTTTGTGAGCCATGGTGGCACGGATTTGTAATCCTAGGTACTTGGAAAACTGAGACACAAGGATTTCAAGTTCAAGACCAATTTGGGAAACTTAGAGATTTTTGCCTCAAAAATAAATGGCTAGAGATGTAGGTCAGGGATGGGCACTTGCCTAGTATGTGTGAGGCCCTGGGTTCTATCCCAATCACTGCGAAAAGAAAAAAAATGGTCAAAGCAATATCGTATTCTACTGCTCAAGAGAAGTAATGGCTGCAGGATGACCCAGGACGGAATAGCTTTAACCTAAGATTTGGTGTTTACTATTGAGTTGATTAACCTCATTGTAAACATGACACCTATTGGTAAGAAACTGACTTGAGGAAATGTGATGACAGCAATTATTGCTCATCCTGCAACACCTGACTGGGACAAATATAAGGAAGAAGTAGAATTGTGACAAATATCCTCAACAAAATGTTATGTTCTTCTTCAACACAAATGTTCTAGTCACTTTCTTGTCACTGGAAAAAATTATCCAACACCCACAACTTAAAGAGAAGAGGTTATTTTGGTTCATGCTTTTTAGAACGTTCAGTCCATAGTCAGCGGGTCCGAGGACAGAATTATCATGGCATCCAGGAAGCAGGGAGAGAAGGGAGAAATTAGGGACAAAAACACACGCTTCCAGGTTTCCCCCTCGGTGACCCAGCTCCTGCCGGGCCCCACACCCTGAAAGAACCTTTCGTTCCTATATTTATCAGTGAATGAATCCACGGATGCATATAGCACCCCCATGAACTTTTGGGGACTTTTTAATCCAAGCCACAACACCAAACTTCATCAGCATTTCAGGGGTAATAACACAGCAGCTGCAGAGATCCTCACATAATGAATTTCTGATACAGCATATGTGGGGCTGTGGAGCTGGTGGTTAAAAGTGAAAGAGTGATTAAGACCAGGTTTCCCCCATGGGACTTGATAGATGCTGCAAAGAGGAGGAGCTAGAATTCCGGCTGGAATGAACACTACCCCTGTCATTTTCTGCCACTATTCTACTACAGATTGGAAGCCTGCGATAAGGCCAAGTATAGGCATCACTCCACGGACTATTCCCCAAGTTTTATACATCTCAGTACTGCTAGTATTTGCCAGGAACCGAGCTAGCCAGGGATTATTTCAGAGGTTTGTATGGTTAGAAAAGGCGGTACCTGGAGTTTTTACTGCCTGCCATATGTTCACCTTTTAAATGTTTTATTTCTTGGTTTGGTGCATATACTTTGCTTTTGTAATCTAATACTTTCTCATACAGGTAATCCTACAATACTCCCCACAATGTGATAATGTAAGGTGAACATTATCCCAGAAATAGAAAGTACAGTATATTGTTGTTATAATTATTATACTAATTGAGTGACAAGTCATGTCTTTATGTATCAAATGAAGAATAAAAATTATTCCTAAGGTACGTTGTAAGCATAAATAGGATAATGTGCCTGCACATATTTTTTCAAATGCTCAGTTGCCATAGATATGTGAGTTATCTTTAAGTGTATAGAAGTCTTCCTTGGTTTCCCCTGTACATGAAGCTCTGTGACCTAACACAGCCGGCATCCTACAACTTCAGGGAGGTTAATTAGCAATCAGAACAAGCAGATGAAGTGAGAACGTGATGGGGTTGTTTTTAAAGATACATTAAGAGTGTAGGCCTATAAGTATAGCTCAATAGGGAAGAGTGCATACCTAGCATGCATAAGGCCCTGAGTTGGATTTGAGTTGGATTTGATTCTCAGCATGCACACCTATTCCCACATACACACACACACAGAAGTGCAATCTGTAACTAGACAGATCGTGTATATCCATATTGACGGTGGTCAGCTAACATAATTTTGGTGCAGAGAGATGTGAAAGTTAGGAGACCATGAAGAATCTCTGCCCCAGGTACCATCTATATGATATGGACATGATGCCACCAAGAAAGGGAAAGGAGTAAAGAGCAAAGGATTGTACAAACTCACAAAAACATGTTATTCCAGTTATATATGTATAAAATTATCTAAAAGTGGGGGTGTAGGTGTAGAAAGTGGAAGAAAATGTGAAAAGTAGGATATAGCACTTTTTATAACTGTGTTAATAACTAGGTTATCGTTGCATAAGAAACTGGATTCGACAAGTTGGTGGTTGGGCTCGAACCCCCAGGATTGCTGAGAAGCCAGCATCTGTGACTCAAGAGAGGGCCCAGAGTTGTGCTGAGGAAGATTCAGATTATATCAGACAAGGGTTTTGTAGCTTAAAAAATATTGGGCAAATTACACTCAGAATGTAAGTTGTCCTCATAAGACAAAGAAACTTGGTGGGGGTGGGGGGAGGATGAGATCTATTATTACTCGTGTGCTCAAAAAAGCTCAAGAAGAGTCAGGCTAGGTCAGAATTAAAAGTAGCGGAACCAAAACTATTGGGGATCAGGATCCCTCCTCTGTGTGTCATTTCGTCTTATTGTGCAGTGCTAGGGGTCCACTTGTGTGTGTGTTACGGTCACAAGCAATCTGTCTGTCTCTAACTTCCTCTTTCCATGTCATACTTCCCTCCTGAAATATCTCAAGTGCTCTCGTTGCTTCACTATTTTTATATTGTTAAGCTTTGACTCTCTAAGCTCTGTTTATTGGTTTTCCACTTTTAGAGTCAATCTTGGTCAAGGCAGAAAGGCTTGCAGTTTATGGTAATTATATGTTGAAGCCCAGGAGGATTGTGGACAAATCTTGAGACATTTGAGATGAAAAGGCAGGTTAATGTTTGGTCTTTTAGAGCAACAGCTTTTAAAACTCTAAAATTCTTAGAAGAAAATGTTGGAATAAATTTTCTTGACCTTGGATTTGGCAGTAGGTTCTTAAATTTGACACCAAAAGCATAAACAACAGAGCTAAAAATAGATAAATTTTAGATATTTCTCCAGGGAATATATGTAAATTGCAAATAAGTATATGAAAAGCTGCTCAGTATTCATTACATGTCATAAAATTACATATTAAACCCAAAATGAGTCACAACTTCATATCCTGTAGGAGGGCCATAATAGAAAAGATGGACAATATCGTATGTTGGTGAGGACGTGGAGAACTGGAGCCCTTATACTCTAAAAAAATACATTTACATTCCTGCCCAGAGTGTGTAAGGATGGAACTCTCATGCATTGCTGGTGGGAACATAAAATGGTCTAGTGACTAGAAAAATTGGCGGTTACTTGACAAGTTAAACATAGTGATACCCTGCGACCTAAAATAAAACACAGTAATAAGATATTGTTGTGTTATTATAAACACTTAAAAATTACAAAAGAAATATGTGTGTGGGTAAAAATGATAAAATATAGATGAAAAAAAGTGAGACGTCTAAGGAGCTGTACCTCCTCTCTCCAGGGACTGTCCTTCTTAGCTACCTAATGTCTGATCATCCACATTTTCCTGTGGATTCACATGACCTTTACCCCCTAATTCAGATCATGTATATACACTGCTTATAGTTCTTTTTGGTGTTATATTTTCAAATACATGGTTTCATTTGATTTCGCCTTTCCTCTCATACATATCCATTGATAATACCTGCCCAAACTCTTCCTTCTCAGGTAGAGGAAAGAGGCTCTAAGATTTAGGTTGAAATAGTAAAAACAGGGAGATCCACACTGCTGTCTGTCTTAAATTATGGTGCCAGAAATGGCACTGTTTATTCATAACTGCAACTCTTTCAGTATTATTATCCTCACATGAAGACAAGAGTTTTGAAGTTCAGGGAACAGTTCAGCATATTTACCGCTACCGTTCACCTAGGGAAGAGGAGAGACAGGATTCATCCTCAGATCAATCAGATTCCGTGGTCTACTGTCTGAATAGTTATGGGGATTGTGCGACCTGCTGTTCTTCTAGGACACAGGGGAAAGCAAAGGGAGGAGGGAGGTGTTTCTGGAGCAAAGTCAGCAAAAATGGCAGAATAAGGAACTCCACAAATCCTCCAGCCGTTCATCTATTGGTGGGCATATGGGCTGTTTCCAAGATTTAGCTGTTAGGAATTGTGCTGCTCTAAACATGCGTGGGCATACAACACTGTGGTATGAGGAATAAAGAAAATGTTGTATTTATAAACAATGGAGTACTACTCTGTCATAAAGAAGGATAAACTTGAGACATCTTTAGGTAAATGGATGCATCCCGAGACCATAATTATACGGTCTTGAAATAAATGAGGCACACAAGTTTAAATGTCTCCTTTTTTCTCTTGTGTGAGAAACCCAAGGGTAAATAAGGAACAAAATGGAGGCTAGATATTGGAACTTAGAAAGAACTTGTTCAAATGAGAATGTGAACAAAGGAGGGAGTAGAGGGAAGGGAAGGAATGAAAAGGGATTAAAAAACAGAATGGGAGGAAAAAATTAGAAATGAAATTTTGTTTTGGGAGAGAAGTGTTGAAGAGAGGAGTGAGGAATGGAGAAGTAAGAATACTTGTACATATGTGATGTACACGTACAAACTCCCCATGATTAATGTGATCATATGTATGGAAAACATGTACTACTAATAAAAATACATGTGTATATTCTATATTTCTATATTTGTTTTATATATATACATGTAACAAAAAAATAAAGTCTTCCCACCCACATAAGCAACAGATAAACTGGCAAAAGCTTTCAGAATCAACTTTCTTAGAACTTTGGAGACTAAGCAAAACCTTAGCACAACTAGGGGAGCACACAGTTAAGGCAAACAAGCCGTGTCTCGGTGCGAGCTCTGCGGCTGCTTAACCTATTCTGGGCGCCTCTCCTCGAGCTCGCTGGCGGCAGCCTTGAAGACAGCAGCCCACATTCCTGGCATATGTACGCGGCGTGGAGGGAGAATAACACACCCGAGTCTGCAAAATCAAAGTTTCTTGGTAGTGGAATTTAAGGTTAACGTGGTTGTCTTCCCACTCAGGGTGACAGTTTGCGTCTCCCTCATCTGCTTGACCGCCACCAGCGCATCACTTCTGTTCCTTCGTGTACTCACTTCCGTCAAAAATTTCTTTAAAAAAATATGTTTAATTGACACATGGCACTTATACATATTTATGAGGTACGGTGGTACAGCATCTTAATACATGAATACGATGTGTAATGATTGTATTTTTTTGGTGTTGGGAACATTTGAAATCTTAATTAGTGAAAAGCATTTAATTTATTGTTGTCAGCCATAGCTATTGTGTTGTGCAAGAGAAGATTAGAAGTTGTTATTCCTAACCGGTTGTAACCTCATACCCACTAACAGCATAGTTTTTCCCAGACAAGGTCATGCTATGTAGTTCAGGCTGGTCTTGAACAGACTCTGTGGCCCAGGCAGGCCTCGAACTCACAGTGCTTCCTGCCTGAGCCTCCAGAGTGCTGGGGTTATGATTGTGTGCCACCAGGTCTGGAAACAACATCATTTTTAATATACCGGCTCATAGTGAAATGGTTACTACAATAAGCAATTAAAAATTCATCATTTTACAGGTTGTTTTTCTGGTAGGAACATTAAAATCTCTTCGGTAAAATATCCAGTGTATGATATGCTATTGTTAACTATAGTCCTTGTGTTATACATTAGTGCTATAGATTTATTCACCTTATGTGGTTGCACCTTTGTACTCTCTGCCCCTGGTCCCCACTGTTCTGGGTATATTAGACTTGCCCCCTGAAGAATCCACATATGAGAGGTCATATGCATGTTTTTCTTTCTGCATCTGGTTTATTGCATTTAAGGTGATATTCTCCAGGTTTGTCTTGATATTGTTGCAAATGACAGTTCTCCTTTTTAGAAGCTAATTATTATTCTTCTGTCTGTGTGCTATGGGAGCATATGTAATGTATCTAGTTGTCAGTCTACAGATGCTGAAGAAAATGAAACTTGCTTGTTTCAGCCACCGGTGGCTCTCTGAAAGAAACTGACAGGGCTGGCTGGGAACTGGCAGGGCTGGAGTGGCTTTGTGTGGTGTGGGATAGTAGGGAGGTGGGGCTTGTTCAAGGTACATTAAAGGTAACTGTAATAGTTTCAGCCTGAAGCAAGAGATAACTGAGGCAAACAATAGGGTAATCAAAGAGCCTGGAAGGAAAGCCTAGAGAAGGAGGTGCTTTGGGAAACAGGGACATTGGAAAGTTCCCCTGGACTCCTGGAAAACCGAGTGACAACAAATGCCCAAGGCTGGACATTCCTCAGCAGACATCTGAAAAGACCCTGTGCTGTCTCTTTCGGCTGGCCTAGCTTTCAGGCAGCATTGTTTATAATATCCCTGAAGTGGAAACAGTGCGAATGGCCACCAACTGAGGCATGTATAAAATGTGGGACATGACAATGCAGTATTCAGCTGTGAAGAGGAGTGAGGTGCTGACCGCGTCGCCACCTGGGTAAAGCCTGAGAACATTGTGCTGTGTGAGAGATTGCACAGAGGCTGTGCAAAGCGTAAATCTATGCAGGTGAAGCAGCTACAAGAGGTACATGCAGAAAAGACCAGAAGATGTTTAGTTGTTGCCAAAGGCTGTTGGTGAAAGGGGTGTAAAGTGACAATAGGTGTAGTTTCTTCAGGGGTGGTGGAATGTTCTGGAAATAAATAGTATCAACGATTGCACAGCACTGCGCGTGAGCTAAAGCTGTGCAAGTACATAAGTCTAAAAATGCTGAAAAAGGTGAATTTTTTGTTATGAGAATTTTAGACCAGTAAGAACAAAACTAAAAGACTTGAAAAATGACACAGGGTGCTCTAATAGTTTTCAGATGAAGCCTCCATGCCAGCAGTGTCTATAGTGATGTCAACTTGGAGTTTCTTTGGGGTTGCATCATCCAGACAGAATCCTCCAAGGTTTTGTGAGAAAAGTCAGCTTTTAATGAATCTCTAAGGTCTTGTTTGCTTGTGAGTCTCAAGGGGGCTTGTTTGAAATTTGCCCCATGGAGTTTATTTGAAGTTTGTCATAATGAATTGCTTTTTTCCACTTGTAATTTTTGTGCAGTGGATGGAGGACAGAGATTACAGTTAAATTAATGAGTCTGGAGGATGTGGCAACATTCTAATTAACAAAACTATAAATGAGGCGATGCCATGGCCAAGTCTTATTCGAAGATGAGCTGTAATCACTATTAAGTGTGAATGCATCCTCATAAGCAGAAATAAACCTAGGCGGAAAGAATAGGCTTTGGCTTTTGGGATGATTCCATTACTACTCCATTCTTCCAGCCCTTTGCTCTGACCAAAAACACATGTGTTATCCAAGGTTCGAATTTCCCCCAGTACCAATTAATTCCTGTGGCTAATAAACTTGGCCCTCATTCAGATGTATTATTTTAACATAAATGTAACACATAATATAAATTCCCCACACAAAAGTGAATGAGAAGGAGTGTGAGCTCAAGTGCGTATCCTGCTTTATTAACCCTGGCTCCAGTAGATGCACGGCTCGGGAGGAAAGTTCCATGCTGTATCCGCAAGGTAGTATACAGCCCTGGGCATCTTCTTCAGTCTTTACACACACATCACCTTGACGATGAGGCACAACCTGACTGGCATCTTTGCTTGTTTTATTTTTGAGGATATTAAAAAATGGAGAAAAAATTTTTTACATTTATCCACATGCTTGCAATTTCAAGTGTTCTCCAAGTTTATATCTATCTCTATCATATCTCCAAGGTTACTACAATTTCAAGAGCTCTTTAAGTTCCCATCTGGTATCTTTTTCCTTCTGCCCAGAGAACTTTCTGTTATATATATATATATATATATATTTTTTTTTTTTTTTTTTTTTTTTTGGTCTTTTTGAGTTAGGGTCTCACCATGCAGTTCAGGTAGTAGGCCTTGGGCTCTCTTTGTAGCCCAGTTGCAACAATCTGCCTGCCTCAGCCTCCCAAGTGCTGGGATACAGGAGTGCACCACCATACCTGGCTTTCTGTAATATTTCTTGTAATTTAGCTAGCTGACAACAGTTTTGACTTGGATGAAGTTCAAGTTTTGACTTGTATAAAGAAATCTACTTCAAGGCCAAAAGTGGTAGCACATGCCTATAATTCCAGAACTTGGGAGGTTGAGGCAGGAAGATCACTGCAAGTTTGAGGCCAGCATGGACTTACAGAGTGAGTTCAAGGTCAGCCTTGAGAGTGATATCCTATCTGAAACAAACAAACAAACAAACAAACAAATAAACAAACCCCCCAAACCAAAACCAAAACTAACCAACCAACAGATGAACAGTACCAGTGTCAGTTTTGAAAAATATTTCCATTGAACATGGAGTTTGCAATGACTTTCCCTTGTCTGCATTTGAAAAATGTCTTTCTATGCTCTTTGGCTAGGATCATTTCTGATGAAATCTGTAATTCTTATTTGTGTTCCTCTTTATGTAATATTGTCTCCTTGCTTTAAAATTTTTTTTGTCTCTGGCATTCAGAAATTGGATTATGATGTGTCTATATGTGATTTTGTTTGTGTTTATTCTACGTGCAGACACATTGAGCTTCACAGCTACAATAGAAGAAAATATTAGTGGACTGTGAAATAAACATCCCTTTCTTTAAGCTGTGGGTGTCAGTGATCAGAAAGTGACTAAGGTGGACAGGTGCAGTCCCAGCACAAGGGTGTGATCACTCTGGTTTTCTTGATGTGTGCCTCAGTTGTTTACTGGACCAGCCTTGCTGTGGCTCTTAGGGACTCCAATTTCCAGGCTGTGTGAGGTCTAGGAATTGTTCGGCTTCTTGCTTTTTGGTAATTGATTTTGTCAACAAAATTTAGTTTTTGTTTTTATACTTTTAAAGTAGCAATGAAATCTTTATTTTTAATACGCCAAATTATTAAATAGTTGCATAGTGAGAAATTGTCTCTTAAAACAATTTAATCTTTTTGCTGTGTATAATTTCAAAAATTGATGTGTAATAATTATACATATTTATTCAGCCTTAAGTAGGCCACTGCTTGATTTGTGGAATTCTTTGCCTGGTTACTGCTTCTCTAATTTTCTGACCCATGGATTCTCGCTTCTTTGGCTTCTTGATCTTCAGGGTCTGACTTTTCCTGTCAGGCCAATTTTTTGCTTCCTGATCCCTGCAGCCCTTTCTGAAATGGTCTCAAAGCAGCAAGTCCTATTTGCTTTTCTTTTTCTCCCCTTGAAACTGGTTTTCTGCCACTTTTTGATTAAGTCTGACAACAGTTTTTCCATATATTTGGTCTGGTTTTCTAGTGGCTTAAAGCAGAGGGCAAATCCAAACCCTGTTATTCCATCATGGCTGGGAGAGAAAATCTCAACCCTTCCTTTTCTTGAGAAAAATATTTTTGTACATTTAATGTGCATTTTGTGTATTGTAACAGTGGGTATCTTCATACACATTTCTCAGATGAAGAAATACAAATGGCAGACAAATATATGAAAAAAATGTTCGAAATCATTGGTCATTTGAGAAATACAAATTAAAGTCACACTGAGATTCCATCTCACACCAAAAAGAATGGCATTAAAAAAATTATCCAATAACAGAAGCTGGCAGGGCTGTGGGGAAAAAGGAGCCCTTCTCCACTGTTGGTGGAGGTGTAGACTGGTGCATCTCTGTGGCAATCAGTGTGGAGAATCCTCAAAAAACTAGGATTAGAAGTTCCATTTGGCACAGCTATTCCCCTTCTGGCTATTTTTCCAGAAGAATTGGAAATACATGGGCACCCATGTTTATAGCAGCACAATTTGTAATAGCTAGGTCTTGGAAACAACACAAATGCCCATCAATCAAGGAATGGATAAAAAAGGTGGTATTTTTATGCACCCGAGTACTCAGCTATAAGGACAGATATATTTGAGGCTTTCGTAGGTAAATGGATGCAACTAGAGACCATATTCATAAGTGAAATAAATCAGACTTGCATGTGTACACTTCATATTGTCTCTAGTTTAAGAAACTGAAACAATAATTAAGATCCAAAAGGTAAAATAAGCTCCAAAACGTAAAATAGATATTGTGAAAGGGAAAGAAACTGCTCAAAAGGAAAGAACTGGGATGAGGGAAAGGAGAAAAGAAGAAAGGGAAAAATATATGCAATGTATATTAAATAAAAATAAATATATATTAAATATAAAAATACACAAGATAACTAAGGTAATTGTACTACTAATTCTATTATTTCATTGAAAGGAACAGTTATTATTTATATTGTTTAATCAATTTTACGTGCTTGTATTTGATAAGCTGAGCAACTATTTTGAAGATAACAATATGCAATATAATAGCCATTGTTAATTTCTTATTATCTTGTTTTGAAATTTTGTATCATTTTTATTGTTTTTTATTCTCTTTAAAAAGATGGGCATCTTTTATATGATAGTATGTCACTAATATTTCTATTTTTTAAATATAGGTCTTTATTGTCAAATTTTACAAGCTCTTTATATTAAAGATGTTCACATTTCATCTGATATAAATTCCGTTAGATTTTCTCCATTTTTAAATTATGTTTTGACTTTCTTTATGGGTTTTTTCGCGTAAAATTGCTTTTTAAAATGCAGTCACAGTTGTTAATATTTTATTTATAATCTCTGGGTGTTAAATAACATTCTGCCAAGTATTCCCTGCTTTCTAGTTGTAAATAGCCACCTTTGTTTTATTTTTGTTTCCAGAATACACATAATTTCGAAGTTTATGTTGGAAGCATTTGAGACTTATACTGATTAAAGCATGAGACTGGACCTAAATGTTACTCTCCATAAGTCTGTTTAGTTGTACCACTTCCATTAAAAAATGACAATTCTTCCTTTTCCATATTGACTTCAGATTCTACCTTCTTCAAATATTAAATTTACTTTTGTTCTTGAATTGTATCTGCGTTTTATTTCTGTTCCAGTGATCTATGTTCTATTCTGACGCTAAAGTCATGTTTAATTGTAGGAGCTTTATAACGATTTTGCATCTGTTAGAATTGGCTTCTACATACTAGGTTGACCTTTTCTCACCAAGATTTCTTATGTTTTGCTTGCTTGCTTATTCCTTCCTGTATACTTCAAAATCAGATTGTCTGTCTCCAGAAAGGAAAAAAAAAACCTTTCTAATGCTGAATCTGTTGAGATCATATTACACTGAGAATCAATATATCCTACTGTTGAGTCATAAAATGCGAGCGCATGGTATAACTTTTCACTTGTTAAAACTGCATTTGTGTGCTTTAGGCCTGTTTATACTTATAGTCCTATACACTTCAGATTTTTGCCAGGAATTTAAGTTTTCCATCATGAAGTGATGTGATGTGACCTATCCATGTTAGTCAGCTTGTATTATTTTTAGTACTTTTTCATTTATTCCTTTAAAGCATCTATCTCTCTGTCTGTATGTCTACCTACCTACCTTTCCTTCTTGCTTTCTGATTGTCTGCCTGTAATTGTTCTTCTTTTGCATTTTCTTTTCCCTTCTTTACAATAGTAACAGTAATAGAAAATGATAGTGGACATCTATTCTGGCTTAGATTTTAATGGTTTTAATGAGTGCAACTAATATTTTTGCACTAGGGCTCTCTTCACATTTTCCTTAGGCATATTTCTATTTCATCAAATATTTAAAAACAATGAATGAGGATTAGATTTTTTCACTGCTTTTTTATGTCTCTTGGTCCCACCATCTCCCATTCCCTCAAATAACCATTTTCCATTTTATACCTTTAGTCTCCTTTTCATACAAATTCCTTCCTCAGTGTACAGATAGTAATAATGGCTTTGTTATCCTAAAAAATCCTCCCAAGTCTCTTCTTATCTCTTTCTTTTTATTGTAAATTTTTAAAAATGTGTTTTATTCTTATGCCTTGTCTTCCTGTGTACAGTCAAGGGCTGATACTCATTTTAAATAAATTATATCAGACTGTGAGTATCTTTTTTTCATATCCAGTGCCACAGAAGCCCTCCTGCAGATGTACCTATGTCTGAGAATCTGGGTTTTTGTATGCATTTTAGAACTTGCTGTCAGGTCTTTGTTGGACAGGATGGAGCTCTAAAGCATGTGTGATTCTGGCTTTGAATTTCAGGCATGATGCCACCAGGTGGCACTAGCAGAAGGAGTGATTCAGAAGGTCATGATGCTTTTTGCTCAGTTGATTTTTTTTTTTTTTTTTTTTTTGGTACCGGGGATCAAACACATGACCTCACGCTTACCAGGCAGGCGCTTAAGCAACTGAGCTAAATCCCCGGCCGCTCAGTTGATTTTTAAACACTATGTTCTATTTCTTTTTTATGGGAAGATACGGTTTATTTAATATACAGATGTGTATGTAAATTTATTTATTGTGCCTACTTATTTTAAAGAGTAAATTCTAGCAAGCATCAAGATATAGTTAAACAAAATTTTAATTTAGAGGGAAATAACAATAGAGAGGAAAAAACAAAAAATAGGAAGCCTAAAGAGAAAGCAGGGAAGGGGCTGAGATCCCACACTCCCCTTGGGGCATGTTCTCAGTGACCTGAAGAGTTCCTCTGGTGGGTCTCCTTACTTACAATTCTCTCCCGCTTCCTAACATCGTCCTGCAGACAAAGCCCAAGCTCATGAGCCTTTGCGGGCATTAAGATCCAAGCTACAGCAATAAGTGGGGCTGTGGCAAGGCCTCGAGCATGTCCTTCCTTGGATAGCCCTGTTCTCTCTCTGGTTGTTCTGAGTGCCCCTTTTGTAGGGAGGAGCTGCTGCTCTCCTCTACTTGTGCTGAGGTTTGTAACACTAATTTGTGGAAGCAGAGAGGAAATTAGCATCCTGTTGCGGCTGTGGTATTAATCTGTCCTATCAACCTCATCAATATTTAGGCTATTTATCTCCTTCCTGGCCCCTTTGTCTTCAAAATTTCCTACTCAAGAGTGTGGAGAGGAGGGTGATCAATTGTCATGAAACTATGGTTTGAGTCTTGACTTCCCCTTCCAAAGGCCCATGCAGAGGGCCTCAGCTTGGCACTGTTGGGAATTGGTGAAACCCTAGGAAATGAGATCTCATGGGAGGTTTAGGTCATTGGGAGACGTGTGACCCTGACTTTCCTTTTTCCCTCCTTCATGCCTAGCTATGAAGTGAGAACTGGCTTCCTCTCCCACACCTTCCCACTGTGATGTACCATCTCACCATGGGCAGAAAAGCCACAGAGTCAACCCACCCTGAATGCAATCCTCTGAGACAGTGAGCTGATATAAACTGTGCTCAGCGACTCGCAAACCACCCCTAGCCACTGTGTCAGTATTAGACAGAGCTTTCTATAAAACTATCACTGTCTCCTCTCTCTCTCCCGCCCTCTCTCTGATCATCTATTTCAGTGGATTCATTTGTTCTAATGAATTGGCTCATGCAGTTGTAAGGGGTGGGAAGTTTGAAATTTGTAGAATGGTGAATGCCCTTGAAATTCAGATATGAGTTTTCAGTCTGAAATTCATCATGCAGTACAGTTGGCTGGGAGGGAACTCAAGAAAAAGCCGATGTTAGGTTACAAGGCAGAATTTCTTCTTAGGGAAGTGTTTGGCTCCTGCACCTTCAGACGATTGGCTGAGGTCTCGTACATGACATAGAGTGTACCTACTTAAAGCCAACTGATCGCAAATGTGAATCATAGCTGCACCAAACCTTCACAGTAGTGAAGGCTGAATCCCTTGGCATGGCTAAGCTGATGTGTAAAACTTGTCATCATAAGTCACCCCACGTTGATTTCACATTCAGACATAGTCCTTTGTGCTTAATTGCCAGGTAAAGACAGTTGACAAAGAGTGCTGTGCTAACATGATACAGCAGAACTGACACACAAAATTAACAACCATACCACTCTTTTTCAAAGCTCTCCGATTTCACTCTTCCACATATGCTGTGATTTATCCAGAATATCACCTACCTTTCCCTAAATATACATGAATTTTCTATGCCTCCACAAAAAATCATGCTATTTTCTTTTCTTTCTTTCTTTTTTTTTTTTTTTTTTTTGGTCTTTTTCCTTTTTATCGGTACCGGGGATTGAACTTATGACTGCCTGCTTACAAGGCATGTGCTTATGCCACTGAGCTAAATCCCCAGCCCCTGCTATTTTCTTTATATGGAAAGTCCTAGCCCACTCTCTGCTCGTCATCTACTTTAGGATTGGTGGTGCATATCCTCCCCAATTTACAATGGGGTTATTTCCTGATAATTCATTGTATCTTGAAGGTACCATCTGATTAGGTGGATTAAATACACCTACCTTGCTGAACATCATAGCTTAGCCTAGCTCCTTACACATTCTCCGAAAGCTAATCTGGGCAGCATTTAAGAACATTAATGTCTTTCCATGAGTTTTGGAGCTCGTGGCCAAATTCAGATGCTTTGAAAGCCCATTGCAAACATTTAGTATAATACTTAGAATGTACCAATTGCACCTTGACCCATTGAGTGAAAGTGACAATTCAATAGTAAATACATCAGGATGCACATTATGGATATGTGTGGATACTTCACAGCTTTGTCTGATCAGGAGCTTCTGGAATGGGATGGAATTTTGCTTACAATATTCTCTTGCAACAAAATAGTTCAGAACCTCTCTTCAAACAGTGCTGGTATCATCCAGGCCTTCTTGTTACAGTGACAATAAATGGGCAAGCATATCCTGGCTCGTGTTCTCAAATGCTCTATGGTTCCCTAAATGTTGTATTAGGAAAGGCTTTAATTCTAGTTTTGTAGCATTTCCATTTGAAAACAGTTTGTTGAATATTGTGAATCCCATGGTTATTTTGGATTACTAGTAAATCTATGTGTGTTTTAGCACTCAGTTCCAGCATAGCTTTGTTTTGTGGGCGTTAAATGTTTGTTTTGGCAAGCACTTCCTATGCACAATTACCCTTCTGCAGCTCTTCCCTGAAAACTCCTGTGGTTTGGCATTTGCCTCCTTATCACTGACCTTCACCGTGTGGTGTCTTTAAAGCGCCTGCACCTGATACAAACATTTGTGTATATGTAGGGTCACTGGCACAGCTGTTTGGTGTATCAAAGGGATTTCTTGCCTCACCAGGATCATTAGTAGACTAAGAAGTGTGTGCTCCTATATGGATCTTCCATCCATGCAGAAGTAATTTTCCTGACCATCTAGCACCCCTACTCTTTTATTCATGATGACAATGAATTTAACTGATGCAGATGATTTTTCTACATTCATTTCATATACTTTGAGATGGTTAAAATCATCAGTTATGGAAGTCTTAACTCACATGTTGAAAGCTTTTTGCTTTGAAGTTGAGTAATCGTATTTTTTCTTTTTTTGTGACATGAGGGATTGAACCCAGAGCCTTCACACTAGATAAATCAATAACTCATTTTATTTTTTTCAATGTTGAGATAGGATCTTAGTTACTATATTGCCCAGATTGGGCTTGAACTTGTGATCCTCCTAACCCTGCCTCCCAGAGTGTGGGATGACAGATGTGTGCCACCATACCCAGCCTTTGCAAATTATCTTGAATTTCATTTCAGAAGCATTTGCTCTTCTTCTTACAAGAAGCTGGAGACACAGATGGGGATGTTTTATGTATGATAGGATGCAAAAACATAAAATAAGATATCCAAAAAATGCGCGGCAAAATGAGAGAGTGCTGGTTATGACCATGTGGCCGCCTGGGAGCTGTCTCTCTAGCACTACACAGCATCATGGGAGAGTATCCTACTGCATATGGCTAATCTAGAAACACATCGAAACTCCAAGTACAATTCCTGCTGAATGTGTAGCTCTTTCACACCGCTATAGAATCAGAATGTGTAAGTTGAACCATAGTAAGTTGGGGACCATCTGTAATGAGTTCTTAAATATATCTTAAACCATGATCAGGAATTTTTATAGTGATGTTGTTAAAAAATAAGACATGATTCTGAGTAAAATTAAGTAATAACATAAGTAAAAGTATGGCACCTTATCTATCACAAAAATAAATATATACCATATATCATAAACCATAATCATTGAAAAGCATAAAATTATAAAATAAATCATGCAAAATACCCAACAAACTACTTGTATTGATAATACTGTGAGTCCTTGACTTACGATTGAGTTCCATTTAGGAAGAAGTGTTTATAAGTCACATTTGTTTGCAAGGCAACAATGAGTTTTGTACAGTACACCTGTGAAGGTTTGAAATGCAAATGTTTCTAGGTTGGGGACCTACTGTATATGAAATCAAGGGATGTGTGTGTGTCTCCGCTTGTATATGTGGGTGTCAAAGACTGACCTCTACTGTAATAGTGATTGTTCAAAATAGAAATGCTAACAATACTGTATATTAAACATTAAATAATTATGATGCTTTTCGCTATGTTAGATTTGGGAAGTAATTTGGGAAATGTACTTGTCTGAGTTATTTTCTTGTCAGTAGGACATAATATATATCATATATTATATGATATATATAATCTCTCTCCTATCTCTGTCTCTAGCTATGTCTACATCTTTATGTTGCGAACAAACGTATTTGTAGTTGCTTTGTTGACCTCAGAGAATTAATAATTGGTTTAATTTTTTAATCTTTTAAAGTATAGCTCTTGTAAGACAAATGGACTACAGACTTTTCCACTCTTTTTCTGCGTGTTATTTTTTAGGAGAGTAGTAACGCTTGGAATGTGTTCTGTTTGGACATTTTTTTGCTCTTCATGCAAAAACAAAAAGTGAGTGGAAGAGAAAAACAAGTATAAAGAAACAGGAAACAAGTAACGTGTTGAATCATGAAGAAAGGGCTGCTTTTGCTTTGCCAAGAGGATGGTGGAGGAGGTTTATGACCAGTCACGGTGGTGTAAGAGCTGGGCACAGCCTAGAACACCGTCCTGCCCACTCCCTCTCACTTCCCTCAGCTCTCCATCTGGCTAGTGTTACCCAGCGACGGTTCTTAGTTGCAAAACATAGAATCTGACTCTGGCAATCTTCAGCAGGAAAGGAGTTTGTTGGAAAGATAGATAATGATTCACAGAATTGCAGAGAAGGATAGGAAATCATATTCAGAAGATAATAAGGATAAAAGGGAAGCCAGATGGCTAGAATCACAAGGTTCCACGTGAGGAATATATCAGGTTAAGACATACTGGCCACTGGACTTTGCCAGTAGCCCCTACCTGATAGCTCCTACCATATATAAAACATGTCTTGTTGCTAGAGGTTGTCATTTCTGACTTTTTGTGCAGTGGTTCTTTGCCCTTCTTACTCAGAAGTATAGTCTTGAGTTGGAGCATCTAATCATCTGCAGCTTTGAATCTTCAACAGTGTAAATTCAGGTTTTCCTCTGGTCTTATTAGCTACCTACCATTTGTGTGGTCTAAGTAGCCACAAAGTGGAAAAGTTTCAACTAAGACTCAATCGAGGACAGATTCTCCTGACAGAGAAGCTGGATCTGATACTGGGAAGCCAAAGATCAACTACACCTTCTTGTACTTCGGGTAATCGGTGGAAGAGATAACTATATCTTATTTCACTGCAAGATCTGTCTGCAGGACAGGAGCAGCTGTTGTGGGTGTTGCAGACATATAGACAAACGTCACCTTCTTTTTTAATAGTACTTTTTTAGTTTTGCTGAGGTTCCCATGTCCTCAGCTTTTCTCTAAAGGTGTCCCTTATTTCAGGGTGAATGGATCCAAGTGGACATGCTGGCTTGAGCCTGTGCTTTCTTTGTGCTGCTGGGGATGCCTCCAGACTTGCACTGCTCATTAGGCTCTTCTCCAGCTCCATGTTTCAGACCTGTGCTACATTGTGGTTGTTCATCCTGAGTTTAAAGAGATGGCTGGGGTGGGGAGGAGTTGTTTGCAGGAGATATGGACAGATAGTTTAAGTTCCGGGTATGTAACTGAAAAGGCCTGGGAAAAAGTTTAATTTTTCTTACTTCTTTCAAAAAATAAACTTTGTAGTTTTAACATGTTCAGGCTCATAGAAAAATTGGGAGAGACCAGGAAAAGGGATTCCTAATACTCCTTACTCTCCTCATGAATAACTTTCAGTTTCAGCATTTCTACCGGAGTGGCACATTTGCTATGACCAATCAGTGAGACCACATTGATCCACCATTATCATCATACAATGTCCTCATTAGTATGTAGTCTTTTCAGATTGGCTTCTTTCACTTAGTGATATGCATTCAAGTTTCCTTCATGTATTTTCATAATTTGATAGCTCTATTCTTATTAGCTCTGAATAATATTTCATTGTCTGAATATACTGTATATCCATTTCATTGGGTTGTGTTATTTGTTATTTTTTCAAAGAATTCTTTATATATTTTGGATAATAATCTTTCATCAGATGTATTTTTTACACATATTTTTTCATAATCTTTAACTTTTTTTTCCCAGTATCGGGGACTAAACTCATGATCTTGCATTTGCCAGGCAGGCACTTATGCCGCTAAGCTAGATTCCTTGCCCTAACTGACTTCTTAAATTGTCTTGATAGTGTCTTTTTAGAGCAGAAAAATGTAACTTGAATACCATCCAGCATAGGAGTTCTTTCATGGATCATCGTTTGATGCTCTGTATAAGACATTATCACCAAACCTTAACTCATCTCAAACCTCGCGTCAATTCTTCTATGTTATCTTCTAGGACTTTTATAGTTTTACATTTTAGATTTAGGTCCATGATCCGTTTTGAGTTATTTTTGGGAAGGGTGTGAAGTCTGTGTCTAGGTTCATTTGTTCTCTGTTTGGATGTCCAGTTGCCACAGCATTATTTTCTGAAAGGATTCTCACTGCTGCATTGTATTGACCATGCTTCTTTGCCAAAGATGACTTGACTGTATTTATGTGAATCTCTTTTTGGACTTTATTTTGGTTTTTTGATCTATTTGCCTATTCTTTGGCCAATACCACTTTGTCTTGGTGTCTTACTGTGACTTTGAAAATGGGCAATGCCAGTATTTCAAATTTGTCCTTCTCTTTCAATATTGTGTTAGTCACTGTAGATCTTTTCAATATAAACCCTAAACCAGTTTAACAATATACACAAACTAGCTTTCTGGGATTTTTATTGGGATTGTATAGAATCTATAAATCTAGTGGGGAAGAACTGACACTTGAAATATTGAATCTTCCCATTTACACACACAAATATGTCTTCCTTTAGTTCTGTTTGTGAAGAGACTCCTTTTAAAGGAGGTATTTACTCTTCTGGTAGTTCTAACACAACTTACTGGACTTAAACCAAAGTGTATCATATTTGAAGGATACTAATATAAATGGAATTCTACATTTAATTTCAAATTGTGCTTGTTCCTTGCTGGTGTACAGGAAAGTGATTAATTTTAAAAAACTTACTAATTTTGCATTCTGTAACCTTGTGTAATAGCTTATTATTCCGGGAGGTTTTTGGTTGATTCTTGAAATCTGTGAATAAACTTATTTTTTTCTTGCCAGTATATGTTATTTTTATTTTGTTTTTGTCTGATTAGGACTTCTGATATTTGAGTCTGTTTCTCTTTTATAAGGTTATTATTGCTTTAACTTTTTAGTAGATCTGTCTAGTGAAAATGTCTACTTTTCCTTTTGGTTTTTAAATTTTTGCTATTACAGGTTTGCTGTGCAAAAGACTGCATTAATTGTAGAGCATTGGTACAGATACACAACACATTTTAAAATTTACACTTCCTTTCTCTAAACTTCATCTCTAGATCCCATTTTCTTTTGCTAAAGATATGTCCGCATTCCTACTTATCTATCTCTTATGTAATTCTTTAATTTTATGTACTTTGGGTTTCTCATACTAGAGAAACCATGTGGTGTTTAAGCTTGGGTGTCTGAATTATTTCACTTACTATTAGAGTTTGTAGGCACATCAGGTTATCTGCAAATAATTCAAACCTATACTTCTTTGTGGCTGACTAGTATTCCATTTGTAAAAATACCACATATTCTTCATTTCTTCATCTGTTGATGGACATATAGACTACTTGAAAATTTACCTATTATGTGTTGTGCTGCAATAACCATGGGCATGCATATATAACTGTAATATGATGCCTTTAACTCTTTTGAGAAGATACTAAGTAGGGGACTAGTTGGATAAAATGAAATTTCTAGTTTAAAATTTTTTGAGGGCTCTCCACATTGATTTTCACAGTGATTGTACTTGTTCATATTCCTACCAACAACTTAGGAGAGTTCCTCTTTCCTTGAACCTTGGCAGTAATTTGATATTATTTGATTTCTTTCTTTTTTTTTGGTACCAGGGATCGAACTTACCACCTTGCACTTGCCAGGCAGGCTCTTATACTACTGAACTAAATCCTCAGCCCCTGATTATTTTTTTTTGTCTTTTTGAGATAGGATCTCACTATGCAGTTCAGACTGGCCTTGAGCTCACTTTGTAGCGTAGGCTGGTCTCGAACTTGCAATGATCCTCCTGCCTCAGCCTCCTTAGTGCTGGGATTACAGGCAGGAGCCACCACGCCCGACTCAGCCCCTGATTCTTGATGACAACCATTCTTCATGTAGTAAGATGGAATCTCAGGGTTACTTGCATTTCTTTAAAGGACAGAGATGTTCAATATTTTTTCACGTACTTATTGGCCATTTGTACTTTTTAGAAGTCTATTCATAGCACCACGACTGGGATAATCTTGATTCTTTCATACTTGTTTAACCATACCATTAAGCTTAGTAGATGATTTATTTTGAAGACTATTCTGTGGGTTGCTGAGAAGAATATATATTCTGTTTTTGGGTGGAACGCTTTGTGTGTGTGGATATCTTTTTTTTTTTTTTTTTTTGTATCGGGGATCTAACGCGCAACCTCGTGCTTCCCAGAGCTTACACCACTGAGCTAAATCCCTCGCCCCTGGATATCTATTTATTCTAGGATGTGTTTCTACTTTAATATCTCTTTGTTGATTTTTTTTGTCTAATTGATCTGCTTGTGATAATGCGGTATCTATGATGGTTGTGTTGAAGTGTATCTGATCTTTTATGTGTAGTAGTATTTGTTTTATGAAATTGTGTCAGTATCTGGTGCATATGAATGTACACTTATTACCTTTCCTGTTTAATTGTCCTTTATTTAAAATATAGTGACTTATTTTTGCCTCTTCTGATTGTTTTGGAGTGAAGTTCACTTTGTCTAAAAAGAGAATAGAATTCCTTTTGGATTCCTATTGTGTGAAACATTGTTTTCTATCCTTTGATTTTTAGTTTAATGGATTACTTTTTGGATTATGTGGTATACCATTGGGATATGTGGTATACCTTGGGATTTGCTTTTAGATCCAATCTGCTAACCAGTGTCTTTTGATTGGAGAGTTGAGATTATTTATATTGAGTCATTATTGAAAGATATTGACTTATTCCTGTCACTGTATTATTTTTCTGTTGCTGCTTCCTTTATTTTTCCTTTTTCATTAACTGCTTACCTTGCTTCATGTGTTCACTCTGTTAGAATCTTTGGCATTTTTGACTTCTTTATCTGTGTATCTTCGAGAATGTTTTGGATTGCTGATTTGACTGTCATGAATTTTTAAGGTGCTCTTTGTAATAGAAAGTCCTTATTTCTTCATTGGTTTTGAAAGACAGTTTTTCAGGATATATTAGTCTGAGCTAAAAATTGTTTTCTTTTAGGGACTGAAACACTTAAGTTCTCCTGGCCTTTAAGGCTTGTGGTTGAGAAGTCTAATATAATTCTAAGGGTTTACCTCTATAACGGATGTTGGTTTTCTCTAACAGCTTTTAAAATTCTGTCCTTGTGTTGGACTTCTGATTATGATGTTTGTTGTTAGGATTATTAATTAATTAATTTTGACTCTTTTTAAATTTTGTTTTCAGGTCGAGGGAAAGACCATCTTTCCATTTTTCTGTAGGTTTTTATTTTTCATGATCGGGAATGGGAATTTGTGAAATGTTTTTTTCTGCATTTATTGAGATGATCATGTAAAATTTGTCTTTGGCTCTGTTAAAATGGTGTATTACATGTATTGATTTTTGTAGGTTGAACCGTCCCTACATTCTCAAGGTGAATTCCACTTGGTCATGGTGGATGATTTACTGCATTCTGTTTGCTAGTATGTAATTGAGGATTTTGGGTCTATATTCATTAGGGAGACAAGCCTGTAATTTTCTTTTTTTGGTTGGATTTTCTCTCATTTTGGAATCAGGGTAATACTTGCTTCCAGGAATGATTTTGGATATATTGCTCCCCTTTCAATTTTCTTAAGGACTTTCAGAATTAGTGGCATTAACTTGCCTCTAAATTTCTTGTAGAATCCAAAAGTCAATCTGTCAGGGCCTGGGGTTTACTTTATTAGTAAATTTTTAAATTGCATTTTCAGTTTCATTGGCTGATATCAGATTATTTAGAATTTTTATCTTCTTTTTTATTTTATGGAAAAGAGGTTAAACAAAATTCCATAAGAAAATAATAGGATAATAACAATAGTTCATACATTACATATTGTTATCTTTAAAGTAGTTGCTAAGATTATAAGATATGGACATAAAAATTTATTTAATAGATAGTAGCACAAACCTTCCATCTTAATGAACTAAGAGACACTAATAGTCTAATTGACTTACATTTGTTCCCTTTTCCCTGCTGCTCTTTACCCTTTGGCCCATCATAGTTAATCTTCCCTTTTGAACAATTTGCCATTTCACAGTATCTGTTATACATTTTAGACCTCATATATTCTTCCAGTTTCTCACCCCTGGGGGAAAATAAGATGCTTACACATGTGAGCCTGATTTATTTCATGTATGGGTGTGGTCTCAAGTTGCCTCCATTTACTTATAAAAGTCTTAACCATTTCCTGTGAGTCAGTGCCATTGTGGACTGTAGGGGAAGAGAACAAGAAGTCACCAAGAAGCAAGCCCTCCCTGTGAACTGATGCCATGTGCAGACCACTGGGAGGAGAGCTGGATGCCAGCCTCTTCTGGTACATGGAGGAGTTCCCCTCTCCATTGTAAGTCACTGGCTGATATGGAGAAACACAGGCTGCAGTGATGGATATTGAGATAGAATACAATTTAATGCTTGTAGTGTTCAGTGTTTCACTGACTTTGCAGGTCTAACCTGATCATCTATTCAGATGACTAGACCTCTTTGGTGACTTGATGGTGACAGAGGATGGCAATACTCAGTGTGGCACTATGGGGATCTCCTTCTGAGGCTGCTGGCTGTGGTTGATTCCATGTTGTCTTGTTTCAGGGTTCTGTATCATTTTCATTGCTTTGTTGGATTATGTTTTGTTCTATTTTGTTTTGTTTGATTTTATTGTATCTGATGGTATGAGCAGCTATTTCAAAGATCTATTATGGTAGCTACTTTGGAGTTACTGTTATCTTATTTTGTATTGCATTAATTGTTTTGTTTTTATTGATTCTATTATTTTCTGTTCTGTTTGATTTTTACTATGTCTGAAGGCATCTGCAGCTATTTTGAAGACACCAGGAGGCATTATGGTAACCACTGTTGATTTATGATTGTTTCTAAGACCTGTGTCACTTATACTGATGTTTTTTGATTGGCTTTGTTCTCTGCAGAATAAAAAATTTCTCCAATTTATACTTCTTTATGGCTGAGTAGTACTCCATTATATAAAAATAACACATCTTCTTTATTTACTCCTTAGTTGATATACATTTGGTTTGTTTCCAGGATTCAGTTATTATAAATTTTACTGCTGTAAATGTTGGTGCACATATATCATTGTGATCTGATGTTTTTATCTGGGAAGATATAAAGAAGGGGAATAACTGGGTCAAGTGGGACCTATAGTTCTAGATTTTTGAGAAGTTTCCGCATTGATTTCCTCAGTGGTTGCACCTGCCTGTACTGAACAGTGCAGTGGAAGAAGGCTTCCTTTCCCCCCACAGCCTCACCAGAATTTGTTATTGGTTGATTTCTTGATGATAGGCTTTTTTTTCTGAGGTGAGATGGAATCTCAGTGTTGGTTTAATTTGCATCTCTTGAATGATCAGTGAAGTCGAGTATTTTCATAGATTTACTTGTTTTTATTCCTCCATCTGAGAACTATGTTTATTGCAGATGCCTATTTTTGGATTGAGTCTTTGAATATGAATATGAGGTTCTGATTTTTTTCAATTCTCTGTATGTTCTCTATATAAGTCTTTAAGAGACAGTTGGCTAACAATTTTTCCCATTCTATGGGTTGTCTTTTCACTCTGTTGATGAGTTTTTTGCTGTGAAAAAGCTTTTTAATAAGATGAGGTCCCAGTTGTTGACTCTTTGTGGTACCTCCCATGTAGACTAGATTTTGTTGGTGAACTCTCTGCCTCCATTTTTGCCATCAAGATTATTCCTTATGTTCTCTTCCAATAGATTCAGTGTTTCTGTTTTAATTTTGAGATCTTTGGTTCATTTTAATTTTAGTTTAGTGCATGGGGATAGACATAGGTCTAGTTTTAGTCTTTTGCATGTAGAGGGCCAGTTTTTTCAGCACCATTTATTAAAGATCTATCTTTCTTCCAGTGAAAATGTTTGGTCCCTTTGTCAAAGATAAGATGGATAAATGTGTTTGGAGTTGTTTCTGCATCTTCTGTTTTCTTCTAGTCCTAAGGTCAGTTTTTTTGCTAGTCACATGCTGATTTTTATCACAGTAGCTTTGTTGTAAAATTTCAAGTCAGAGATTTTGATACCTCTTGCCTTGCCTTTGTTTTCTAGATTTGCCTTTGCTATTCTAGCTGTCTTCTGTTTCCAAATGAATTTTAGCTATGTTTTCCCTAGTTGTGTAAGGTATTTTAATGGTATTTTGATCAAGATTGCATTATATCTATATAACAATTTTGGCAATATGTTCATTTTCACATTGTAGGTTTTGCATATTCATTAGCAAGGGACACCTTTCCATTTTCTGATATCCTCTTTGATCTTTTTCAGAGTAAAGTAATTATCTCTATCTATCTATCTATCTATCTATCTATCTATCTATCTTACTTACTTACTTTGGTAGATAAATTCCTAAGTATTTCATATCTTTGGATGGTATTGCGAATGATGTGCTTTCCCTAATTTGTCTTTTTTTTTTTTTTTTTAATCGGTACTGGGGATCGAACTCACGACCACACACTTGCAAGGCAGGCACTTATGCCGCTGAGCTAAATCCCCAACCCTCCTAATTTGTCTTCTGGTGAATTTGTTTATGTACAGAAATGCTGTTGATTTTTGAGTGTTGGCTTTGTATCCAGGTATGCTATTAAATTTAGTTATTAAATCCAAAAGTCTTTTGGTGGAGTTTTTGGTGACTTCTATATGGAGTATGTCACCTATGAATAATGATAATTTATCTTCTTTCTCTCCTATCCTTTTTTCTTTTGTTTCTCTCCTTGTCTAATTGCTGTGACTAGTGTTTTCAGAACTATATTGTAAAGAAGTGATGATAGTGGACATCCTTGTTTTTTTCCTGATTTTAAAGTGAAAACTTTCACATTTTGTCCATTTAGCATCTTGTTGGCTGTTGGTGTGTCATAGATGGCTTTCATGAGATTGCAGTAAAGACCATCTATTGCGATTTTTTGCAGAGCTTTTGTCATGAATGAGTTTTGGACTTTGTCAAAAGCTTTTTCTGCACTGACATGATCATGTGAGTTTTTCTTTGACTCTGTTGATATGGTGCTGATAAATTCATTTATCAAATTGTATATGTTGAATCTTCTCTGCTTTCATGGGATGAATCTCACTTGTTCATGGAGTATTATATTCTTGATGATTTACTGAATTTTGTTTGCTAGTATTTTATTGAGGATTTGTGCATCTGTGTTCATTAAGGAGATTGGCTTCCTGTTCTCTATAGGTTGAGTGTTTCTGTGGTTTGGGTATCAGGGTAATACTTGCCTCTATGAATAAGTTAGAGAGTATTGCTTCCCTTTCAATTTCAATTTCAATAAAGAACTTGAGAAGTCTTCATTTTAAATCTTCTCTAAATTTCTTGTAGAATTCAGCTGAGAATCCATTAGGACCCAGGCTTTGCTTTTTTGGAAAGCTTTTTATTGGTTTCAATTTCATTGACTGATACTGGGTTTTTCAGAATTTATTATCTTCTTGATTCAACTTTGGCAATTCATATGTATGTAGGCATCTGTCCATTTCTTCTGTGTTTTCCATGTAGATTCCTTCTAATGAAAGTGAAAAAATATTTGTTTATCTTAAAGTGGGAAATCATAAATCAAAAGTCTATGAATTTTGGTTATATAAAAATTATGTTTTATTCTAATACCAATGATAGATTTAACAGAAACATAATGTAATAGGAGAAGAAATAAAACATAATGGCAAAGATTTTTATATCTATCTTGTACAATAACATCCAGAAAATTATAAGGAAAGATCTCAATATCCATAGGGGAAAAATGCACACGGTATGGAATATTCCAGTTCAGGGAAGAGGAAATCTGAAATACTGCCAAGCCCATGAAGAGGCTTTCAAACCAAGTACTATACATAACAGTGCTAATTAAAACAGCAACATAGCATCTTATGTCTAAGATACTGGCACAAACTAAAAGCTGGGTAGTGATGATATGTGTTAGTGAGGAGATTGGGATTTAGCAACCCTCATGCACTGTAATTATTCTGGATGGCTGTAAGACATGCTTTGGAAAAATAAGTCTATGTCCACAGGAACCAGCATTTCTGATCTTGGGCATGTACATAAGATATTCTCTACCAGATCCAAGAGAGGACATTACAAAAACATTCACTGTATCATCACTCTTGATGATGAGAAAAACAGAAGCAAAATAGTGTCCCCTGTTGGGAGAGTAAGCAGATAATTATTATGGAGACTTTACAGCAATTAGGATTAGCCATAAGCAATATAGTTTAGAAAAGTAGTAAGAATCATAATGAGATGTAAAATGTAACATTGTTTTTTGTATTAAAAGTATATGCAGTAAGAGAATCATAGGTAGTATGAGGCTAAGTGACACATGCTCAGAGGCCCAGACATTAGGAGAGGTTGAGGCTGAGCGTTATTTGAGCAAAGGAGTTTGAGACCAACTGGGCAACATAAGCAAGATCCTATGTCAAACATGAGTAATAAGCTAATTGAAAAAATTAAAATTTAATGCTAGCAAACACAAAAAGACACATTTAAAAAAGTATAGAACATGTTAAGTAGTTTAAAATAACTGCTTAGAGAAATATGTAAAATTAGAGAGCAGAAAAAATGAAAGGAAACAAAAATCAAGAATGTCCACTTTCTGGGCCATAAAATACACGTTAAAAATTAAAAAAAAAGTCATACAGCATCTGTTATCAGGTCACAATTAATTTGAATAAGAATTAATGACAAAGATAGCTGGAAATACAGGTACGCTTTAAGATTAAACAACACACTTTTAGTAAATACTACATGGGTCAAAGAAAAAAATCTCAAAGGAGCTATTGAATATTTAAAAATATTTTGAACTGATAAAAAGTGAAACAACTTGAAAAAAGTGTATATGGGGCAGAAAAACTTTAGAGAGAATTTTATATCACTGAATGAATATATGAGGAAAGAGGAAAGATTGAAAGCAATTATCTAATTTTCCAGTTAAGAACTACAAAGAAGGGCAAATGAAAGCCAAAGGAAGCAGGAGATAAGGAATAATAAATAAATTTAGTATAGTCTCACTTGTTTATTTTTTATTTAGTTGCCTGAGTTGTGGTGCCAGAGGTTCCTCCCAAAATCAAAGCCAGGACAATACTAATGTCAAGAATTCTTCCCCTAATGTTTTTTTCTAGGCATTCTGCCATTTCAGTTCTTAAATTTAGGTCTTTATCTAATTTTAAGTGGATTTTTGTTATGGTTTATGTCTAGATGTCCCCCCGAAAGCCTCATGCAATCATAGATGGGTCTTTTCAGAGGTGACTGAAAATAGAGTGTGTGGTTGGTTTCTGTTAGGATAAAAAGTGGTAGGATTAAGGGTGGGTGATTACTAACTTAGTCCTTTTATTGGTTTGGCATTTCCCTAAACTTGGTACCCAGGATACAATGTAGGAGACAGAAAAAGGCTTGTCTTCTCCCTCCTTTGTTTGCTTTTGCTGTCTTCTGCTCATCATGAACTGTTTTTCCTCTGTGATGCCCGTTTGCCAAGCCACTTTGCCTCTGAGCTAGCAAAACTGTGAGCTAAATAAGCCTTTTACTTTTTTAATTTGGGTGTCAGATATTGTGACTCAACAATGAGCGAAAGTAACTAAGACAATAATTTGTGAATGATATAAAATAAAGATCCAATTTTAGTCTTTTGCATATCCAGTTTCTGCAATACCATTTGTTGAAGAGAGTGTATTTTCTCTACTGTGTCCCAGGGATGCTAGTCTAAAATCAGATGATTGGTTATATTTTGCTTTATTTTGTGACTATTTTATTTTATTTTGTTGGTCAATATGTCTGTTTTGTGCCAATATCATACTATTTTGATTACTGTAGTGTTATAATACATTTTGAGATCAGGTTATGGGGTATATCTATTTTTGTTCTTTTTGCTCAGGTTTTACTTTGACTACTTGGGATCATTTACCATGAATTTGAATATATTTTTCAATTTATATTAAAAATGTCTATGAAGTTGCATTGAATCTGTATATCACTGTTTTAATAGGAAAATATTAACAATATTAATTAAGTACACTAACATGACATTTTCCCACTTATCTCTATGTTCTTTAAACTATTCTACTAGGATTTTATAGTTTTCTATATGTCTTTAATCTCTTTCAATAAATTTATTCTTTAGCATTGAATCTTTGTGATACTAGGAATGTTTCTTTAATTCTTTTCAAATAGTTCAATGATAATGAGCAAAAACATCACTGGTTTTTGTCTGCTGATTTTGTACCCCAAAATGTTACTGACATTGCTTATTAGTTTTCATCATTTTTGTAGAGAACATCAACAAATGTAATGGAAATCTTCAGGTTGAAACAAAATACTTGCAATCCATATATCTGTAAAGAGACTCATATTCTAAAAAGGAATTCTATTACTCAATAACAAAAAAGTAAATGTACATTTTATTTTTAAAGGAGCACAGAACCTTGCTAGACATTTCTAAAAATGTTTAACAGACATCTTTAGAGGTGCTTGATATTATTAACATTAGGGAAATGTAAATCAAAGCCACAGTGGGATATCACTTCATGTCTGTTAGAATGTTTTTATCAAAAAGGCAAAAGATATGTGTTAGTGAAGGCATTAAGAAAAGTGAACCCCTTCACATCACTGGTAGGAACATAGATTGGTGTAGCCTTTTTAGTAAATGATATGAAAATTTCTAAAGAAATTAAAAATACAAGGCATAGGACCCTGGTATTCTAGCTTTGCTTTGTTTGCTTCCAAAATATCATTCTCCCTTCAATTTAAAAATTTAAAAAGGAAATTCAACCTAATTTAAAAAGGAAAATGAACGCATGTGGATCCCTGGCAACCCAGCAGTTCACTCATGGTCGCAGTGGTGGTAGGACACATGTGGCTGGGGAAGGGACTTCCAGAAACCTAGCGAGGTATCCATGGTCGCAGAGGCAGTGGGGTGCACACACACAATGGGACTGTCCCAGGCAGGCGCCTGACCCCCAAATCCAAGTGTGGATACACACACACACTAACATTTGGTAAGTCAGATGAATCAGCATTGTGCTTTGGCACACAAACAGGTAAAATAGAATGTGGCAGATGAAGCTTCCATTCTTTCCTTTTTTTCTTAATATATTAGAACCCCAGCTCACATACAGAGGTTAAGATCAGACCTATACATAGCACAAATCCTGCAGCAAAATTGGCTGGAGTACATAACACATTTCTGGATCAGTTTTGGACCTACCACTGAACTGTAAACACTAGAGGAATTTTACTTCATTTATTTTTCTATGTTTGTTTGACTGCTTTTTATTTTATTTTTCTGTTGGGTCAAGGTTTTTTTTTTTTTTGGTACTGGAAATCAAACTCACCACCTTGCACTTGGCAGGCAGTTACTGTGCTTCTGAGCTATATCCGTGGCCTGAGGATTATTAAAATTTAGATTAATTTTGTCTTGTTTTATTTTTTAGGGTTAATTTTGTTTTCTGTTTTTAGTCTTTTTTCTTTCCCTTTTTATCTTTTTCTTTAATGACTTAGATTTATTACTTTCCTTTTTGTTTTCATCTCGTCTTCTGTCTTTTGCCAACTGTCGTGCTTGATTTTATGATACTTTCCTGTGAATAAACATTGTCTTTTCTCTGTCTGGTACACTTCAATACTCCACAGTGTCCTCTTTCATTCTTTCACTCCTCTGTCTTCCGGTTTCCCAAAGCTTGGTGATCATCCTATGCCATCCAGTCTTTCTCCGATTGTATTGGACCTCATTCTTATCTCTCTATCTTGCCTCCTATCCCTCTTAAGCCCCTACCCTTGCAACAGGGTAAAATCACTCCACTAAAGGAAAAAATCATTGCATGCAGGTTCCTGGTATATTCTGTATTGTGTTAGACAACTGCAGAATTTGCTGCTATGGTTAAAAGTATCAGACTGATAGTTACCACAGTTTTTCAGTATCTAGGTTGTGCTAGAGACTGTTATTGTTAACTATATTACTGTAGCCAGGATACCATACCTGCTATAATCAGTTTTTCTGTCCTATATGATAGCTCTGTGATTGTATAAGAGCATTACAATCGCCATGATCCAGTACCAAAGGACTGGGTGCTAAGCCAAAATAGGTAACAACTTCTCATACTCAACTCTTCAGATAGACACAAAGACCAAGAACCACCTATGTCCCAGAATATATCCCTGTAGAACAGCCATTTTCTAGGGAAACCTCAATACAAGTGGTAAAGTGATCTACCATTAAAAAATCTATATGCATCAACACTGAAAACAAAATAACACAAAAAATAGAAAACAGAGAATAATAAGACACAGAAGCAAAGTGCAACTCCAGATTCCCAGCCCACCCAAGATAAATCTATAGCATAATAAGATAGTGGAAATCAGAAGCTAACCACTGAGAATTTCTGAAATGGTAGCAATAGAAGTGAAAAAAAAATGGAAGAGGTTAAAGAAAATGTAATCTCTAAGGTGCAAACAAACAAACAAAAACCCGACAATCGAAACAAATGAGATTAAAGCAGACACAAATTTTAAAAACAAGAGGAGCTTAGGGAACCCACAAATTCCCAATATAGGAAACAATGGGAACCACAAATTCCCAATATAGGAAAGAAATGGAACCCAAGAAACAGATCCAAACACGAGTCAAGGAGATTAAAAACCCCAATGAAATTATATGCAACAGATTGAATGAAGGTGATGTTAGACTATCGGATGTATAGAAGATCGGATCGTGGCTAGTGAAAAGAAAGATATCTTAAAAATATCAAGAAACAATGAAAAATCAATCCAAAAGCTATGAGATAAAGCAGAGTCAGTGAGAAAGTGGAGACACTGCAAAAGAAACAGAAAACTTTTCAGAAAAACAGTGACAAAAACTTCCCAAACATGGATAAAGAATTTGATATGCAAATAAATGAAGCAGATAGAAATCAAAATAGCCCTGACCCAAATAAATCTATACTAGGGCACATAATAATCAAGATTCCAGAAATTCAGCACAATAACTGAATATTAAAAGTGGCTAAAGAAAGAAAACATATCACCTATGAAGGAAAACCCATTAGGATTAAAGCAGACTTCACACAAACCCTCAAGTCAAGAAGAGACTGGTGTGAGGTACTTCAAGTCCTAAAAGAAAACAATCTTCAACCCAAACAGTTGTACCCTACTAAACTATCTTTCAAAATAAATGGGGAAATACACTTCCATGAAAAAGCACAGCTGAAGAAATTTATGACCACCAAACCAGCTCTACAGAATTCTCTGAAGGATATATTAGAAAGAGGTAATGAAGACAGCAAACACATAAACACCAAAAGAGAGACACTAGTAGGCAAGGCAAACAAACAGAGAAAGACAGAGATCCAATAATAGGAAAATGTGAAAAACAAGCCACTACATAGTTGTTATAACCATCAATGTAAATGGATGACCAGTCAATCAAAAGAAACAGGTGGGCAAAATGGATCACAAAACAAGATCCAACAAAATGTTGCACTCAAGAAACACATTTAGCATTCTGTGTGCACATCCAGACTAGCTGCCTGGGTCCTGGAGGTTCTGAACTCCACCCAACCAGGTGTAAGGCTCTTTGTGCCACACTCTGGGGGTGCATCCTTGCTAGCTACACTGAGGATCTGAGCTCTTCTCTGCCCAGTCCAGCATCCCAGTGCAATCCAGCAGGGGAAAGCATGGCCAGCCTCATAGGACACAAAGATACTGAGCCTAGCCCAGCCCAGAACCCCAGAGCCACCCATGAGGGAGCAGCCAGTGGGTCCTGGAGAATGTGAGCTATACCCATCAGAGCACAAGGCCCCAGTGTTATAGTGCAGAGGTGTGTCCCAGATTTAGAACTCCATCCAGCAAGGAGCAAGACCTTGGCCCAACATGCCACAAAATGTGCTCAGGCTAGCCCCATGGTTCAGAAGCTCTGAACTCTCAGCCAGATGCAAGGCCCCAGCAGCACCACACTCCGGGGGCATGCCCAGACTAGCTGCCTGTGTCCTGGAGGTTCTGCACTCCACCCAGCCAGGTGAAAAGGCCTGGTACCACTCTCCAGGTATGTGTCTTTGCTAGCTGCACAGAGGATCCAAACTCTGCTTTGCCCAGCCCAGCATTCCATTGCAAATCCAGGATGGCCAGCCTCATAGGTCACAGAGCACGTGGCTCTGGCACCATAGCTCTGGGGTGTGCTTTGGCTAGCCATGGAAATATTGGAGAATTGAAGCTCTGCCAGTGCAGCATACTAATAGGAGGGGCCTGGCCCCTCATCAGGAGGGGCCTGGCCAGCCATATGGGTCCCAGAGGAAAATGACACAACAAAAGTGCAAGATGCAATCTCAGTCCTCCAGCCCACTGAGAACAAACCCCAGAGACATTGAAATGGAAGACAGTGGACATCACACAACTGAACTTTCTGAAATGGTAGCAATGGAAGTAAAACAACTCCATGGAGCTATAGGGGAAATCACATCAGAAATAATCTCTCAGGTAAAGAAAGAAATGACAAACATTATGAAAAAAATGTTGGGTATATCTAAAGAAGAACTAGATAAAAATAGAGTAACATAAGAAAATGATGAAAACATTGGATGAACAATATAAGACAGAATTAGAATACATGAAACATTCAAAGGGATGTTCAGGAAATTAAAAATTCCTTTGAAAGCTGGAAAAAGTGCTTGAATGAAGCTGAAGATAGACTATCAGACATTGAAGACAGGATGCAAGCTTATGATTATGAAACAAAAGCTCTCTTAAAAATAATGATTCAGGAAAAACAATTCAACAGCTGCTAGATGATGCAAAGAGAAATAATATAAGATTGATAGGTGTCAATAAAAAAGCAGGGCTCAACACAAATGACATATGAAGATTATTTATAGAAATAATAGCAGCAAAATTTCCAAACGTAGGAAAAGAATCTGATATACTTATAAGTGAGGCATATAGAACCCCAATTAACCATAACCAAAATAAATCCTCACCCAAATATACAATAATTAGGATATCAGACATTCAGCACAAGAACAGAATACTAAAAGCTGTCAGAGAAAAGAAACAGATCACTTACAATGGAAAGAATATCAGAATCAGGGAAGACTTCTCAACACAAACCTTCAAGTCAAGAAGAGCTTGGAGTAAAGTATTTCAG